TTTCCTTTTCATATCGATCCCGTTCTCACATGAGCTTACTGCCTGCAGAAAGTGAAACACGCATCATTTACCATTTTCAATAATATTGGTCGAACGTAGATATCAAGTCATATTTCCTGCGATTTCAATTGATATCCGTTGATCGATCGCTATATAGCCTACGGATTGAATTTTACGGTGAATATTTCCCGCCTTTCTGTAATCAAGCAATTGTATTCTTTGTTTCCGAATGTGTTACTTTTTCTATCCGAGAAAGACGTCAAGCTATCATCGTGCTGTTTGATCATTTTCGGAAGCCCTTGAAGATTGATCTGTAAAATGGTAAGTAATTTATATTTTAGTTTCAATCGTAGTGAAATGGCCACCATGAGTCCGATTTGAATTGATTACCATTTTACTTGTTGTCCGTTTCAATATAAGTATATACATGATACATTTCTAAACAGTACAACGTAATAAATGTATACAACAAACAAGAAGAAGAGAATGGAAAGAAAAAGAGAAATTTGACAAATTATCATAAATGACTTAAAAACAGGCTTTAGTACTTCAGCTAGAAGGGATTAGACCACCCAGCGCGCCAGCGAGGTCACTGTGACAGGTGGCTATCTCATTAACTCAGCTCTCATTTAACATAAGAAAAAGAGGATCATGGGGGTCCAACAGGCACCGATTGGGGAAGTTTTCTATATAGAGAGAGCAAGTATCTACACATAGGACAGTGTGCCTTTAAACAGCGGGTCAAGCTATAGAAAGCAATGTTTGTGTAGTGAAATGAAGAGTGACTCATGACTTAATAATAATAATAATAAATATTACATTTATAAAGCGCTTAATACAATGTTTCTAAGCGCTTAACATACAAGTAAGGTACAACGTAAAATGAACATATATCAATAATAATACATAATTCTAATAATAACATTACAGATAACTATAAACTGCCCTATAAATTACTATTACCGGTAAACAAAACATACTTCAAACTTGCTTTAAAAGACTCTACAGATGTGGATTGACGAATAATAATTGGTAAACTGTTCCATAATTTAGGGGCTGCAATAGCAAAAGTACGATCTCCGTAACGGGTATTATTTCGGGGACCAGGGGCGTATTGGAAGTTAGCATGTGTAGTTGACCGTAATGAACGTGATGGAACAATAGGTTTTAGAAGGTCGTTTAGATATGATGGGGCATAACCATGTTTAATTTTGATGACTTAATGAATAATAGCTGTGTGGTTCGAGTTTAAAGAAATATAATTGTACATGCGACTTCAGTAAAAAAAAAAAAAAAAAAAAGCAAAAGACTGAAGTCTTCGTAGTGAAAATTCGATACACATTTATTATGTGCTAACTGCAAACTGGTCTATTGGGCAAATTCCATGCTCTCTTCAGATGAACTTCCTGCTTGACATTTTAACTTATGCGTCTCCACCTTGTATAATATTAATATTTAGCTTTGTAACTTGTCTGGATGTAACAACAATAAGAAACTCTGTTTTTCCATCACTAAAGCTATATGGTCACAACTCAGAGCGGCGACCGACCGATTTGTAGCCTGCTCGCTCGCCGCTGGAATTGCCCAACGATTTTTGGAGAAGTCGAGCAGGATGTAGAGACCCAGCGATGTCCCGTCGATTTCCCGTCGGTCGCCGGTTGATTTCGGGCGAAATCGGAGGGCTTATTCAGGCGGCGTCCCGGCAGTGACCGATCGACTGATGACCCACCGATTCCCGGACGGTCACCCACCGGCTAACGGGTGATTTAAAAGAAATTGCCCGGTAGGCGGGGCACCAAAATACGCTCGGTGCCCGGGCGGTTGCCATATCCGGGCACCGACCTAATCGAGCGTTCGCCGTCGAGCGATTTAGGTCAAAATCGTAGCCGCTAGGTCAAAGACTGCCGACTGATTTTGAACTCGCCGCCCAGTGACTGACTGATCTCCCAGCGGTGACCGCTCGGCAACCTTTGACCTAGCGGCTTCGATTTTTGACCTAACTCGCTCGACGGCGAACGCTCGACTAGGTCGGTGCTATTGTTAAACCCCCCCAAAGTAGCCTGCTCGGTGACCGGGCGGCGAGTGTTTAGCCAATTTTGTCCGGGCACCGCATGATTTTAGGGCTTCGCTCGGTCGCCGTTGAAGTTTTAGCACGGAGTTGAAATTCGGCGGTGCCTGCTCACTTTTCATTCGCTGCCCAAAATACGCTCGGTGCCCTGATGGTCACCGCCCGGGCACCGACCTAATCTAGCGATCGCCGTCGAGCAATTTAGGTCAAAAATCGAAGCCGCTAGGTCAAAGGCTGCCGAGCGGTCGCCGCCCAGTCGCTGCCCGTTTGTCGCTTGGAGATCAGTCGATCGCTGGGCGGCGAGTTCAAATTCGGTCGGCAGCCTTTGACCTCGCAGCTCCGATTTTTGACCTATATCACTCGACGGCGATCGCTGAATATTCATGATCGCCATGCACTATTCGATTATGTAGGGGTGCAAATTATTGTGCACCACATCAAACTCCCCTACTTTAAGTCAAGTATTTCATTGTATTATGTAGTTTGGTAGGTTTATTTTAATAACTGTTTAATTATCAGATATCAATGATAGTTTAAAGATATGGAAAATTTTCTTGTATTTTATATTTAGCAAAGCAATCTCACATACAAATTCTCTACCAAGTGTCGTCTAATCCGCCGATTGTCTTCTGCTATATACGTCCAGCGAGCGAAAATGAGATAACCGGAGCAATATGCGGCTACCGAACAGGCTACAAATCGATCGGTCGCCGCTCTGAGTTGTGACCATTGCTTAAGCGTTAGCTTATGTTGGAACATTCAAGAACGGATATACTTTTTACAATTTTATTTAGGTGCAGGATAAAACCGGTATCTAAATTCTGCTGTTCCTTCTCTTGTTCGTACAATTAATAACCCTTGATTCTCTCTCTCTCTCTCTCTCCCTCTTTGCATTACTAATCAGAACCATTCTAATTGACACACTCACATTTTGTGTAACATACATTATATTTTAATAGTAGCATTTTATAACTGCTTTTTAAAGTCGATTCCAATTGGTAAAATATATATTTCTGTATGGTAACACCTTCAACTCAAACGTTATTATGTTAATTGAGGTTGTAAGGCTTTTATCATTGCCTATTTCCAAAATATAATTTTCCCTGTATTTTCGATTGTTTGGTTACTCAACATTATTGTCTGTTTATCTGTCACCATTAACTTATAGCATATGCAGTTTGTTAATTTGACGATCTTGACCATTACTTTTTCTCTTAGTTTATTTTGGTATTGTATTGATTGAATTTTTCTTCTTTTTTCTTGTCTATTTTGCTCACTATTGTATATTTACTGTATCGATAACTTAATTGTATTACTTGTAAACATGATCAGTTTGGGCCTTGGACCTTTGAATAATGTCTTTTTATATTAGGGTGATCACACTGCCTGTGCACACAGTCTGCCCCATGCATATACACACACACACAATTGCCGTCAGTTGGTTGAAATAGCAATTTTCGTAAATTTATTTTTAAAAAACTGAACAATATTTTTAAATTTTTATTTCACATATCTTTCAAGCATACCTTTAACTACAATTCTGTGTAGTTTTATTGTTATAGGCATGTGGGAAATATGTTAAATTATCAATTAGAATATTGTCTTTTCAGCCATGTGTGACATGGCCCGCTGATCGCCCTTTGACTGTTATTCTGCGTGGTGAAAATGCACTTCAATGTATAAAACTCCCCTACAAAAATGCAATATCCTCATGTGTTTCACTCATTGAATCAATTTGTTATTTACACTCAAGGTTGCCGCAACTGTATTGGGGTCACCAAATTTTCTTTTTCTCTGAAATTCAGTCCCTGTGGAATGTTATGACCTGTTGAATTGATTTGATTACATATGCGCATGTTAATTAGACGGACTTAGTTATCTTCACAACTTTTTCATATCTGCAGATTCGCATAAATGGCAAAAACGACTTATTTTGTTTGCTTCTGTTTTCAAAACGGTAATAGATATATGAATTTTCTTTTTTGTATTTTTTACCACAAAGATGATATTTTAGTGTCTGATAATTTAATTTATTATTTGTGTCCAAGAAAGTGATGAATGAAGTTGTCAACTTTGTCGAATTTTGCCATTTTTGCCAATTTGACCATTTCTGGCAGGTTTTTCGGTAATTTTACGATATCAAAAAAATGGTATAAAATCACAACGCATTGACCGATTTCAATTCTGTTTTTTGTTTTTTGAAGCTTTCATAAAGCTTGATCATTTGCAATCATCACATAACATGTGTTTGTTGTACTTATTTTTGGTGTGCTATACCTATTTATATGTCTTTTTAAACCGAAATAAATTATTAAAAAAAATAAAATAAAAAAGCAAAAGGAAACTCTGTTTTTCCGTTAGCTTATGTTGGAACATCCAAGAACCGACGAATATATCGTATACACCATTCTGAAATTGAGATATTATCATCCTGATGTTCTTTATCAGGACTGAAAGAAATGCATAGCTGTGTGTCATTGGTATGACAATGACAAGAAACATTTGGGTAACACCTTTGAATAATATTGATCAGATTAATTGTAAAGAGTGTAAAATGGAGGGGACCGAGACGTGACCCTTGAGGAACCCGATATGGAACATGGTATTTTGTTAGATATTACATCATGTAGCTATATTATTTTGTGTTGTCTGTTAGAAAGATATGATTTAATCCATATAAAAAAAACAATTACAGTCTTATGTTACGTTAGTGATATGTGCTACATGTAACCGTCATTGCTCTTATTAATATTTCTATGATATTTTTTCATCATCATCACCCTCATCATCATCGTCATTATCGCCATTTTCAACAATACCATTATCAACATTAGCCATTATTAATCATCATTTATTTATGTTGCTGTTATTTTGTTCTTTCTCTTGTTCTTGTTGTATTTGTTTATGCAATGTTAATATTTTTTTCAAAATACAGGCTAAAAACCAAAAATACGGTGTATTGCGGGAGTTGCTGTTCGGTACCGTAACATGTTTGTCCATTGGTAAGAACATTTTGACTTTAAATATGCGTCATATTTTCATGATTTTACTGACAAATTTACCATAATGAAGCGAAATAGGAGCAAGGTGTAAAACCTCCATTGCATCTCAAGTAATACGTTCACAGTTTGGAAAATTCTCCCTAGTGACTGTTTCAAACTATTTGAAGGGAAATTTCATTCCTAAGGGGTAGGCGAGAGGAAGAAGGGAAGGAGGCGAAGAGAGAGAGAAATGGAGGATAAAGAGGAGTAGAAGAACGGGGAAGAGGGGATGAGGAGTAGCAGGAGGAGCAAGGAAAGGAAGAGGAAGGGAGGGGAGAAAGAGGAGTAAGGGGAGGAGGAGGAGGAAGGAGAGGAGGAGGAGGGGCAGGAAGTTGAGGAGGAGGAGAAGGAAGAGGAGGAGGAAGAAGAGGAGAATTGGGAGAAGGCTATAAGAATAAATATGGTAGAGGGAAGGGTGAGGAAGGGGGTGACGAGAGGAGGAGAACAACGAAAAGGAGTAGGGAGACGGGGAGAAGAGGAGGAGGAGCAGATTGCAGAGGAGAAGAATGAGGAGGAAGAGGGGGAGGAGGTTGAAGAAGAGGAGCAGCGGATGGAGGAGGAGGGGAGGCGAAAGAGGAAGAGGGTACGTGATTGGGAAGGGATGGAAGCAGGAGGGGAGGAAGATGAGTAGGAGGAAGAGCCCATTATCGATTTTATTTTTGTTTTAATCCACACAGCCTTGACTGTTTTATCGGATTCGTCCAAGCTGACGAAAACATCTTGTCCAGATGATTTCGGCCTGCAAAGTACCTTGCCGAAGTTCTTTAAGTGTATGATGTTGCGTCTGCCCGATGACACCATGTTGCAGACCGTCCCAAAATGTCTCCCTTCCTCTGCTTTCGTTCCTGGAAAATATGTTGACGAACATATAATATGCAGAGTCCCGGGTGAGTATCATGCTTTCTTGATATTTGTTTTCGTTCTCAAAAGTCAAATTAGTCTTTATTTCACTAATCGATAATTAAAAGAACAGATCATACATTTTAAAATGATGTTATAAGTGCCCGAAATAATACATTTTCACACGAAACAGCACAAAATGTAATGACAATTTGTTTATCAGTATTGACTTTTATCTCGTTTATTACTTATTTCGCAGATTGTGGCAAACACCTTTGTAAAAACGGCTGCTGTGAGGAAACAAAAGTAGGCTACAACTGTCACTGCTCAAGTGGGTTTCAAGGGAGACATTGCGATGAACGTAGGTGCTATATGATAGGCATATCGGGGGAAGGGGTGGCCATTTAATGAAAATTTTCCGTAGTTGTTTTTGCTTGCACGCAGTTTGCTGTATCTTGTATACAACATTTTATTTATAGAGTCATTTATAGAGACAACCAAGCCCGCGACGAGCCCAACGGCCACGATGCCGGAACGATCAGACGCAACGACATCGCAAGAAACCACCACCTCCAAAGGCTCCAGAAAGAGAAACATATGAATGACGTGATTTAATTATTATTGTAATGGGTCTAGCTAATACTCCCCACTCCCCTTCTCCTCATCCCTCTCTCTCTCTCTCTTTCTCTCTCTCTCTCTCTCTCTCTCTCTTAGTCTGTATCTGAGTTTTTTGTAATTTTTATATAAGGGCATCGCTAAGCTCTGTTTTTTATAGGGGGTCCCGTCTTATTCTTTTGCTCTCGACTTTGATGACAACAAACACGCCACAAAAACGCATTCAGATCCATTATTTGGCACAAACGAACCCTTCAACATTGACAAAACATTATTAGATAATAAATTATATATCTTATGAAATAGATAAACTGTAAAAAATTATATTTTTTCATAGAGCCAAATTTTCTTCGTTTTGGCCTTGCATTCCTGTTTAGGTGTCATTCCTAATCTCATTGCTTTGTACGTGTGGTTTTATTTGTTACAGCTTTGAACCATCAACTATACTGTCATTTAAATCAGTTGTGTTTGCTAAACCGTTTCAGAGTCAACAGAATTATCGACTACGGACACAACGACCAAGCGTACGACGAGTCCTACGACCACGATGTCAGACACAACGATATCGCAAGAAACCACCACCTCCAGTAAGTAAGAGAAAGAATGAAATGACGGCATGCATTTGATCATTATTATGATATATCTAGCCACTCCCCCCCCCCCCTCTCTCTCTCTCTCTCTCTCAATCTTTATCTGAGTTTTTTTTTAAATATCCATTCAAGGGCATCGCTTAAACTCTGTTTTTTAGGGGGGTTCCCGTCTTATTATTTTGCTCTCAACTTAAATAACAACAAACACGCCACAAGAACGCATTCAGATTCATTATTTGGCACAAGCAAATCCTTTCGCCTTTGACAAAACACCACTAAATAATAAATTGACTTGACTTAACTTATGACGTCCACGCAGGACAGGGGCCTACCGATGGTTTCTGTATGGTGATGGTATGCCAAGTTTTTCTGTCCGCAGCCAGGCTTGATGCATCTGTCAGCCTTGGTATGGATCTTGCTTTGCAGTCCTCTGAGATGCAGTCAAGCCATCTTTTGGGTGGACGGCCTCTGGGTCGATTTCCTGTTACCTTCCTTCCACGGCAATTTTGGGGTATCTTGTAGGTTTCATTCTTAGGACGTGGCCGAAATATTTGAGTCTTTTAGTGGAGACTTTGTCCATAACATCTTGATCGAGGTTGAGAGATTCTTTGATGTGTGTGTTACGGATCTTATCTAGTCTTGTCACTCCCGTTATGCGACGAAGGCATGCTATTTCAAACACTTGAAGCCTGTTGCTATCTCCTTACTTAACTGTCCAGGATTATGCCCCATAAAGCAGTATAGAGAGGATGAGTGATTGGTACAGTTGCATCTTCGTGTGGCTACTAATGCTTTTTGATGTCCATATGTTATTTAGCCTTTGGAAAGCTGCCCCTGCTTTCCTGACACGATTCTTAATGTCACTTGTACTTGAGCCGTTTTCTGCTATTTTCCCTCCCAGGTACACAAGATTTTCCACCTGTTTTCTGTCGTTGGCTATGTCAATGTTGAGGTTGCACTTGCTTTTGCTAATAGCTTGCACTTCTGTCTTTGATATGTTCACCTTGAGACCAAGGTCACAGCTTGCCTTGTAGACTTTGTCAACCAGTGTCTGCAGTTCCTCTGGAGTCTCGGCTATCAAGACGATGTCATCTGCAAAACGTAAGTTGTTTATGCAGGTTCCTTGATTTTTGGCTCCTATTTGGACTCCATCCATTGCCACGGTCATAACTAGCTCGAGGAGTATATTGAAAAGTTGTGGGGAGATTGGACACCTTTGTCTGACTCCTACGGTTGTCTTGAACCACTCTGTCAGCTCTCCATTTACTCTGACCATACTCTGGGATTGTTCATACAGTGCTTGTTAAGGTCGTATCAGCTTGCTTGGATATTCAAAACATCCCATCGGCTTCCACAGGCCCTTCTGCCATGCCGAATCAAAAGCCTTCTGAAAGTCGATATAGCAGCAGTACAGGCTTCTGTTCTTTTCCAGGTATTTCTCAGCTATTTGTCTTAGCGTGAATAATTGGTCTGTCGTAGCCTTGCCTGGTCTGAATCCTGCCTGGGATTCAGAGAGGATTTCTCCTGTTCTTTTGAGAATTCTTCTTTGTAGGATTGTTGTCAGTACTTTTCCTGCATGGGACAGTAGACTAATACCTCTGTAGTTCCCGCAGTCTAGCTTATCTTTCTTCTTATAGATCGGGGTTATTATTGCTCTTCCCCGTTCCTCCGGGAATTTCTCAGACTCCCATATTTGGTTGCAGAGATAGTGAAAGATTTCTTTTCCCGTTTCTCCAGCTGCTTTGATTTCTTCGGAGGTGACTGTATCAAATCCTGGTGCCTTATCCTCAGTAAATATTTTTTTATTGCACTTTTAATTTCCTCCTTAAGTATGTTTGGCTCTGGGTCATCTGAAGAGCTGTTGGGTAGACTGTTTGCTACTGTGTCGTTTTGGAGGTTGTGTTCATTGTATAGTTCGTCGTAGTTTTCTTTCCATCTCTTCCTTACTTCTGATGTTTCTGTTAGAGTTCTCCCTGTCTTGCTCTTAACTGATTGCATTCTCTTTGATGCTGATTTGGGGATTTTCTTAATTGTTGCGTAGACCTCCTTTGATTTAGCAGCTTGGTGTGCGCTTTCTACTCTACTGCAAAGGTCTTGGAGCCACGCATCTTTACAGCCCTTAGTCTTCCTCTTTATTTCTCTATTCAGAAAGTTGTACCTTGGTTTCAGTGAAGGGTTGTTTTGTTTGGCTTGTTTGATTTGCTGCGTTCTTCGCTGAGATCTAGTACTTTTTGTGAGATCCATGCTTCCTGCGGTCTATTCTTTTTCATTCCAAGAACATCCTTTGCTGTGCTGTTAAATGCTTGCTTGATTTTTTTTCCCAGATGCTATCTATGTCTAGGTGGGTATCAGAGTGATCAAGCAGCGGTCTGAACTTCCCTCCGATTATGGCCTGGTAGTTTTTTGATGTGTTTTCATCTTTCAGTTTCGACACATCGTATCTCTTCATTATTTTATGTTTGGGTTTAGTTTTGAATCGTAGCTTGAAGTTGCAGAAAACCAGTTGGTGATCTGAGGCCACATCAGCACTTGGAAAACTTCTAGCGCATTGGACGCTTGATTTCCATTTGTTGTTCACCATGACAAAGTCTATCTTGTTTTTGGTTCCCCCGTCCGGCGACTCCCATGTCCATTCACGACTTGCCTTCTTCTGTTTGAACATGGTATTTGCAATAGCTAGATTGTTGTCCATTTCTCCGTATCCATGATGTCCTATGACGTTCTTCCAGGTGTCCCAGTCTCTCCCTACTTTTGCGTTTAAATCACCTTGCACTATCAGTATGTCCTTGTTAGGAGTGTCATCTATTGTTTGTTGAAGCTGGTCATAAAATGTGTCTATCATTTCCTCTCTGTCTGCCATGTTCGGTGCATACACCTGGATTATTGTTAAGGCTCCAGCCTGTGTTTGGAATCTGGCTGAGATCAGTCTAGGGGATATAGTGTTATATCCCAGGAGTGCTTTTTGTGCTTGTTTGTTGAGGATCAGAGCGACGCCTGATTTGCTTTGTACATGTACGTGTGGTTTCATTTGTTACAGCTTTGAACCATCAACTATACTGTCATTTAAATCAGTTGTGTTACTAAACCGTTTCAGAGTCAACAGAATTATCGACTACGGACACAACGACCAAGCCTACGACGAGTCCTACGACCACGATGTCAGACACAACGATATCTCAAGAAACCACCACCTCCAGTAAGTAAGAGAAACAATGAAATGACGGCATGCATTTGATCATTATTATGATATATCTAGCCACTCCCCCCCCCCTCTCTCTCTCTCTCTATCTCTCTCTCTCTCCCTCTCTCTCTCTCTCTCTCTCTCTATTTTTTGTAATTTTCATACAAGGGCATCGCTAAACTCTGTTTTTAGGGGGGGGGGGGGTTCCCGTCTTATTCTTTTGCTCTCGACTTTGATGACGACAAACACGCCAAAAGAACGCATTCAGATCCATTATTTGGCACAAACAAATCCCTTTGACCTTGAAAAACACCACCAGATAATAAATTATATATATTATGAAATAGATCAACTGTAAACAATTATATTTTTTCATAGAGCCAACTTTTCTTCGTTTTGGCCTTGCATTTCTGTTTAGGTTTCATTCCTAATCTCATTGCTTTGTACGTGTGGTTTTATTTGTTACAGCTTTGAACCATCCACTATACTGTCATTTAAATCAGTTGTGTTTGCTAAACCGTTTCAGAGTCAACAGAATTATCGACTACGGACACAACGACCAAGCGTACGACGAGTCCTACGACCACGATGTCAGACACAACGATATCGCAAGAAACCACCACCTCCAGTAAGTAAGAGAAAGAATGAAATGACGGCATGCATTTGATTATTATTATGATATATCTAGCCACTCCCCCCCCCCCCTCTCTCTCTCTCTCTCTCTCTCTCTCAATCTTTATCTGAGTTTTTTTTTAAATATCTATTCAAGGGCATCTCTAAACTCTGTTTTTTAGGGGGGTTCCCGTCTTATTCTTTTGCTCTCAACTTAAATGACAACAAACACGCCACAAGAACGCATTCAGATTCATTATTTGGCACAAGCAAATCCTTTCGCCTTTGACAAAACACCACTAAATAATGAATTGACTTGACTTAACTTATGACGTCCACGCAGGACAGGGGCCTACCGATGGTTTCTGTATGGTGATGGTATGCCAAGTTTTTCTGTCCGCAGCCAGGCTTGATGCATCTGTCAGCCTTGGTATGGATCTTGCTTTGCAGTCCTCTGAGATGCAGTCAAGCCATCTTTTGGGTGGACGGCCTCTGGGTCGATTTCCTGTTACCTTCCTTCCACGGCAATTTTGGGGTATCTTGTAGGTTTCATTCTTAGGACGTGGCCGAAATATTTGAGTCTTTTAGTGGAGATTTTGTCAATAACATCTTGATCGAGGTTGAGGGATTCTTTGATGTGTGTGTTACGGATCTTATCTAGTCTTGTCACTCCCGTTATGCGACGAAGGCATGCCATTTCAAACACTTGAAGCCTGTTGCTATCTTCTTACTTAACTGTCCAGGATTATGCCCCATAAAGCAGTATAGAGAGGATGAGTGATTGGTACAGTTGCATCTTCGTGTGGCTACTAATGCTTTTCGATGTCCATATGTTATTTAGCCTTTGGAAAGCTGCCCCTGCTTTCCTGATACGATTCTTAGTGTCACTTGTACTTGAGCCGTTTTCTGCTATTTTCCCTCCCAGGTACACAAATTTTTCCACCTGTTTTCTGTCGTTGGCTATGTCAATGTTGAGGTTGCACTTGCTTTTGCTAATAGCTTGCACTTCTGTCTTTGATATGTTCACCTTGAGACCAAGGTCACAGCTTGCCTTGTAGACTTTGTCAACCAGTGTCTGCAGTTCCTCTGGCGTCTCGGCTATCCAGACGATGTCATCTGCAAAACGTAAGTTGTTTATGCAGGTTCCTTGATTTTTGGCTCCTATTTGGACTCCATCCATTGCCACGGTCATAACTAGCTCGAGGAGTATATTGAAAAGTTGTGGGGAGATTGGACACCTTTGCCTGACTCCTACGGTTGTCTTGAACCACTCTGTCAGCTCTCCATTTACTCTGACCATACTCTGGGATTGTTCATACAGTGCTTGTTAAGGTCGTATCAGCTTGCTTGGATATTCAAAACATCCCATCGCCTTCCACAGGCCGAATCAAAAGCCTTCTGAAAGCCTTCTGAAAGTCGATATAGCAGCAGTACAGGCTTCTGTTCTTTTCCAGGTATTTCTCAGCTATTTGTCTTAGCGTGAATAATTGGTCTGTCGTAGCCCTGCCTGGTCTGAATCCTGCCTGGGATTCAGAGAGGATTTCTCCTGTTCTTTTGAGAATTCTTCTTTGTAGGATTGTTGTCAGTACTTTTCCTGCATGGGACAGTAGACTAATACCTCTGTAGTTCCCGCAGTCTAGCTTATCTTTCTTCTTATAGATCGGGGTTATTATTGCTCTTCCCCGTTCCTCCGGGAATTTCTCAGACTCCCATATTTGGTTGCAGAGATAGTGAAAGATTTCTTTTCCCGTTTCTCCAGCTGCTTTGATTTCTTCGGAGGTGACTGTATCAAATCCTGGTGCCTTATCCTCAGTAAATATTTTTTTATTGCACTTTTAATTTCCTCCTTAAGTATGTTTGGCTCTGGATCATCTGAAGAGCTGTTGGGTAGACTGTTTGCTACTGTGTCGTTTTGGGGGTTGTGTTCATTGTATAGTTCGTCGTAGTTTTCTTTCCATCTCTTCCTTACTTCTGATGTTTCTGTTAGAGTTCTCCCTGTCTTGCTCTTAACTGATTGCATTCTCTTTGATGCTGATTTGGGGATTTTCTTAATTGTTGCGTAGACCTCCTTTGATTTAGCAGCTTGGTGTGCGCTTTCTACTCTACTGCAAAGGTCTTGGAGCCACGCATCTTTACAGCTCTTAGTCTTCCTCTTTATTTCTCTATTCAGAAAGTTGTACCTTGGTTTCAGTGAAGGGTTGTTTTGTTTGGCTTGTTTGATTTTGCTGCATTCTTCGCTGAGATCTAGTACTTATTGTGAGATCCATGCTTCCTGCGGTCTATTCTTTTTCATTCATTCAAGAACATCCTTTGCTGTGCTGTTAAATGCTTGCTTGATTTTTTCCCAGATGCTATCTATGTCTAGGTGGGTATCAGAGTGATCAAGCAGCGGTCTGAACTTCCCTCCGATTATGGCCTGGTAGTTTTTTGATGTGTTTTCATCTTTCAGTTTCGACACATCGTATCTCTTCATTATTTTATGTTTGGGTTTAGTTTTGAATCGTAGCTTGAAGTTGCAGATAACCAGTTGGTGATCTGAGGCCACATCAGCACTTGGAAAACTTCTAGCGCATTGGACGCTTGATTTCCATTTGTTGTTCACCATGACAAAGTCTATCTTGTTTTTGGTTCCCCCGTCCGGCGACTCCCATGTCCAACTCGTAATCTTCGTTCAGCAACCGACACATGTAAACTTAACATTCCCAAATCTAGACTCTCAGTAGCTGAAAAACGCTTTGCAGTAGCTGCATCAAAGACATGGAACAGCATCCCTCTTTCCATAAGGAAAATTACCTGTCTTGCCACCTTCAAAAGATCCCTCAAAACTCACCTTTTCCCCCAATGATCTATGTGATATACTTCCTGTACTGTACTTTCTTGTCCTCTTTACATATATTTGTATTTGTAAGCGCTATGGTACTTATTGTTTTTAGCGCTCCTAAATATTCGATATTATTATTATTATTCACGACTTGCCTTCTTCTGTTTGAACATGGTATTTGCAATAGCTAGATTGTTGTCCATTTCTCCGTATCCATGATGTCCTATGACGTTCTTCCAGGTGTCCCAGTCTCCCCCTACTTTTGCGTTTAAATCACCTTGCACTATCAGTATGTCCTTGTTAGGAGTGTCATCTATTGTTTGTTGAAGCTGGTCATAAAATGTGTCTATCATTTCCTCTCTGTCTGCCATGTTCGGTGCATAGACCTGGATTATTGTTAAGGCTCCAGCCTGTGTTTGGAATCTGGCTGAGATCAGTCTAGGGGATATAGTGTTATATCCCAGGAGTGCTTTTTCTGCTTGTTTGTTGAGGATCAGAGCGACGCCTGATTTGCTTTGTACATGTACGTGTGGTTTCATCTGTTACAGCTTTGAACCATCAACTATACTGTCATTTAACTCAGTTGTGTTTGTTAAACCGTTTCAGAGTCAACAGAATTATCGATAATAAATTATATCTTATAAAATAGATAAACTGTAAAAAAAAAAAAAAAAAATCATAGAGCCAATTTTTCTTCGTTTTGGCCTTGCATTCCTGTTTAGGTGTCATTCCTAACCTCATTGCTTTGTACGTGTGGTTCATTTGTTACAGCTTTGAACCATCAACTATACTGTCATTTAAATCAGTTGTGTTTGCTAAACCGTTTCAGAGTCAACAGAATTATCGACTACGGACACAAAGACAAAGCCTACGACGAGTCCTACGACCACGATGTCAGACACAACGATATCTCAAGAAACCACCACCTCCAGTAAGTAAGAGAAACAATGAAATGACGACATGTATTTGATCATTATTATGATATATCTAGCCACTCCCCCCCCCCCCCCCTCTCTCTCTCTCTCTCTCTCTCTCCCTCTCTCTCCCCCCCCCTCTCTCTCTCTCTATCTCTCTCTCTCTCTCCCTCTTTCTCTCTCTCTCTCTCTCTCTCTCTCTCTATTTTTTGTAATTTTCATACAAGGGCATCGCTAAACTCTGTTTTTAGGGGGGGGGGTTCCCGTCTTATTCTTTTGCTCTCGACTTTGATGACGACAAACACGCCGCAAGAACGCATTCAGATCCATTATTTGGTACAAACAAATCCCTTTGACCTTGACAAAACACCACCAGATAATAAATTATATATATTATGAAATAGATAAACTGTAAACAATTATATTTTTTCATAGAGTCAACTTTTCTTCATTTTGGCCTTGCATTTCTGTTTAGGTTTCATTCCTAATCTCATTGCTTTGTACGTGTGGTTTCATTTTGTTACAGCTTTGAACCATCAACTATACTGTCATTTAACTCAGTTGTGTTTGTTAAACCGTTTCAGAGTCAACAAAATTATCGACTACGGACACGACGACCAAGCCCACGACGAGTCCTACGACCACGATGGCAGACACAACGATATCTCAAGAAACCACCACCTCCAGTAAGTAAGAGAAAGAATGAAATGACGGCATGCATTTGATCATTATTATGATATATCTAGCCACTCCCCCCACCCCCTCTCTCTCTCTCTCTCTCTCTCTCTCTCTCTCCCTCTCTCTTCCCCCCCCCTCTCTCTGTCTCTCTCTCTCTCTCTCTCTCTCAGTCTTTATTTGAGTTTTTTGTAATTTTCATACAAGGGCATCTCTAAACTCTGTTTTTTTAGGGGGGTGTCCCGTCTTATTCTTTTGCTCTCGACTTTGATGACAACAAACACGCCGCAAGAACGCATTCAGATCCATTATTTGCCACAAACAAATCCCTATGACATTGACAAAACACCACTAGATAATAAATTATATATCTTATGAAATAGATAAACTGTAAACAATTATATATTTTTTCATAGAATCAAATTTTCTTTGTTTTGGCCTTGCATTTCTGTTTAGGTGTCATTCCTAATCTCATTGCTTTGTACGTGTGGTTTTATTTGTTACGCTTTGAACCATCAACTATACTGTAATTTAACTCAGTTGTGTTTGCTAAACCGTTTCAGAGTCAACAGAATTATCGACTACGGACACAACGACCAAGCCTACGACGAGTCCTACGACCACGATGTCAGACACAACGATATCTCAAGAAACCACCACCTCCAGTAATTAAGAGAAAGAATGAAATGACGGCATGCATTTGATCATTATTATGATATATCTAGCCACTCCCCCCATCCCCCTCTCTCTCTCTCTCTCTCTCTCTCTCTCCCCCCCCCCCCCCTCTCTCTCTCTCTCCCCCCCCCCCCCCCCCCCTCTCTCTCTCTCTCTCTCTCCCCCCCTCTCTCTCTCTCTCTCTCTCTCTCTCTCTCTATTTCTCTCAGTCTTTATCTGAGTTTTTTGTAATTTTCATAGAAGTGCATCGCTAACCTCTGTTTTTAGGGGGGGTTCCGTCTTATTCTTTTGCTCTCGACTTTGATGGCGACAAACACGCCCAAGAACGCATTCAGATCCATTATTTGGTACAAACAAATCCCTTTGACCTTGACAAAACACCACCAGATAATATTTTTTTTATATTTTATGAAATAGATAAACTGTAAACAATTATATTTTTTCATAGAGCCAAATTTTCTTCGTTTTGGCCTTGCATTCCTGTTTAGGTTTCATTCCTAATCTCATTGCTGTGTACGTGTGGTTTCATTTTGTTACAGTTTTGAACCATCAACTATACTTTAATTTAAGTCAGTTGTGTTTGTTAAACCGTTTCAGAGTCAACAGAATTATCGACTACGGACACGACGACCAAGCCCACGACGAGTCCTACGACCACAATGTCAGACACAACGATATCGCAAGAAACCACCACCTCCAGTAAGTTAGAGAAAGAATGAAATGACGACATGTATTTGATCATTATTATGATATATCTAGCCCTCCCCCCCCCCCCTCTCTCTCTCTCTCTCTCTCTCAGAATTTATCTGAGTTTTTTTGTAATTTTCATACAAGGGCATCGCTAAACTCTGTTTTTTTAGGGGGGTGTCCCGTCTTATTCTTTTGCTCTCGACTTTGATGACAACAAACACGCCGCAAGAACGCATTCAGATCCATTATTTGCCACAAACAAATCCCTATGACATTGACAAAACACCACTAGATAATAAATTATATATCTTATGAAATAGATAAACTGTAAAAAATTATATATTTTTTCATAGAATCAAATTTTCTTTTTTTTGGCCTTGCATTTCTGTTTGGGTGTCATTCCTAATCTCATTGCTTTGTACGTGTGGTTTTATTTGTTACGCTTTGAACCATCAACTATACTGTAATTTAACTCAGTTGTGTTTGCTAAACCGTTTCAGAGTCAACAGAATTATCGACTACGGACACAACGACCAAGCCTACGACGAGTCCTACGACCACGATGTCAGACACAACGATATCTCAAGAAACCACCACCTCCAGTAAGTAAGAGAAAGAATGAAATGACGGCATGCATTTGATCATTATTATGATATATCTAGCCACTCCCCCCCCCCCCCCCCCCCCTCTCTCTCTCTCTCTCTCTCTCTCTCTCTCTCTATTTCTCTCAGTCTTTATCTGAGTTTTTTGTAATTTTCATACAAGGGCATCGCTAAACTGTTTTTTTAGGGGGGGGGGTTCCCGTCTTATTCTTTTGCTCTCGACTTTGATGACAACAAACACGCCGCAAGAACGCATTCAGATCCATTATTTGCCACAAACAAATCCATATGACATTGACAAAACACCACTAGATAATAAATTATATATCTTATGAAATAGATAAACTGTTAAAAATTATATTTTTTCATAGAGCCAAATTTTCTTCGTTTTGGCCTTGCATTTCTGTTTAGGTGTCATTCCTAATCTCATTGCTTTGTACGTGTGGTTTTATTTGTTACAGCTTTGAACCATCAACTATACTGTAATTTAACTCAGCTGTGTTTGTTAAACCGTTTCAGAGTCAACAGAATTATCGATTACGGACACGACGACCAAGCCTACGACGAGTCCTACGACCACGATGTCAGACAAAACGATATCTCAAGAAACCACCACCTCCAGTAAGTTAGAGAAACAATGAAATGACGGCATGCATTTGATCATTATTATGATATATCTAGCCACTCCCCCCCCCCCTCTCTCTCTCTCTCTCTCTCTCTCTCCCTCTCTCTTCCCCCCCCCCTCTCTCTCTCTCTATCTCTCTCTCTCCCTCCCCCCCTCTCTCTCTCTCTCTCTCTCTCTCTCTTCTCTCTCTCTCTCTCTCTCTCTCTCTCTCTCTCTTCATCTCTCTCTCTTTATCTGACTCAATGACGTACCTGACAATGTACACAGTTTTAGGACTCGTCGTGGGCTTGGTCGTGTACGTAGTCGATAATTCTGTTGACTCTGAAACGGTTTAACGGTCAGGTGAGTCGACTGTAACAAAGCATTTGATCATCATAATAATAGGTCTAGCCACTACCGCTGTCGGTGTCGGTATAAACTTCACGATACAAAACTGTGTCATCAGCATATTGTGGGAGGGGGGGGGGGGGGATGAAACAGTGTCAGGTAAGTCGGCTGTAATCATCATAATAATAGGTCTAGCCACTACCGCTCTCCTCTTCTCACCCTCCTCCTCCTGTGTAAAACTGTAAACATTTGCCAAAATGATGGTATGCAAAGTATCTTTAGACATTGATTATCAAAGCTGTAATTTTTTAATGTCTTTACATCTATTTTTATTATCATTACTTTCATTTTCCTCATTATTATTATGTTCGTCATCATCATCATCATTATCTATTTTCCTTTAATTTTCCGGTTTCTACCCAAATAATTAATTTTTCTTCTTTCTTAAAATCAACTAATTTCTATATTGTTTTCATCTTCTTAGCATGTTCATCTCCACCGGAGGCATATGAATACGGCGGGTCGTCCTACAATTTCAGCACTTGCGAGATGAATCATGCATCTGCGGTTTCAGCTTGTTCTCAACACGGATCCCATCTGGTCTTCATCGAGTCGAAAGAGGAACAGGACTTCATTGCAGATAGTGCCAAGGCGGACGTCTGGATTGGGCTGGCCAACTCAAGTCTCGATGAGGCAAGGTGGCTAGACGGATCAATAGCTACATATAACAATCTTAAATCTTATTCGTTCGATGACAATGGAATCTGTTTTCGAATTTTGGTAGAGTATGCAGGTAGTTGGTCGGATAAGGAATGCTCCAGACAATTTAGATACGTATGTGAGAAAGAAGTGGGGGTTTAAAAATTGGATTTTCTTCAATGTTTCATACCACCTGGTTGCACCCCTGATTGCATCTGAACACCTGAATGGGGGCAAGGGAATACCCCCACCCCTAACAACAACAACAAATATATATATATATATATATATATATATACATACATACATATAAAATCAGGCTTTCGTTCTTTTGTCAGTGTTTGTATAAGTCTATTGGAGCTCTAGGAATGTTCGATTTTTGTTTTTGTTTTGTAGTTCCATGCACCAATTTTCACATGTACAGCACTGAAAAGACTATTACAGAGATGTTAATTACGATGTTTAAATGACGGAGCACTTTTCATCTTTACATTCAAGCAATTTAAAAATAATCATATAAAATGATAAGCATTAGTGGCGGTTTCTTCTTTTGTGTTTTATGGAATCTCATTTTTATCGCAAAGAGACTTAGTACTATTACCAACCATGCACGCTCAAATACATCATGCACAATAAGTGTGCATTTTATTTCTGTTGCCTTTTGAACCATACAGTTGTACGTTATGAAAATGCAGTTGAAGTGAAATCGTTATGATTGCAAACCATACTCAAGTAATGCATTTATTGAAACCAAAACGCTCGTTTTCTCCCAATCTAAATAAAAGCGGTTAACGTCAAAATTGATATATCAGACAATGATTTTGTAATTGCACATCCGGGTTGCACATTGCCACATTCCGAGAGATGCATGCTTAATGCTTGATTGGCTGGTGATCCGGCGATTCAGGTGCTTTGATTCAAACACTGAAGGGAGTCAAGCACGTCGATAATCCTATACCATGGGGCAAAGTGCATCGAGATATTTTGTTCACGGCACTGAATGAATGAATGAAAAGAAAATGCAACTCATTTTGCTTCGGAGCCGATTGGTATAGCGGGTGTTGGAAACGCATGACCTTGTGACTTGGGCCAGTGAGCACAGCTAGTAGAGCCTCGATGATTTTATATAAAAATCGAAAGATATACTTCATATAAGTAAGCCACAGCTCGGTCACAGTTATATTACAACAATATAAATTCGGGGAAAAAAGGAGTGTCCTGGTGTATAAACAGTCATTGGACAGGGACGAACACTAGACTGGCAAATTTGATTCGCACAGAGAGATATTACTACTCGGACCTATACCAACAAGTGTGCGTTGAAACATTAAGGCAAGTATTTGCGAATGAAATTACCGTCTTATCATTCCTTTATTTTCGTTTTGATTATCACTAATCTTATTTTATTTGATATAGTCACCAGTCATTTTTTGTTCTGAAAAAGAGGGGGCTCTGCAAAACCTCCGAAAACCAAATGATATCAAGTTCCCGCGAATATACGCGTATTTACAATATTGATGTTGACTAATTATTCAATCGAATTATCTAATCGTCTCACTCAGTTATCTTTATTGAGACAAATGATTAGTGATCTATGAACACTTAATTGTTAAGTATATTTGTTTTTGCTATCGGTAGCGTGATAGTCTTCATGATAGGTACCGGTAACACAAGGGGTGTTTTTTCTTACTGATGCTGGACAGTGTTGATTGGTGCGTGTGGGTTGATGTGGGGGTACATCCATGTATATCATTATAGATATAATATTGAACTATATAATATCTTCCATGAAGGTGATAGGCCTTGCGGTATCTTGTTAGTCACCTTATATTGGCTCCAAGTTATACCATTCAGATGTAATGATTCAAAATTCAAAATACCTAGTTGTGAAGTGCGCATTGTTCACACAAATGTTATTTTGTTTAACAAGATGACATACAATATCTACAAGTGAAAGAAGAAAGAAAAAACAAATCAATCGTTTCTGCCAAGGAGTTTCACATAACAGCGCGGAATTTCTTTGGGAAACATTAATCATTAGAAAAAAAATTCATCGCGAAAGCAAACAATGGCAGTTGTTCGTGCAACGACCTTTGATTTGAAGTCATATCTTGTCGTACACAATATAGATATAATTTTTCTATTCTTCCTCTCTCCTCTACCAGTCCGGTTTTCTGTTCGTGACAAGTTTTCTCAAACACCATTATTGGATCCCGACCAAGCATGGCTGTTGTTTCTCTCTCCGGTATGACACTACACGTAGTGCTCCTCGTAGGTACCTGCTTTACAGCAGTACTGGGACAACATGTTCAGCTGAGTCTAGGTGTAGAGACAGAGCAATATACCGTACCATGCAATACATACAAATACTTCCAGGTGGACGCCACCGAACCCTGCAAAGATTTAAAAATACAGGTAAATATTAGTCTGTTTTTATTGCAATTCAGGTATTAATTTTGAATGCAATTTGTTTGTGCGCCAAATTTTGAACAACAATATTTTAAACAAAAAACCGCATATATTTGTTTTAATTCTTTCAAAATTCAAGATTCTGCACTCCGAGTAAACGCATATATAATTGAACGTTGATAATGACAGCAAGAAACAATAGTTGAATAGATTATTATGGTAATAATATGGTAGGTAAGGTAAAATACTAAAACCCACTCCTGACACCTATACCTTATCAATGTATCACTGGGATGACAGAACAGATAGAAACACTGATAGAAAACTAATAATACAGAGAATTTATCTGCTCATAACATATCAAATATATTCGGGCATGGTGGCTCAGTGGTTAGAGCGCCCATCTGAACGGGAGGTTGTGGGTTCGAATCCCGGCCGAGTCATACCAAAGACTTATGACAATGGGACCTTCTGCCTTCTAGCTGTATTTGCTTTAATGCTTTCAAAATTCTGCATTCCAAGTAAACGTATATATAATCGAATGTTGAACATGACAGCAAGAAACAATAATTGCATTGGTTATCATGATAATATAGGTAAGGTAAAATACATAATCCTACTTCTGACACCGGTATATCAATGTATTCCTGGGGTGACAGAACAGGTCGAAACACACAAAAAACAATAATACAGAGAATTAATCTGCTCATAACAGATAAAATATAATCTTAGACATCTTCATTATGATGTTTAACCCAAGATCCTTTAACTCTCAGAATCAATACAGGAACAAAACTAATCATCAAACTTGAAAAGGATGCAGATTTATTTGGGGGGATTTTAGAAAGCTGCTTTCAAGATGAAAATGATACAGACCTCGGTTGATACTTGATACTATAAGAGGCAAAACAAATTATACAATTTTTGCAATATGAATGTTATATAATAATCTAGGTCAACCATGCTGAAGGCGAGCCTGACCTGTACGTGTCCAGAGGACCAGAGAAGTTACCAACATTCAGGAGCTTGGCGTGGTCTTCTTATGAATGGGGCTCTGAGAGTCTGACTATCTCCAGTTGGGATCCCGAGTATGTGCTCGGGACCTACTACATCGGAGTTCTTGCCTACTGTGGATCAGACGTTAGTACAGGCAACATCCGTAAGTATAAATACGAGGCACAGTGATCGCCTTTAACTAGGCGTTGTGGCGTGCGCCTGTAATCCAGCTGTAAAGTTACAAACTGATTCAGCCGAGGACGCAGGTTCGAAACTGAATCACGTCTTTCGGATGGTGACGTTTAAAGGTTCCCAGACGTAAATAATCATATCTGATTGATACACGTCTGTAATGTAAAAACCAAACACACACACGTCTATCACACCGCCATAGTTATTATACTTGTAGCTTTACTATAGCTGTAAAAGTACTGGATGCTGAAGAGTTGCTGGGGTTATAATCTTTAAAGGGCAATCCAGCTTTTGTAATAATGAGGTCAGTTGTATGAGAGCAGAACAATCGGAGAAACAGGATGGCGAAAGTTTGAAATACAACGGGCCAATAATAATTTATGAGAGTTATGAATGTCTGAAATATGGAAAATTAAAGCTATGCGAATCTCCAATTGGCAATTCTATAAGTAGATTGTGACGTCTTCATAGACGTCTATCGTTTGTCGTGTACAAAAACATTGTTGATTTCTATTTGTCTCCAAAGTCCATCTCTATTGGGGCATTACTCAAAATACATTATGGATAGATACAGTATATTATATTTCCCCTTTACAAAAAGACCCTCCGAAAAAATATTAAGTTTTAATTAGTTTGTTTGTTAGAACAAATAGGAAAGTTGTCCGCCACAAAATCACAATGACATTGCTGTTTCAGCCAATTTGAAGTTCCCACATGTCTAGTGATTACAAATTTGAAAAATTCATGATTTTTTTTATTTTGTCCGGTTTCGTTCAAACTTTCACCAGTGTGCTTCTCTGATTTTTCTACTTTGTATTATTTTAGTTTACTATATTATGGCTGGATTAATTCCCTTTAAAAGGGAAATTCCTTTATTACGATTTGGGGAACTGATGATGGAATCATGGAAAGGTCTTAAATCATTATTTGAATCTCGTTTCAAGAGGGAAAAGGGCAGTTTCTATCTTTTAAAACAGAGTTAAACATTAAAATATATAATCAATTCAAGAGGACTGTATATCACTTGACTTAACGGTTTCTTTTTATATGTTTGAAAGACTTATTTCATGTTTTGTTTTTCTTCTTTCTTCAGCTGCCAAATTCACCATGCTAGCAGAGCATGTAACATCGACCCATCCTCACGATGAAGTACAAGAGAACGGACAAATCGCAGGCAACATAGCCGCCGAAGGCTACAAGTACTATCGCTTCTGTGTACCATCTACCTGTGCCAATATCGATGTGGGTCTTGCCAGCTGTATTGACCCTGCGACATGCCCGACCACCTACTCGTATCCCGAGCTTCTTGTTTCCCGCTCCATCCAACAGCCAACGATCAACAGCCATGCCTGGAAACTCGCCACCATCGATGTCCGCAGTGTTACGTTGAACCACGATGATCCCGACTTCTACCCTGGTCATTACTTTGTAGGTGTGTATGGATGGTGCACTCCCGATGATCTCTGTTCGGATATGTCGACGTGTGGACCGTGTTCGTATGCAGACAATACGGAATTTATTCTGTCCTTGACAGTAACCAATGTGACTGAGAACTGTACGCCGAAGGCACCACTGGAGCTTTGTAGTACGGATGGAACCACAAGTATGGCTTCCTCTTTCAAGGTCCTCTTGCTCTCAATGAGTCTCGGTTGGATCATAAATGCACTCTAGTTCTTATTTGTTTTCTCACTTTTAATAACTAAAACTCACATTGTGTTTTATTATAGATCCACCGGGATGTCAGTTGATAAACCAAAGGAGATGGGTGATATATTTATAACACATGATGCTTTCATTGATCACGATGAGTTTTTGGTGGAGGAAATACACTATAGACATTTTCATTATTAATTGATAAAAGTAATGTAATCTTGATTATACCCGCCTTCTTTCATAGAAATACAATAAATAATATTGATTCGTGAAATACTGGAAACAAAAATTGATATATATTTTGTACGAGGTTTGTGGTTAATTACACCAGTTATTCTTTCGACAGGGATAGTTGGCCCTGAAAAGGGCCCACTCGTGCTTTTCATGGCCAACCAACCCTGTCAAAAGATTACGTGGTGTAACCACAAACCCCGCTCAAATATATCCGATCACCATGGAAGTCTTCAAATATCATAGAAGTAATAATTATATGCTACTGCACTTTGATTTTTAAATGGCGCTACATTCTATTATTAAATACACAGATCCGTGTGTATAGAACAGTAATCTTGACACTTGAGTAATGATATGAATTTACTGAAGACTGTTAAAGTCACAAAGAATGGAAAGAGTCGGCATGATAGTATGTCTGCGACATGCATTCTTTTTTGTTGTATTCTATATCGGTGGCAGATTTAAACAAATCGAGACTATTGTCATCATTTATTCAACAGGGGGCCGGAAAACAAAATACCAGGCATTGATAATGAAATCATGAAAATAGAAACATTATAATGGATGTCGAGATAAGTTTTGAGGGGAAAAAACACCCCCCAAATTGACTAATCATGAACCGTTTTGCCTTTTCCAAATCCACTAGACTTGAAAAACAATTGTATTACTAATTAACCGATGGCTGATAAATTGCGATTTTATTAGTCATTGAAATCAGACAAAAATGTAAAACAATGCATCGAGTCTCTTTATTCATTCAAGAAGAACTGTTGACACATGTTATAATTATATATACCGTACACGAGGAAGTTAATAAAATTAATAATTTACTGTAAAGAACACGGTCGCCTCTATTTCCGGAAAATCAATAATCAAGGACAATTTCAATACCCTGAACACCCCGAAAATCGACGAATCATGAATCTAATGCTTTTTCCAAATCCATTAGACTTTAAAAACAATCAATTGTATTACTCAAGAACAAGTTATGCATGTATATGTGTGTAGCTTACACAACGCGGAAGTAAATAAACGAGCATAGAGACCACGACCGCATCTAACATTTATTTCGAAAAAACAAACCATCAGGGGCAATTTCAATACCCTTTTGTATTTCCCATAGAAACCATGTTTGGAATACGTCACACTTCATTGTAAAATTAATGTTCGCACATTTCAATAGGTGACGCACAAGGCTATTGAAATTGTCTTAAAGGTACAGTAATACAAAGTTTTGTGATTTTTTGAAAATTGGTTGGATAAAGATTCTTTACAATTTTGAAACATTTGGATGCCCCTGCGGATGAATTATAAGCACTGGAAAATTTAGCTCCCAAACATTTCTGCTTTCGAGAAAAATTGAATATCAAAATTTACCGGTGCTCCCGGTAAATTTCGATAATTTTCAAATAGCGCCTACGGCCATACAATGGTAGCTGCGACCATGATAATCTCAGAATATGTAGTTGTGATACATTTCCAAACGGCAATAGCCAATTGGTCGATTTTAGTCAAGAAACATTGTTTTATAGCTAAATTAATATCTTGACCTTGAGAGGGAGCTATATACAACGAAAAGAGTATCATTTACAATTTCATCACTTTAGACTCGATTTCAACCGCGACAACAATCACTGAATATTGTAGGATAGCATATGTTTCCAATATGTTCATTTGAACCAAATTCATGATCCCATACCAAAACTTTGTATTACCTTTAAGTCGATTTTTTTTCAAAGAATTGTGACATTTTCAAAGTACCATTAACATAAGAGTGGGGGTGGGGTGGGGTGAGGGAGAAGAAGGTGATCAACAGGAGTGGCAGACAAGAGAGAGAGTGGGCAGAGATAGAAAGAACATGGAATGAAGAGGATGAGATAGGAGAGAAAAAGAGAAGAAGAAGAAAATTGAGAAGGTAAAAGAAGAGAGGTGGAAAGTCATATAGAGAGGGGAGAAAAGGGCAAGAAAAAGAAAGAAGAAAGAGAGAGAGAGAAAAAAAAGAAGAAGATATGCGATACGAGAGGGAGAAAGAAAGTAAGACAGGATAAGGAAAAAGGAACAGAAAAGAAAAGAGGGAAAAGGAAGACAGTGAGACTGGAAAGAAGTTGGATGTAATACAAAGAGCTAGAAGAGAGAGAGAGAGAGAGAGAGGAGTTATACCCGAGAGACAGAAGAGACATGAGAAAAGTATAGACGGAAGAGAGAAGAGGAGGAGACAGAGAGGGATTTGAAGAGAGTTGCATGAGAAAGAAGAAAGAGATAAAGAGACAAAGAGAGTGTTTTTTTTCTTCAATACAGTTTTGGTAAATATAAGGTTTCTCTTATGCATCTTTGAAAATTTACCTTCAGTGTCTCATCTTTTTTTTAAGACTACAGGTAGTTCCATCATCAAATACACAATGATGTACACAGTATGCAACAAATTAATATTACTTCCTCATAATTTATTTCACATCAAATATATATATACAATGATTTTGTGTTCTTTGTACTCCTTGTAAAAAATAAATATATACATTTCTCTACACATGTAATCACATACTATTCACAAATATTGTTATATACCACAGCAAACTGAGCAAATTACCATAATTATGATCTAACCTATAAAATCTATTATAATTGTGAAAATCTTGAAAATATACTAAGTCTATTTAACAAGGCATGATTGGAAGATTCTTAGACAATAAGCAAGTAATCAGACATGATTTCATCAATATCTATAAGAAAATATATCACATAATTATACATGAATACACATTTGCTTATCACACACATCTTACTTTGGTAGACATAAGTGCGCCAAAAAGACAATGTAATAGATCATCTGTAGCGTGGGTTTATAAGTTAGGGTGTTGCATTTCTGTTTTTGACTGATAAATAATCCCTTTCATATAATGTTCATTATCTTTCCTTTCGGTATTGAAGTGAGTGGTGAGACAAATGGCTCAAATACATAATGCATAATGTACACACTGTTCTTCATGGCACTGAAACCTCATTGTTCTTATTTCACAAGACATGATTGGTATACTTCACTAGGTCAATATCCTAGCTGTGTCAAGATCAAAGGTTTATCATACTGACTGACTCAGATATGATGACAAAACAATACACTTTACCCCTATTGTGACTGATTAACTTTAGTCAAACAAGGCAAATAAATTCACCCCCAAATTATCATTTTCCCTGCTTCAATCTGCGCTATCACTCCCATTTACAATATATAAATAAAACATGTTTGTACATGTTTTTAGCTTGTGCATTAGTGAAATGCATTGCATGCAGGTTAAGTCATGTTAGGATTATGAACAAGACTTGTAGAGTTTATTGTCCGTCTCATTGTGACTTAACCAAGTGCAGTGCATATCACTAATGCACGAGCTAAAATCATGTATTATTGCTTCATAAGATGGGTCTATAATTTAAGTATAAAGTCAAGAAATTGATGGTTGTTATCACCAAAATGCACTCCCGTGCATATGGCAAAAATTAATACACGCACGCGTGATCCATTTCGACACTTCTCATTGGCTACATTCTTAAACTCATTTTACAACAGTGAATAACATTTTTTTCTTCTCCAGGAGAGAAAATAAACATTTACAATGACACAACCGTCACATGAAATCGAAACCGGTTTGAATGCCTTATATGGCATAGTAAATCAGTTGCATAATATGATATAGACTTCTATCTTCAAATGGCAATAACTTTCTATAGTCGCTGATCATGATCAATAAACGTTTTCATAAAAATATTCCTTCCATCTACATATATATAAATTTATCCATTACACAATTTTAACTGGAATGAAAACGATAATTATGTTTGCATAAATCAAGGAATTTTGTTAATACAAATATATTTGCATAAATTAAAAAATACATTTTGTACGATTGTTCTGATCTCACACGTAAGCTATGTGAAAGCACCCGTAATTGCATAATTATATATCCTTTTTATTTGTAAATATGCTACAATGTAAAAATAATTTGTTCAAATCAGGTAAATTAAATATAACAGATTTCCTAGTTACATATACTTCAAACCAAATGTGCACAGACATTTGAGAAATGTTGCATGAATTCAAAATGCTAACCGAGTTAAAAAAAAGAAAAAAACGTTAACACTCATGTCATGACTCAAATAAAAAGCAATGAAAGCAAAAGCAATAAAAGGTCGCCTGTAAGTAAAATCGAATCCAATTTCACAAATGTTCTATGGGTATACAACACAAGAAACTCCTATTCTCTAGTGTTTACATGCTTGATAATAATAATATTCTTGAGAAATTCCTCTTTCATTATTCAAAAGTGAAAAAATGGATGGCAGTTTGGAGAACAAATATGAAATTCACCTGTTCACACTCAAGTGATTTTGCTTGAAGCTCAAACTTTCTCAATAAAGCTCACACACGAATACACATTGATATTTCAAAATCAGCAATTTTAAAAAGGCAGTGGTCATTGTAGTTAATACATTCCTGATACAATAAATATATATGGTGATGTCAAAGGATGTGAATCTTTAGTATTTGAATGAGATTCATGTCTCTTAAAATGGCCTCTTTGGAGTATAAATTCCTACTATAGTTCCATTTTCACAGACATGCAAATCATGAATGCATGATCACTGGGGATACAAAATAATTCAACACATTTCTAAAGCAGGTTCTTCCACTAAAATTCTTTCAATAACCAAAGAAGAAACTTGGAATGAAAACTGAATACCACTACAGCTAAGCAGTTATATACAATTTTAAAGATGGATTTAGAAAGAAGTCATTTATGGATACAAAACCCTGTCAAATCCTGAGTAGCCTCTGGAAACGATAATTCTTTGAATTCCTAGTCTCTTTAATAAATCCCAATAAAGAAGATTGTTAAAGAGAGAAAGGGAGAGGACAGGAGAAAGAGCTAAAGAAGACTCTGGTGTATGGACCTGGCTTTGGCAGAACACCTTAAGAGAGAGAGAGAGAGAAAGAGAGAGAGAGACAGAGAGAGACAGAGAGAGACAGAGACAGAGACAGAGAGAGGGGGAGAAAGAGAGAGAAAAATATCCTTTGGTTGTATCATCAACAAGCAAGCAAGCTTCATGGATTTCTTATATCCGACAGAAGGTTAATATCAATCAATCAATTTAGTTGAAGAGAGATAAAAACTAAAATGAATGATATTTTAGACCTTATGTTTGGTATTGACATTCTGCTGCTGTTCCATGGCCTGTAGTTGCATGATCGTCTCATGTCTGTCAGGTTCTAAGTCTGTCATAAGCTGCTCTGCAATGCGATTCCTTAATCGCGTCCCGACCTGCAAGTACACAAAGCAAATGATCAGGGTTAAAGCAGATCTTTATTTAGTAACTGGCATTCGATAGCAGAGCAGTATCTAGAGACTTTCAACTGTTAATTGCAATTATAATAGTAATAATAATAATAATAATAATAGCCTAATAGTCCACTCCAAATTTTATTAAACCGAAACGGAATTTCTTTTTGCCCAATTGATGGTGAGCCCGGCAGCCACTGAGCAGCGCCAGATCAACGTTGCTCTATCCCTTATTGCTGAACGCCAAACAAGGTAGCAACAACTCCCATCTTTTAACGTCTTTTTGTATGACGCGGCCAGGATTCGAACCCACGACCTCCCGGTTGTGAGGCGGACGCTCTACTGACTGAGCCAACACTCAATAACCATGTAAAACAAAGAAAGAATAAAACAAACAAAAATTGAAGTACTAAAAATGTACAATACTATTATGTAAAAGTCTTATGTTACCCGCCATTCGAATTTCAAATGGAGCTTAAACAGTGATTAACAGGGCCTGATTAAAGTAAGAGTGACCATAAGGAAATTTACATACAAATAATTCTACCTCATATTCTGTCAACAAATTTTTAATCTCCTTACATATCTCCTGTAAGAATTATTACAAGGATAACCCTACATCCAGAAAACTATATGCCTCTCACCCCCCCCCCCCCACCTCCAGTACAAAACCATGAAGCAACCATACATCAGGTTTTCCATCTAGATCATTGATAGTGGGGTGGTGGAGGGAACATGTTCCTGTCTTGGGATGGAAGTTGTCAGTGGATGAAAGGCCATTGGGGTTCGTTGTCCTAGAATCAATATTTGATGGCTTCATAAATCTATCTCACAAATAGAGCTTGATATTTTTTTAATGACGTACAGTCTTTAACTTTTAACTTTGGGCCCTCACTCATCTACTCAATAATTCCTCAAGAAAATAAAATATAAAGATTTATGAGACTCGATCACTGTTTGATGACTTTATAAATCTATCCCATAAATAGAGCTTGATTTTATTTTATATGATATGCAGTCTTTAACTTTTAACTTTGTCTAACGGGCCCTCACTTATTCAATGCTCCTGCTTCTTAGTCTTTCCTATCTCTGAAATCACATGTATGCATTCATCTCTTGTGAATTTCATAACATATTAATAATTGCTCAAATAAATAAAATATAAAGATTAATGAGACTTACTGTTTGATGATTTCATAAATCTTATCTCATAAATGGAGCTTGATTTTTTGTTTTTGTTTGACAAACAGTCTTTCTTTTAACTTTGTGTAACGGCCGGGCCCTCACTTATTTACTGCTCTTGCTACTTAGTCTTTCCTATCTCTGAAATTACATGTATGAATTCCTCAAATAAATAACTATAAAGATTTACAAGACTCACTGTTTTAGGTCGCTGGGTCATGCGATCTCTCTCATTGTTAGGTTGATGCGTGTATGGATCGGGGGTGATGGATCGATAGTTTGGGGGAAAGTTTGGAGTCAACCCTCCTCCTGCAGTAGCGGTAGAGGGTGCCGGTGTTGCGCTGTTTCGACTCTTTGAGGGGCGCTCCGAGCTGTTGCGTGATGACTTGGATCTCATAGCTGTCAAAGATATCGAATAAGAATTCAGAATTTTAAAAAAATGTTTTGATGGATGCTTATAATCAGGGCTTGTGTTATTGCCTCTCAATTGAGTTCATGTGTGATAGCCACAAAAAGTATCATGGTATTAAAAAAATTACTGGCAAGAAAGATAGTAATTATAAAGAGGATGACTATACTGAAACCATATGTATTCTTGAAATTTCAATGATAGTTGATATATAAAAAATGTTTGTTATAATATGACAATAAAAGATTATGGTTTTAGCATTACTATCACTATCATCAAAATAAGTGACACCACAAACACCATTACCATTACACATTCTTTATATACAGTTAAAAGTTTACAGTTAAGCAAAGATCATGTGGTTCAACAACAAATGGAAGGTGAACATAATGTTATTTGCTCATTCCAGATGTGGCTATACGTAAGGTGAAATGAATTAGCTCATCTAGTTGGTAAATGTGTTATCATGGTAAGTTAGCTTGGTTTATGAAGCAGTAAATGAAATTTAAAAAAAATTTAAGTGATATTACACTGAATATCATATATTGGTTTAGAATAATGCTGAAATTAGGATGGCACTAACTAATAACTGAATACCAACTTTCCAGCATTTGATCTGTGAATGCAAGTGAAATGCTAAAAAAAAACAATAACAAAAGGACACTGTATTACTTATTATGGTTAAAAATGTAATTTGGGCATCAAAATCCACTAGAAGAGATTTTTTAATGACATATTTGCAGACTTTGCTGTCCAAAATGATATGAGGTTATTCAGGCAGTTTGATGATTGGATATTGAGTGATATCTTGCTGGAATATTGGTACATTATATTTTCATTTTCCTTCTTTTTTGTGGAAGGGGAGGGGGCTGTAGTGCTAGTATTGACAATATCGTTGCAATAGACATTGGCATCTTGAGACATTACTGGTTATAGCTTCCATACAATTACTATGTGTAAGATGACAATAATGGGGAAAATATTATACATGGCGAGGGCACATAATGTGAATGGTTATATGTTTCATAATATTAGTGATTACATACATGGGTTCTTCATATAATATGCATGATATTTGCTAGTGGAATAATGGTTAATAGTTTATGATATCATTCATTATAATGAATTGTACATATTACATGTAGCATTGTATTACATGAAGGAAGTATGGTGACTGAATCTTATTTGTTAATGTTATTAATGATTATGCAAGTTTACGCATTATTCCTTATTATAAAAACATATAATTATGGCAAAGAATTATAAGTTAGAAAAGATGTAAAAACTTTGTTTTAATTCTAATCTAAAGCATCAGGTGCAAATAAAATATTACATAATGAAATAGTTTGTTGTAAATGTTGCACTGTGCACTGCACATTATATTATCTGTTATAGAGGTCAGATGTGGTTAGTATTGGCTTTTAGATACAAGCCCATCAATGTTTTACAAGCAAGGTCGAATGTGATTGAATCTTATGAATATTCAATAACAAATTATCACTGGAATAAATTAAAACTAAGAACAACACGATTCCTTTCATTCAAAGCTAGTATAATGAAAAAAAGAAAATCAATATGGAAAAAAAGGTACACTCAGGTTGCCAGGTTTTACAGTTTTTTAACAAGACCATCATAAAAGGCAAAGATAGCAAACCAATAAGCTCAATGGTCATATACAGCAATGCAGTGCATGATTTAAGAGAAAACAAAGTAATATATAGGTAAAGAAAGGTATTCTTTGTTTAAATACGTATCTTACATCGATACCGGAAAATTTCTGCAATACCACTTTGGTTCTTACAAAGATTTTTATGATTTGAAAAAAAAAGGGGAAGAAAAGATATACATGATACACATGTGCAGAATTTACAGCAATGGAAATATTCCTTCATCAAATCCTCATTCAAAATTAAATGGGAAAAAAATCCCTTTAGTGAACTGAAGCTGCAACAATCTCACAAAAAACCCTTTTTAAAATTAATGTTTGAACTCTTAACATTTCTAGAATTAACTCTTTATACTGCACAACATACATTGCAACTTTTTTCAAAGTGAAAAAAAAAAAACTTCATTTCTGTGATGGTCAACACACCAAAAAACAAAAATTTGCTTGAAACTTCCAATACATTTTTCAAAATTTCCAGTATTTTCCAGTAAATTCATGATGATTCTAGCCACCACGAGACTTTCAAAGGAGAGGCCGTTTAACCATCTGCACAGGAGTGCCTTTTGTATGGAATCTTTATAGACATACATTTTAAAAAGATAAAAAAAATAGAATGAAAATTTGACAATGGTAATCAGTTCCTCCCACAAACCCAGTTCTATTATTTTAACAATGGATTTGAGACAATTAAGCTATATGATAGTTATTTCCTGTAACAGATGTTTGATTTGAATAAAAGTCAAATCTCTAGTATGTCTATATAAATCTCTGAGAGTGTATGTTTGAACACTTTCTAGAATGACATGTACAACCTAGTTTGACCCCTATTTGACCTTTGCTTGCTAATGTATTTCAAACACATTTATTCTTTTACTCCTACTTGTAACCTGCATGACCCGGTTCAGACCTTTGTCTGACCCCTGCAAATCTTAGCAACCACATGCATATAGATGCCACTCCAAATGGATCCTTAATATGACCTAGTTTGACCCCTATTTGACCTTTGCTTGCCAATGTCAATAAGACTCTACATGAAAGTTAATTGTATTTCAAACACATTTCTGCTTTCACTCCTGCTTGTACCCAGCATGACCCCAGTCGGACCTTTGTTTGACCCCTGCAATTTCTTAGCAACCATGTATACATGCCACTCTAAAAGGATTCCTTAATATGACCTAGTGTAACCCCTATTTGACCTTTGCTTGCTGATGTCTATATGATCTACATGGAAGTTAAATGTATTTCAAACACACTTCTGCTTTCATTCCTGCTTTTACCCAGCATGACCCAGGCCTGACCTTTGCTTGACCCCTGCAAATCTTTAAGCATCCACATATTTTAAAAGGATTCCTTAATATGACCTAGTTTGACCCCTATTTGACCTTTGCTTGTTAATGTCTATATGACTCTACATTGAAGTTAAATGTATTTCAAACACATTTCTGCTTTCACTCCTGCTTGTACCCAGCACGACCCCATTCTGACCTTTATCTGACCCCTGCAAATTTTAGCAACCACATATATGCCTCTCTAAATGGTGCATGGGATGATGCGACAGTGTGTGCTGGATGGACGTGAAATATTAATGCAAATGTGAGCGTAAGCGATGACAATCAAGCTCTCTCCACTTTAAAGAGAGTCAAAATACTTACGTGGTAAGCGGTTGACGGATGTGAAAAAACCTGAATGACAGTGATAAGATATCATGCAATATAGGTACAGATGAAAGAGAAGGAATATAAGCACATTGAAGGATAAAATATGCATGCATCAAGGATATGAGAAAAAGAGTAACATAATTTCAATCAAATGGGGGGGGGGGCAACAGCTTGGGAGATGATTATTAAAAAAAATTGGGGGCTGCATGGTCATTTACTTTCAGCATGGGATAAAGTGTGGGGAATATACTACCACTACATAAATTGAGATGATATTTTTTATAAATGGGGGCTGCATGGTCATTCACTTTCAGCATGAGATAAACTATGGGGTATACTATACATTATTTATGATGATTTTTTTTGAATATATTTCATGAACTTGGTAAATAGAACATTTTTTTCAATGGAGAGTAATGGAACAATAGACTTTCATTGTAAATTGATGTTTATTTTAAATACAAACACTGCAACTGAATGGAGGAGTTTAAAATGACATTAGCGTATACTTTGCATGCAAGTATATTATGTCAATAATTTGAGATGCATTTCTTGAAAACATTATGAGTAGGTAATATACTAGAATCAAACTTATATAATTATGTGTGATTAATGTAAACACAAAACAATAGGGTGAAACCATATATGGAAAGCCAAACAACCATTGGAAATTTAAAATCAAAGCCCATTATCACCAATTACAGAATACAACAAGAGCATTGAAAAATAAAAACTTCCATTGGGAACAGTTCTCATTTAGGAGTACACAAGAAGAGAAAATGTAACACTGCAAAGAATCACAATCAAAAATGGTAGTTTAAAGCAACTAAATATTTTCTGTAATTTCTACTGCTATTCATTGTCCACAAAAGCAAAATTGCAACATCATGCGATCTAGATACCGGTACGTATTGTTTCTACTTTGATGAACATTGGTATCCAACTATTAAACAAAGACGCTGCCATCTATCTGGAATTCAATTCAAGGATAAAATAAAATACTGGGGTATAACTTACTCATTGATGTGAAAGGACGCGATATGTTAGACACAGCATACTCGTAGTCGTACACTTGAGTCTGTAGTTCATCCACCCTGTTGAAAGCACCCAGTTTCATATTACGCTCATGCTGTAGGCGGGATTTCACCTGCAAGAAAATATAACATTTGTAATGTCAGGTTCTGAATGGGCGTGGATACGAAAGTCACAGTTGGCATCAAGATAGTTAGGATTCGTATTTTCCTACAAAAAAATGTGCTGCACAATTCCAGCAATAATGGTATAGCACAAGGGGAGTGTTTCACAAAGACTAAGATCGACTTTAAGTTGGACTTAACTATGGCAGCCCGTTCATGCCACTGTTTGCTCTCAACATTATGATCTTTAGATAACACTTTTTCCTGCAATAATGAACTATCAAAAAATGTAAATTGTGTAGATTTGTGACCACGATTTGTACTTCTTTTGAGAGACCAATGCCAGTAAATGGTGAGAGCAAACAGTTCAAGTTGATCTTAGTCTTTGTGAAACACTCCCCAAGTATCACATTCTGCTGGTATTACACAATGAAACATCAATAAATCCTATAAGGTAGTGGGGCATTAACTACCGATACCCATATCTTAGGGATTTAAAGGTCATGTACACTTTTGGTCAGCCCTCAAAAAATTTGCATCAGATTTCTATGATAGTAGAAAGATAGTACACAACGGTTCTACACACACGCTGTCTCCAAGCAAGGCATTGATCTTAATGTGCCAGGAGCCATCGGGGTGGTAGGATCCTAGTGTAGGGAGTGTATAGCCATTATCTAAAATTCCTTGCAGATATCGACACTACAATTTATCAATCTTAAGGTTTAAATACCAAATGATTCTCATCGATGATATCCCTGTCGACTCAAATGACATCAAATTCATGATTTTCCGGTGTGTTCTCTTTTAGCAGGGTTTGTGACAACTTAAAGAATAGATTTCCATCTTTATCAATGAACTTTGTATGAACCAAAAATAGAAAACTAGTAGTTAATGTACCAAGAATAGAAGAGGTAGTGGAGGAAGATGGGAAACAGAAGAGGAAGAAAAAAAAGGAATGGGAGGAATCAATGGTTTAAAAAAACTTCAATCAAAAGATCTTTTCCAGCGTACCTGAGTGACCTCTTTGCGTGTTTTTTCTTGTGTTGTGTTATAGAGACGACTAGTCTTATCCAAGTCTTCTTCCATGATCTCAAGCTTTGCTGCTTTCTCTTCTATCTCTTCCATCTGAATAAACAAGTCAAATCGATATGGAATAAATATAAAAATGAATATTCAACAGTTATTGCATTCATGAATATTCAACAATTATTGACATGAATATTCAACAATTATGGCATTCAACCATTTGCAAATTACAGTTAAACCTGCTTTAGTGACCACCTGTCTACAAAGACCACTTTTTGTGTTTCCCTTGGGTGGTCGCTATAGACAGGTTTGACTGTATTAGACTGTGAAGTTGTTTATCTACAATACATTTCAAGAAATTTAGTGAAACTTGCCCTGTAGCTGATTTTCCTCTGATTATAATCTGTAATGTAGACATGTTAAACTGCTATAGGCAAAGACCATCTGCATTTGCATTCAAACAAATAGAAAACTTGGCTCATTCCTATCGTGTAATTTTCTACACTGTATTGTATAGTTGAAGCATCTGGAGGCAAAAAGCTTTTGACCAGCATTGTAAATATATTAACAACTACTGGCTTCATATATCAGCATATTTTGAGTCAACGTTGGGAAAAGCAAATTAGAACCATTTCATAAACTGCAGAAAAAAGCCTTACGCATTTGTACAAAGTCACCTTATTTAGCGCCATCTCGCCCCCTCTTTTTTGAATTAAAAACACTTAATATTTATCATATATATGAATTTAAAGTCGCAGTACTGATGTATTATGTCAAGCATAAAATGGCCCCAGCCAATATAATTAATTTGTTTAACTTTAATAATGATTTTCATCAATATTACACACGTTCAGCTTCCCAATTTCACCTTCCATTAACTTCTAATAAGCAAATGTATAATTCTTTTAAACATGTAGGACCGAAGATTTTTAATAATTTAAATACAATCATTCGTCCATGTTCAACAGCCTCCTCCTTCAAAGCCTTACTTAAAAGTCACTTTATTCATAAATATACTTCTTGATTTCAATATATCTTTTTCATAAGTTTACCTAATATATGTACACTGTACATGTAATCTCTCTTTCTCCTTCCCTTCTCTTGGGTGAGTGTGTGTGTTTGTGTGTGTGTGTGTTGGATGTGTCTGCTTGTGATTATTATTAATGTTTTACTTATAATTTGTTAATTTTGTCAAAGGGGCACCAGTCCACAAGATCCTGATCTTTTTGGCTGCCCCTAACGATATGTTAATTTTACACATGTATATGATTATGTCAATATGTTTTATTGCATTGTACTATTTTCTTTTATATCGTTGAATAAAGATGAATTGAATTGAATTGAATATATGCAGTTAATGGGAATTCTCCCCCTAAATTTCAAATGACAATAAATTTGATCTAGTGTGGAGAGAGTATCTCAGAAATGTACCATTTATCTGTGCATTCTTTTTTCCTCCTGATCACAAGCCAAGGCAAATTGATCGGTTTCTAAGGATCTGGGGGTGTTTCACAAAGACTAAAATCAACTGAAGTTGGACTTGAACTATGGCAGGCAATTTATGCCCTTAAAAAGTCTTGAACCAGATGTAGAAAAAACCTTAGAAATTATGATCTTTAGATAATGTGTTTTTGTTCAATAATAGAGTATCAAAAATGTGAATTCTGTAGATTTGTGTCACTGGAGGGACTTAAGTCAATCTCAGTCATTGTGAAACACCCCCCCCCCCCCCCTCACCACCTGATCAAAATGTAATCTATTGTTTACCAGTCTGTCTAGGGTTGCTGCCCTCGCAAGCTCCATCTGACGCTGGTTTCTCGCTTCCTGCTCCTCCCGATGTTTACGCTCTCCTTTGATCCTCATCTGTAAGGAAAGATCAGACGAAGGAATTACTTTTTAGTCCCTTAATGTATTTGGCATATAACAAAGGAATCACATGTACAAGACATGTCACATGACATATTAAACCTTTTGACCTAAATAAATAATATGCAAATCATCTTTCCTCTTCCCGTCCTCAATCACAGGTAGAGAACTTCAACTTTGGAAGATATTGAAATGACAAATTTATTCAAAAATAGTCAGACAAAATGGAGAAATGTGATCAGATGTAACAACATTCTGATTTGGTGCTTTATAAGCACCGTTTTTATTATTATTAAGATAGGCCTACCTCCTTATCAAGCACTTTCTTGGTAGCTTCCCGTTCCTTCTCGGACGTCGACAGAGCCTTACGTAGCGCCATCACTTGCTGACGCAGGAGAATGACCTCCTCATTGGCAGACATCTTGATTTCCATGTAGTCCCGCTTACTACGATCCAAGTCATGCTGCAGATTACCAACCTACGATAGAAAAACAACGATTGTCAGAGTCAACCAATTGCCTGGATTACCACTACTTGAAATCATGTATGATGACTTCTCACGTTTAAAAAACCACTCGGCAAATAATGAAAAATTATTTTTTGAGTAGATCCTGAAATGGATGTAAAAGCTGAGGAGATATTTTCTTTACATAGCATTGGAGAGACATTACAGTGAAATATAGTATGCGACCTCTTGAGTTTTCAAGTTTGAAGCTGGAGTGCGGAATGCCGGCCTGGCATTAATGCCTAATTATTCCGCCAAATACAAAATATGTTGACATGCAGGAATTCCTTAATACTATGAACAATATACAATAGCTGATGTGAGATATATCTTGTTATCATTTTTAACTGTTGTTCTTCCTTAGTATAGTCACAATGGTAACTGTAATTCAATGAACCACTGCATCCATTAAACCATGTATTGGATTCTAACCCCTGCATCATGAGGATACAAGCATGTTTCTCACTAACCAATGCGTTGTACTGCTCTCTCAGTTTGGTTGTTTTCCAGCCGTTGAAGCCTTTCATCTTGACCAGTCTTCTGGTCAGGGCATTGTTCTCTTTCCTCACTTCATGAAGCTCTGTAGCTCGCTTCAGGTTCAGCTGCAGTCCTTCATCAGCTGTGTTAACATAACAGAACATTTTAATAACACATTGTTCACGAACTTAATATGGTATTAGGTTCGACAGAAGCTGACTTGTTGATCATGCAAGCAATGAATGTGAATCTGTGACCATTATGAGGTTGTTTGGCCCCATGCACAATTCACCAATACATTACAAACCTTGCTGAAATCAGATACATGAACTCTAGTTGAAACTAGATGGAACTTCGACTGCGCGCAGTCGAAATGATGCCTCCGTCATAGAGCAATTTTACAAACCAAAACAGAAGAAATTGTTCAAATTCAAGTTCAATTGTAATCCATTAACAGGTTCTCAGAATATCGTGATTACAAGCAATTTCTCATATACATATATGACCCTTTGATCTTTGACCACATGACCCTAACATCTACTCAGTTCATTGGCTCTGCAAGATGTTCCGAGTTAAATAGTAATCCATCTGTCAGTTCTAATGAGAATGCGTTCACAAGCTAATTCTGCATACATAATGAGCCCATGACCTTTGACCTTTGACCTCATGACCCTAGAATCTACTCAGTTCATTGGCTCTGCAAGATACATACATGATCTAAGTTTGGGAGGAATCCAACAATCTGTTCTAATGATAATGCGATCACAAGCTATTTTTGCATGCATAATGAGCCGCATGACCTTTGACCTAGACCTCATGACCCCAAAATTTAATCAGTTCATCGGCTCTGCAAATAACATACATGACCTAAGTTTGGCAGGAATCCATCAATCGGTTCTTGAGATAACGCAATCACGAGCTGTTTCAGCATACATAATGAGCCCTGTGACCTTTGACCTTTGACCTCGTGACCCCAAAATCTAATCAGTTCATCGTCTCTGCAAGATACATACATGACCTAAGTTTGGCAGGAATCCATCAATCGGTTCTTCAGATAACGCGATCACGAGCTGTTTTTGCATACATAATGAGCCCTGTGACCTTTGACCTTTAACCTCGTGATCCCAAAATCTAATCAGTTCATCGGCTCTGCAAGATACATACATGACCAAAGTTTGGCAGGAATCCATCAATCGGTTCTTCAGATAACGCGATCACGAGAACGGGACGTACGGACGGACGGACGTACGTACGTACGGACGTACGTACGGACGGACGGACAACCCGAAAACATAATGCCTCCGGCTACTTCGTAACGGAGGCATAAAAAAACAGATGCACACATATCCATCCCTCGGATAGGACGCTCAATGGAGGTCCCGTGTAGAGGAGAGTCACCACCTTTGCATGTTAAGAATCCACTGCACTTTTAGTATAAGAGTAGGGGGAAACCTTGGTGTAGTGGTCCACCTGCACACCCCCAATCAGTTATACCGAGGCTTACAGTGATTCAGTTTGCTTTTCACCTCCTAGGCACAGGTGACACCCAAAAAATACTTAATAATAAATGATAGATTGAGGTATTTTCCATAGCTCAAGACCCAACTTAAAAGCACTACACAATTCTTTTTCATCACATTTATATTGTAACTGTAAACTTGTGAAGATATTTTGTGCAAAGTAAGCTAGACCCTATCCAGCTAGGAGTTCCAGCTGAACTTCAAATTCATGTGCAGCTTTCAAGGGAGGACACTATATACTTACATCCAGATCCAGCCGTCTTCTTCTTGAACTTTGACATGGCCATGACAGCTTCCTGTCGCACCTGGCTCACGATGTCGGAAGCCTCCTTGTGGAGACGCAATCTGAATAAAGAAAAGAGGGCAGTATCATGAGATGATGCTAGTCAAAAGGAATGCATTATGAATGGATTAATAACATTCACGATCCAGGCAGTGGTTAAGATCTAAAATCAAATAAATTGTTGTAAAAATTTCATTTTGTAGAGAAAATGTCCATGTAGACAACTCTACAACTGTACTCTCTGTAGCAATCAACCATTCCCTACTATGGGGTAGTAGAACAGGGGTAGATGAAAAACAGTATAATAAAAAGTTGGTCATAATAAAGTATATGTATACAACAAATATGTAGTCCATAGTAGAATTAACAGAAGTGGTCCGAAGTGTAAGAAATAGATATTATAAACTAAAAATAATTATTTAAAAAAGTGCATGAATATATTGAAGCAGGGGTGATCACAGTAGCACTAATAGCACTGAGAAAGAAACAAGTTACGGCTAGACTCACCCAAATTCATCAAATTGTTGTTTGAGAGCAAAGGCGCTATGAAAGAGATTCTGAACGAGAGCGTCATATTCAGCCTTGACCTTACTGCGGACATCTTCTTCCTTGGTCAAAGCTTCTTGATTCATCTCGGTCAGCTTGGAACGTAACGCTGTGATCTCTGGTCAGTGGGCAATATCAACAAGAATCGTTCAGATTTCATCCCGAAAGTCATGATTGCCATGATAACGTAATTTTGTAATTCTATCTAACATGATCAACTTCATTTCGTAACAGCTAGTATCCATTAGACATTAAAGATTTGTTCATCATTTTATATTTCTCAACTTGGCAATACCATATCTAAAGACTGTCTTTATAGGCACACTCAACCTTTGATGTAATTGTACCAAGTGTTCCTTGGTACGTTTAGGTGTTTTAACCTTTTCTGTATTACAGTCACTTACATTTGGAACTAAGATGGCTAACATTCATACTGGAGACAGAAATACACATAGATGTTCACATCAATATCAGACGGACACAAGGACAATTTTAATCTAATATGAGTCTATAACAGAAATGAAAACACTGATTAAACACTTAAGTGTGCATCTTTGATAGTTTGTTAACTTACTGGAAAGGATAATATAAGTGTGACTGTGACGGCACAGTGGTAGAGCAGTAGTCTCGTAACCGGGAGGTCCCGGTTTGAAACCAATTCTATGCACTAGTGCTCTTTGGTAAGGCATTAATCTTCATTGACATTCAGCCCCCTGGTTGCTTGCATAAAAACATACACATACTTTCTTAGCAGTCAGATAAAGCAAACAAACAAACCAACAAACTAAGTGTCTTACCTAGTAGTAAGTCATGACTCCTATCTGCTAGCTGACATTGAATATCAACCACAGCAGCTGTCTGAATGTCATCGTAGGCCTGCTGAAGGTGCTTGATTTCCTGCGAATGTAAAACATACCATCAAATCATATCAGTCTACTAAGGATTCAGGATGATTGCTAATTTGAGATGATGAGTCATTGTCCATTCAGGCAAAACTCCAGAGAGGATGGTAAACCATTGATATTCAGTCCAGGGGCAAAATCAAAACCATTCCGATCACAAATGACTGTCCATACTTCAAGAAACGGGGAAATACTCAAATGATATGATTGTGAATGTGTTCTCCGCATTTTCTTTTGTAAAAAGTGCATCTTCAATCATTGTTTACTGCCTGTGGACAAGCAAGTACATCCATGTAAGATGATGTTCATATTCATATTCTAACGTCTTTTGGCAAGATATTAATGAACATTTGCCACGCTCCTCCCAGGTGTAGCCGGTAGGAAGAAATTCCTTGAATGCTTTAGCACCTTTTCATGGCAGCTCGGCTACAGCCGGAGTAATAATATCATTGCAGGGCACTCAGGGAGAACAGTATCAATACTGATGAGGCTACCCTGGGTATTGGGTAAACAATTAAGATATATTTTTATCATTATTATTATTATCATATTCTAAAAATGTCTTAAAGCAGGACCGCACTACTTACAGCTACTTGCACCCTCTATATATCAAACAATGCTTAATCAGTGCCTGTTGGTCCCCCATGATCCTCTTTTTCTGATGTTAATTGAGAGCTGATTTGATGAGATAACCACCTGTAAGTGATCTTGCAGGGAGGTCTAATACCCCATGACCAAACTAGTGCAGATAGGCTTTAATATCATTCAATTTGATTAAAATACATGTAGAATCATACTTGTTCTCGTTGATAGAGCAACTGATGATGCTGTCTGAGAAGATTCTCGTAGTACATGGAGTAGTTCTCATAGTTGCCTTTCTCTCTCGCCATGACGGCATTGGCCAGCCCCGTGAGGGCGCTATTCAGCTGATCCGAAGTGAAGATCACCTTGTCGCCCTCTCGCTGAGCCATGTTGTGAAGCGTTCGTGAGAAATCATCAGCAACATGGGGCTTGGGGATCATGAGACGTTCATTGATCACCTGTCAAACAAGACGGTGGTAATTTAAAAATATTCTCTTGAAAATATAGCTTCAATGTATGAAACAGTCTGATTAGGTCAAAGCTGATTAGGTCAAAGAAGCTTTGTGAATTGCAATTACTCCAACTTAAATTGTAACTATACTTGACCCTGGAAATTCCTAAAATATACCAGAGCGCCGTCTTACAAAGACTTACGATTGATCCAAATCAATCGCAAGTCCTCCAGTCAACCACAAGTTTGCAGTCTCTCTCATGTACTGTATAGTTGCGATTGATATCAATCGCAAATAAGTTCAGATTGATATCAACTCTTTGTAAGATGGGGGCCCAGGGTATTAAAAAAATCAAAATGAGCTTTACATGTACTTGTTATATGTTAATATAATGAATTGAAAATAGTAAAATATAGGTTACATAAATCATTTATTGCTTTTCAAGTTTGCATTGTGGAAGAGGTGCATATATAGAAATGTAAAATCATGGTTTACCAATCTAGCACCTGCAAAAATAAAAAGCAATTACTTTGTAAAGTCAAGCATTGTCAAGTTCAAGGACTCGTTTCACCAAGCCTTTTTTCAATACAAAATGACAAAAATCAGTGACAAATCTGCTGATAACCAATCAGAAGCAAGGATTGCACTGGCTTATAACAAACACTGTCATTTTTAACTGATGACAAGTTTTGTGAAATGGGGTCCAGGTCAAATGATGAAACACTTACCGGCCTCTTCCACAGGTCCGTAGGGAGGTTACCTTCATCCCTGGCCCTCTCGGCAGCAACGAGGGCATGCTCCTTGGCAATCTTACGCTGGAGCTCATGGATCATATGATGCTCCAGGTTATCAAGGAGCTTGACTAGCTGCTTAGCTCTCAGCTCCATCTCTGAGGCTCCCTTAGGAGCAATGATGGGCTCCGAGTCCATTACCATCCCCTCATAGAGGTCTCCCTGTGAGATAGAGAGAACATATGATTGAAAGGATATTCATCTCCAGGCTGATATCCTTTGGAAAGGCATTAGTCTACATTCGCCACTCAATACCCAAGAGAGAAATGGGAACCTGGTAGAATGACAAAAGCACTTGTGATAGTAATTGCCTATATACGGTGACCATATGGTAGGAATACTCGCCAGGGAGTGGAGATGGTGCACATTGTGTGTGAATGAATCCAATGACAGGGGTATTAATATTTGTAAAGCGCCTAGAGACGATATGCTGTATTAAGCTCTATATAAATCCAAATTATTATTATTATTATTAAACAAATACACATGGAAAACAGAAATACATTAACATTATTTCATAAATATGCACAAACCCAATACAAGGTATGCTCAAGGTGACTGCAAAGATCTTGTCATACTGCTGTGTAAAATATGAAAGCACCCTAGGTAATAGCAATTTACTTCATTTGAGGTGAGAACAGCTGGTAATATGTTCTGCCAAAGGACTTGGTGCAACGCTAAGGTTAAAACTGTCAACCCTTTGAATAAAATAATTTGTAAGCGCTTTGTATCTTATGTAACAGGGCTTTAAAAATGAAATATTATTATTATCATTACTAAGTCAAATGACTGAGCCACTCTAGATAAGATAAATGCTTTCTCACCTGTCCATATCTCCTTGCTATGCTCTTCACTACAGGGTATAGGATCTCCATCTTGTAGGTTTGGCTGCATGAAAAAAGTAAGATATATACATCAGATTCTGTCTCGTCAGATCACCATGAGAGAATAGGAGAGATGAGATTAAAAGAGAGCAGATGGGAACAGAAAGAGATAGATATATATATATATATATATATATAGAGAGAGAGAAAGAGAGAAATAGAGAGAGAGAGAAAGAAAGATATACATCAGATTCTGTACTGTTAGATCACCATGAGAGAATGGGAGAGATGAAATGGAAAGAAAGCAGGTGAAAACAGGTAGAGATAGAGAGAGATAGGGAGAGATAGGGAGAGATAGGGAGAGAAAGAGAGAGAGAGAGAGAGAAAAAAAGATATAAATCAGAGTCTTCGTGTTAGATCACCATGAGAGAATGAGAGAGAGGTGCATGAGATAAAAAGAAAGCAAGTGGGAACAGGAAGAGATAGAGAAAGTGGGAGAAAGAGAGAGAAAGAAAGATAACAATTTAAAGATGCAGATTCCATGCTATCCTGACAAGAGATAAAAGAGAGACAGAGAAAATTTGATTATGCAACTGGATGAAAACGGAAGTATTTCTCACCAAAACTTTCTATACAGAGCCGGAGTATCGACCTCTTCGATGACAAGCTTGCGTTGACCCCACTCCACCTTGAAGACCTCTAGACGTTTCCATAGCAACAAGAAATCCTTGAGTAGAGAGTAGGCTTTGACTGGTTCCTTGGTTCTGGAGAGAGCTTTACCGGTAGCTGAAACAACTACAAGAAACGTTTAGCGTTAATACTAATGTAATGAATTTCATTCCTTTATAATTAAACTACATTTAATGACTCAACTATCAAAATACAGTTCCCAATTAGTCATCCATAAGCATTGCCTTTTTTATTTAACTTTTCATTTTCATGAGTGTGCACAGTATCAGATAATTGGCACTAGAGGCTAGATCCTATCAGCTGTGTGGCTGATTTACTTTACAGCTTAAAGGGATCCGGTAACTTTGTCTCAGATTCTGAAAACACATTCTGGATTTAGCTCATGATGCAATGATAATTATAAACCTTTAGGTCAGTCAGGAACCCCGTGACTTTTACAAGCCGATCGCCTGTCTGATTATCAAGATATTTATGATTGGAATTACAAATTTTGAAAACCGTTCGCCTGACGGTTTTCATAACACTACAGTCTATTGGGGAAAACGAGTATGGTAAAACCGGTCACTCAAAGATTTTTACTTTTTTGAGGCACTTCTTGATCATTTTGAAGCGCAATTTTTGTAGGGCTTTAATATTACATCATATCACAGACACTGATAACACGTAGGGCCGTGTATCTCAGATTTAACATTGTTAAACGATCCCTTTAATGCATTACCTAAATGCATCTTTCCTATATATCTTTTCTGTTAAGTTGTGTGGTAATTACTTTTTACATGCATGAATTATGAATGATTAAAACTGCCTAAGAACAGGTGCAAGAACATTCATTCTCTAGGATTATAAAACCAAATATACAACCCCCCCAAAATAATAAAAGCTGTCAAAACTGATCTGATAGACCGTTCAAAGATGATCCAATACATACCTTGCTTGGATTCCTTCACAACAGACCCACTGCTGGCACTGGCTGGTCTAGAATGAGAAGAGGACCTGGTACTAGCAGCACTCCTGGGTCTAGACGGAGCCTTGCCGGTATGAGCTCCTCCATCTTCACCGTCACTATCATCAGGAGACATGGTGATCTCCTGCTGGCCACTCAGTAGGACGTCCTCCATCAGAAGGGATACACCTAATATCTCTCCGTTGGCTACATGTCTGGAAAGGAAAAATTCTACAATTGTCAATTCTCTGAGAAAATGGGGGAAATGGAGATAATAGTGTCATAATAATTTATTATCGTGTTTACAATTATGATTATGATTCTTTCACCAGCCCAATACACCTAAAATCTAGCCATTGGCTATATGTCTGGTGAAACAATATTATGATTTCTAATTTCTCTGAGAAAACTTAAATGTAAATGATAGTGTCAAAATAATTTCTTATTGTGTTTATTGTTGTTATTATAATTCTTTAAACAGCCTGTTAAATGATTTACTTCCCCTCTATTGGCTTTCCTTTTATGGATTGTGAAACTTTTCTGAATTTCTGTCAGTAATGAGAAGAAAAAAAGTGTTCTATAGGATATTATCCCAATGAAAAATCTCTTGACAAACTTGGTTAAAGAGTAAAAAGAAAACAACTATCCCTCCCTTCTTTCATTCTGATTGTAATTTTTATATGGAATTCATCAAACTTAAAGCCCCACTGCACTACTTATAGCTACTTGCGCCCTCTATATAGCAAACAATGCCTAATCGGTGCCTGTTGATCCCCCCCATGATCTCCTTTTTCTTATGTTAATTGAGGGCTGTTTTGATGAGATAACCACCCGTTTGTGACCTTGCAGGGAGGTCTAATCCCCCTGGCCAAACTAGTGCAGACGGGCTTAAAGACTTCTACCACTGATGAAGGTCTTTTCTACCTACCTGTCCACATCCTTGAGTCCTGATAGACATAGCTGCATGTTGTGCTCAATCTGCTGCCACTGCCAAAATCTTAGCTGGAATGGTCCTCTCCTGTTAAATGAGGAGAAGACAAATGGAAAGTTCTTTTATACAGTCATGGCTAATGTGCGAAAGCCCTCAAATGCCAGCCCAATGAACAAACAATGTATACAGGAGAGCAATTAGTTTGACGTTGTCACTGAATCCATTTTCGTACGAAGCATAGGTACTTCATAGGATGTTCATGCGTGGGTATATAGACGTTCGTGAAGAAGGCAACTTGGCGATCACTACACAACACTGAGCCAATGGGTATTACGCTCCTGTGCATACGTCCATGTGCTGCCCGCTATATACCCACGCTTGAGCAACTTTAAAGCATTTCTTGGCATGCTTTCAGCTTTAATAGGCCAGCACTGCTGTAGTCAGGGTGATGCAAATAACATCAAACACTTTGCAGCATCTCAAATAAAGTACTATACAAGCATAACTAATCTATGCCCAGTCCTAGTCCTAGAATGAAATAAAATAAGTTCAATAAAGGGAAACCCCCTACCTGCCCATGAAGGTTCTATGAGGGAACAGCTCCTGAGCCTTGCTATCCCTAGACTGCAGAGGCTCCGGGACAGGCATGTAGGTGTTGTAGAGCGTTGGTCTCTGGACGTTGCTCAGGGCAGGGAGAGCGGATGACATGTTCATGGTCACGCTACGGTACCCACCAACATTCTTTGTGGATAAGAGAGTGTCTCGAAGGGTGTAACGGACAGAGGAGTCAAACTCCAGGAAGAGGATGTCTCGTCGTAGACTCAAGAAGTCAGCAATCTACATGCAGGAGAAAGAAAATTACGGATATCATAGAAGACTAAGATCACAGAACTTAAAGTGAATAAAATCCTATATTAACTGCTGGTATTTTTTTTTAAAGTCTTGTTCATGTTTCTCTATCATTGCGTTTCTAACAATTCCCTTAGACCTTGATCGTGGCGTAGCTCCCTGTCATGACTACATAACATGCTCAGTTGCTCCTGGGTCAATTTCTTACACTAGTCCAACTCCTAACCCTTTTTTCTGGACCTCAAACTCTATTACTATAATATTATAACTAATTAGCTAAAACCAAATCCACACGACCTTTGACCCTCTCACCCTATATCTTTGACAACATGGAGAAGTCTAGGGTAATTGTTGGCACAGCAAATGTTGGATCAATTTCCTACACTAGTAGAGTTCTCAAATTCATACCTGGGCCCTATCTTAAAAAAGCTGCTTTTAATCACAACTTATTTGCGACTGATATCAATCGCAACTATGTACATAAGAGATAGGAGACTGTAACTTGCGATTGATTGGAGGACTTGCGACTGATTCGGATCAACTGAAAATCTACATCGAACTATCACCCTGATCCAAAACTGGACCTAAAACACATCAAAACCTTAATGCTATAACTTTATGTCTTTGATAAAATGGTGCTGGAGCAAATGTGTGATCACCCCCTCCTTCCTTGTGATACTAACCTGTTCAGGGTCATGAGGGTCTTCCATGTTGTTGATTTGTTTCTGGATCTCTCTGAGTTCAGAGCAGATTCCTTCCGTACCTCCCCAGTCTGCAGTGATATCCTTCTTCTGAGAACCAAGTCTGAGTTTTAGGAGAAAAAACACAAAGTTTACTTATAAAAAGATTGTTACAATCTATACATATGTTCCAATATTAAATGACTTCAAACCAACATGTAGTCTTAAAAAAATAGCTCCAACCATATTTATCAATGAACACATCGTCTTATAGAGAAAGACAACGAATTTTCCTTTTGATGAAATGTACCATTTTAATCATTTTCATTACATAAAAGTGGTCTAAAATGTAGATTACATTTCATACCTCTACCAAAATGAAAGACGATATGATTGTGCTAAATACTATGGGTCATTTTACCTGGCTGAAAGAGGAAATTGAAAATAATCGGTTTTAATTAACTAATTTTTTTGTGTTACAATTTACACCTGTCCATACCTCGTATAAACCATAAACTAAAGCAACATTACCAGGTCAATGTACTGTGACTATCCAGTACCTGTGTTTTTAATGTCTAATGTGATATCGGAAACTGTAGGAGGGGGCAGGCAATATACAAATATACCGTCTTGAGAGGTTCTGATTAAAACTATCCGCAAGAGGTGACTCTAATGCTCATAGTTTTAACCAGCACCTCGAAAAGAAGGCATTGTATATTTGTTTCATATCTTGCATCAAAAATTTATTTTAAAAAATAAAAGAATATTATCTTTTGAAATTTGTTATTGGAATTTAGACAATTTTGAATTTTTATTAAAAAAAGAATTGAAAATAATAAAAAAATAATTAAATTAAAAATTTGAAAAAAAGATCAAATTTAAAAAAAGATCAAATTAAAAAATTAAAAAAAATGTCAACTCCCAAATAATACTTTTTCAGAGCGACCTTAAAATAGTTGAAATATTTCTGGTCATGTAATGAGCTCTCAACGAGCCCATTCAAGTAAACATTGGATGCATTAAAAAAAGTTCAATAAATACCTTGCATGTGAGCTACCAAGCTTGGAGTGTGCACACAAGTACTGCAGGATGTCATGGAGTGCAGATATGATCCGCAACGAGACGGAGAGCGCCCCCACACAGGTGTCCTCGTCCAGGTTCTTGAACATGACCAGGGACTCGGTGTGATGGGGTAGAAACCACATGTTGAGGAGGGTGGTACCATCGGGGGATAGCAGACGTCTCGGGCGTTTCTTCAGCTCCCTGTAATCATAGATGGACAGAATTAAATTTAGTGTGATATGTCCATTGCAGTGACAAATAAAATGACAAGGGGCTATGGTCTTTAAACCAAATGATATCTATGAGCACAGATTCTACCGTTACAATTAAAACTAAGTTTAAACTAAACTAAATTTTTAATTAAATTAAAAATCTGAGAATAGATAGTGCTTCTCACCTTGGGTTTGTTTCTAATCCATTCACATCGTCGTCGGGAGTCTTTTTCTCGTTTTGCACGCCGCAGACAAAGTGAGTCATCCTGACGTTCTTGAACTCCTCCAAGAGATTCATCATGCTGTTGATGTAGGAGATGATCTGGCCTCTCAAGGAATACTGCGACACACGGCGCATGAAACGGTGACAGAACTTCATTATCAGCTCCCTAGGAATAGGGGGGAAAAGGAAGAGAATAAGGTATAACGCAATTAATTATAAAGTGTTTCTTCTATTTCAATTCATCTATCTGAAAAAAGAATATAATCAGGACTTAATTTGATATTATGATTATCACTGAACAAAGTAAAATGAACTGAATGAGGTATAATGTCATACAATCTCCTTTATCTCACGAAGTTACACACACAAAGTCAAGAGGCAACTGGTATATAAAATGGCTCACTGATGCCACAACTAGGTGTTGTGGCGTGCGCTTGTAATCCAGCTAACAATGGAAGTTACAAACTGATTCAGCCGAGGACGCAGGTTCGAAACTGAGTCACGTCTTTCAGATGGTGACATTTAAAGGTCGGTCCCCAGACGTAAATAATCATATCTAATTGATACACGTCTGTAAAAACCCAATACACACACACGCACCGGCTTCCTGTTGCAAGAGCAAACACAGAGTTATTATTCAATATCAACAACAAAACACACATCCATAACAACAGAGTGAAAATAATTTTTCCCTTGCTGCATTCTACACATCGACCTGGGCCCTGTTTCATAAAACTTGTTATCTATAACAAATGCTAAATTTCTATTGCAAATTTGCTCTCAGCCAATCAAATGCCACAATTTTAGTAGCTTATAGCAGTTATTGTAACTTGTTATTGATAACAACTTTTTATGAAACAGCTAGGGCCCTGGTGTACGCTTGAGCAACTTTAAAATAAGATACTATTTACCTCTTGAGTTTCTCAACCTCTTCAGGGTTCTTCATGATGGTTCCTCGACTGGATTTTACTTGAAGGAAGTTATTCAACATGACATCTCGAGAAGGAGTCTGTAAACAAAGTAGAAAAGAGAAATCATATGAACTGTACAGATGAGACGTATAGATAATAATAATACTAATTAAAAAGATAAGATCAAATATTGTAAATATCGTCAGCAGTTTTATGAACCGATGAATTTGTCACATATGTGACTGAACAAATTCACCAGTTCATAATATTAACAAAGGAATAAAAGTAAACAGAGAAGGAGAGAAGGACAAAGAAATGGAGTAAAGGCAAGAAGCACAACATTACAAATAAACATGGCAGAAAGAATGAAACATGTGAGACAAAAAGACAGCGACAAGATGAATTTCAATACCTTTTCCAGCTGCAAAGAGACAAATGCCTCCGGTGATCGCTTGTGTTTTTCCATGCCTGATTTGAGCTTAGCAGCAAACACCACAGACGCTGTAGAGATCCCTACTGCACTGGATTTCCTTCCCTGAGACCGGGAAGACTGACTCGTCTCTACTGGAGCATTACTGGGCCTGTTGAAAAAAAATCAAAAAGATTGATATGATTTTGACATTATTGCAGATATAAACTCTTTTGCAGTCTTCTTTGGCTTTTTGGACATGCAATGGATTGCTGTTGTTGACTTTTATGACATATACGGTGTCTAGAAATACAGTACACCAAACAAAATGGTAGACAAGTGATTCAGTTCCCAAAGGTGGATCTAATCCTTGAATATGCTATCATACATAATAGAAGAATCAAATAATTCTTCTCTAGAAGGTTCTGTGAAGACAATATATATTAGTAGACAGATCTTGTTTCATAAAGAGCTGCGACATTTCTATATCATTCAAGAGTCTTCCAATTGGTCACAAACATACAACAGCCTATCTTTTATGTACAGACTTGTGACCAATATCAATCTTAAGTTATATTATAGTCTACCGGTAGTACAATCACAATTTTTTTTAGGGACAGAAGAACCCTGGCCTTTTCTGATAAATAATTAAAGTTGAATAAGAACAGAGGATCCCCCATGGTCGGATCGAGTGATTCGGTTGAAGGAATGAAACTTACTTCTGTCTTGCAGGCGTACGGTCTAAAGCTTCTTTGAAGTATGAACACACGCTTCCCTGCTGAATAGCAGCGAGTAATGCATTCTTATGAACAACCTGGGTCATGAGAATAGCACGTATGTTCTGCTGTCCGTTCCTCTTCATGATCTGAAAGAGATAAATTGATTTATTTTTTAGTTTATCACAAGGTACAGGTACTCAGATACCATTTCTAATATGACTGCTTACTTCCTACTATGTACAAAATAGATTGTAAAATGTAATTTGGCAACTGATGCTACAAGCTTTGAGACAAGCTAGTTTTTCATCCTCCTCCTCCAATATAACTCCTCTCCTCTCCCTCCTTCTCTTTCTTTCTTTCTTTTCTCTCTCTCTCTCTCTCTCTCTCTCTTTCCCTTCCCTTCTCTGTATCTTTATTTGTGTATCTTGCACTTGCCAGTTCTCTCTTTCTTATGTGATACATTTATCAGTCACAATAATTTTTTTTTTCCTTTCAACGGACTCGTTAAGTGTTTATCATGAATTTTATTCCTCTATATCTATTTCCTTTATTGCTATCTTCCCCCTTCCCTCCTTACCTAGTTTATCATTCTTCTAAAATTAATAAATTCTTCCTTCCTTGACTTGCTTTGTAAAACATCTCATGGAAATATCGTTGACATCATTGACACATAAAGGGAAATATAATTAACCCATTGGCTACTGAATTCTCTATCTCCAATAGGCATAATACAGGGACCATTCGGCTCCAGTAGTCAATGGGTTAATAAAGCTATAATGTACAGTGGATTGCTGACCGTGATGCCATTCAAGACTGCAGCACACATACCTTCAGACATCCCTCCTTGGTACGGAAGCTGAACATGCCAACATGCTTCTCGTCTAGTTCTTGGATAGCCAAGAAGAGTTTGGCTGGAGTGTAGCGGTCAAGATTAGAATCATCCTCCTGCAGGGCCGTCATGAAGAGAGGCGGAGGCTGGTCGGCGTCGTCTTTATGAGTGGCAAACTCAAATTGGACACATCGCATGAACATGTGGAATTCATCGAAACCCATCTCTACTGCTTGCTCCCTGTACATCTGCAGAAAGAACAGCATAGAGAAAATAGGTAATAAAATTGTTAGTTAACAAGTAGGGATAGTGCTAATGCATTGTACGCCCTGTACGCAAAATGACAGGATATCTACAACAAACCATCTCACTCACAACTCTCTCTCTATATTTTTGGCAATTACTATAAATAATCATCTCTGATGCCTGTGCTTAAGGGATATATTAAATATCAAATTTCATACCCTTGCAAAATTGATGTTGTGGTAATTATATACCTAATCTGGCATTCATTATCAAACTATGATTAACTTTATTTAAAGCATTTAGAGTTTAACAGCTACATTGACTGAAAGAACAAGAGAAGTTAGATGAGAGTGGATATTTCGTTCATTTACTAATTTTTACTGACAGAATTCAGTTGTTTTTCATCCATTTCTATAATATGTTCTCTGAAAAAGAAAGATATTGTTCAACAAATGTAATGAGGACCATTAGAGAGTGACATACCTGAGCAAGAACTTCAGTCTCCCAAGAAGTCTCAATGAGTCTGTGTCTCAAGTTTAGCATCTGTATTCAGAAAAACAAAATGATAAAGATAGAAAAAATTAGTATTTCTTATACAAAAAAGATGTTTTTTTAACCCTGCAAAAACAAACACATAGAAGCTATAACTACCAATTTTAGACTCATAAACACAATTCATGAGCTCTGGATTCCTGTGGCATTCTAGATATCAATATATCTGTGGTACAATCATGAACTCATGAAACGACCTGCTTTGCATCACTCTTTGAACATTCACTATAACTAGCAATCTTTTTAGGATTTAGTATTCTACATTGTGTTCAATGTTTCTGTGATTCCATTATATTTTCTAATTTGAAAACATACAATTCCACCACCACCACCACCACTGCTATTAACAATATCACCACTACCACCACCACCACCCCTACCATAACCACCACTACCACTACTTCCAACAATATCACCAATATCACCACCACCACCACAACCATCACCACCACCACCACAATCACCAATACTACCACCACCACTACTACCACCACTACTACCACATCCATCACCACCACCACAATCACCACCACATCCATTACCGCAATCACCACATCCACCACCGCAACTACCACATAACCACCACCACCACCACCACAGTTGACACTATTCTCCAGTGCCATCGATGCTGTATAAGCCCTTCTTACCTCCATGACATCAAGCCATATCTTGAGGTTGTCGGCCTGCTTCTCTTTGGCTGTTCTCCTCCCTGCTGCAGCCTCCTGAGCCTCCATACGCGTCGCTGCAAGCTCACACACGAGGAGAGGATCCTCAATGAACAGGTCAGAGAACAGCTGTACCAGAACAAGAGATATAGAGTAATAAGTGACTTTGATAAGAAAGGAATAAATGCAAATACAAGCTTTCACTTTGATGCTCTTTATATGAGCAAACCATTTGTACTTTTTTTACCGCAAAGTTATCATTCACTTTATTGGGGGAAAAAAAATCATATCATATGCATTGAGATGTTGTAAATTATTTATATCACTGTATGCAGATATATGTATCATTAACCACTTATAAACATGCACAGTAAAAGTTGTGCTACTCTTTGTGGAATAGTGACAATAATATAGTCCATTCTCACAAACACCCTTATCAACACCTTCTTGCAATAGCCATCATCACCATCATCATTACCATCATTATTTTCATTATCTTCATCATCATCACCATTATCGTCATCATCTTTATCATCATCATCATCATCATCATCATCATCATCAACAACATCATCAACAACATCATCATCATCATCAACAACATCATCATCATCATCAACAACATCATCATCAGCAACATCATCATCATCATCATCATCATCATCATCATCATCATCATCATCATCATCATCATCATCAGCAACATCATCATCATCATCATCATCATCATCATCACCATTACCACAATCATCATTATTATCCTGAAACACATTCAAATGTTATGAATGATACTGTCCAATACTTACATCTTTCTGTATTTGAGCATTGAAGCTATGTCCCATAGGCTTCTGTTCATTCCATTCTTTCTGTACCGTCTCCCATAGTTTCTTCTCCATGGCGATAGCCTCAGACTCGGTTTCAGGTTCATGGCAGTGGTAGAGCTCCTGTTGGTTGTAAAGTCATTCAAAATGTACTTCTTCCTTTCATTTCTCAGGACAAAATCTAGGGTCCGAGTATCAAGATGATCATTTCTGTCTTCTAGTAAATCATAGATATGTCAATGTGCAAATATAAAAGGTTTTAATAATTACACTATTGTATTCTGTGACGTTCTCTTCCACAGCATGCTTTTTCCTTGCTTTTGTCAATAACATTCTCTAGAATCCAAGCTCTTTATAATGTGACAGGATCTCCTATGTTATTGTGTAACTAGGGCTTCAATAGCGATGAACACTTTTTGCACAATGCCTATAGATATATCTTTCTGATCAACTAGGTTCTCATGAAAACAATTATGAGCATTATTCTCGACAAAGATCAATCCTACAAATTAATATTTATGTACGAAGTAGAAATTTCTAGCATTGTCCTACTCACTCAGAGTGAATCCCAACGTTTGCTAACACGACAAGATCTTCTAAATTATTTTGCTTCAATTATGATGAACACTTTTTGCACCATGCCTATAAATATATCTTTCTGATCAACTAGATTCTAATTAAAACAACTGTGAGCATGAATCTCATCATAGATCAGTCCCAATCATATATATTCAGGTACAGTGAAACCTGTCTATAAAGACCACCCGAGGGAGACAAGAAAAGTAGTCTTTATAGGCAGGTTTTTATTTATGTACAGGTTCCTTTAGTACATGATTCAATGAGAAACCATTTTCAGGGGAAACAAAAAATGTGGTCTTTGTAGACAGGTGATTCACTAAAGCAGGTTTGACTGTATGATGTTTCTAAGCATTGTCCTACTCACATTGCAAGCATATCTCACAGCCTGTGGGATGCGACTGACGAGAGCGAGGGAGGGGTGGAACTCCAGCAGAAAGACGTGTTTGAGGGCGGGGCGACTGAGGTTGATCGAGATTGGTTGTTTCTGTACGATGGCATGAGGAAGACCAAACTTGTTTCCTTCCCTTGTGATCCGCTTGATGTACTCGCGCTGACTCTCAATCTACAAAAAAAAATCAACATAATCCAGTTTGATGCTGCTTATTAGTATCAGCTTGCATGGTGATGTAGATATACAGTAGGCTTCCGGTTGCATCATGTGAGAGAGCGAGGGGGAGGATTGGGGAGTCTTGAAAAGGACTGTCGGTAAACTTTCTTCTCTCTCACAAGGTGCAACCGTAAGCCTACTGTATATCAATCCAGTTTGTTTTAAGTATGACTAAAATAATTCTTAGTTTTTAAATTTATTTCACTTAGAATTATAACATAGAAAGTATATGCTAAGAGGTAAGCAAAAAATAGACAGAATGCTCAAATTCATGTTGAAGGACAAAGTATACTCTATGTACATGTAATTTGCATAGGTTACTGACTCTATTTTAGTTTCATGGGCAGGATTTAGCAGTTACAAGACTGTTGGGCTTCACATGTTCTTCTAAAAAAATACATATATTAGTCTTCACTGATGACAGCCTGCTGTCGTTTATAAGTTTAAGTCTGACAAGGAAAATAATTTTGATTTTGTAATCAGGAAATGCTTCTAATCAACTCGACCAATCAGATAAACCTCTTGATGGATGCCAGTGTACCTGTTTGTCAGTTCAAGTCTTACAAGGTAAATAAGTTTGATTGTGTAACCAGGAAATTGTTCTAATCAACTCTACCAATCAGATGAATATTTTGTGATGGATGCCAGTGTACCTGTTTGTCAGACACTGACTTGACCACTCCACAGTGAAGCTTCAGACATCGGGACTCCATCTTGTACGTCTTCACGAAGTAATCCGTCTTGAAATCAAAGCGAGGGCGCTTGTGCACAATGTTCGTCATCTCCTGGGCGAGGGCTCGCTTCTCATGCATGTCAAATACATTGTGGTAGGCTTCAAGATAGACATCAAGAAGCTATGAACGTGGGAAAGAGAAATAGAATATAAATAAATCTTCTCATGCATGTCAAATACATTGTGGTAGGCTTCAAGATAGACATCAAGAAGCTGAAAACATGGGAAAGAGCAATAAAATTTAGATAAATAATGTACCAAAAATGACAAATGAACAGAGAGAAAAAGTTTTTTATGATAACACAGCAGAGTGAAATCTCGAGTTTTTATAGCAACTGAAATAGAATGTGAGAAACTTAACAAATGAATGTTCTATGCTGAATATAAATGATATCTGCCTATTCAACATAATACAGAATCTATAATAGTTGAGTACAAAAGCAAAGAGAGACAATAAAATAACGCTATTCGTCCCATCCATGCATGTGTCCAGCATGGTTTCAGTGAGGTGGCTTACCAGCAAGCTTTCCTTAGCATGTTTACATTGTACACACTGAATTGTTAATCAGAGACATCAAGCATGACTAGTCAGCTATTGCATCCTGATGAGGGCTTGTTAAGATAGAAAAAAAGTAGTAACAACTTATGTTTAAGCACTTTCATATTCCAACTGTTCTAATGGTATTAACGGGTCAGCAATGGCGACATACCTGTCTCTTGTTTTCTAGGAACTCTGCTTCATTGGTCCATAGGTCAAGAAGGATAGCATGGCGGTCAACCAGAGAGTGACCATAGCCTGGGATATCCACATTATCATCATGACTCTATGAAAGAGAGAGAGGGATAACAGCATGGTATTAGGTTCATCTTGGAAATAAACACATTACTAACTGGAGGTTTTCAGCCCCTTACTTTATTCAAAGAATATCACATTAATTAGAAGGTTTGTACACACAAAGAATTTGTTTTAAAAACGTTTTCAGAAGTGTATGGCCCTGCCTACAATTTCTATTGTTGCATCAACACAGATTTCGTTTTTATATACTGAAGTTCTGTTCTGCTGTCAAGTTACATACCAGCCTATATTCAGTTTCAGTTTCAAGTTTTATTTCTGCATTTTCCATAAACAATAACAAAAATAACAATGAATACATTTTAGCAATATAATGATAAGTAATAGAAGTAGTAATTCACAAATAAATAAATATAAATAATCAATAGTACAATTAATCGTATTTGAAAAGAAAGAAAAGGGGGAGAATGCAGAAGACCGATATCGTAAGCAGAGCTTGAAATGATACAGGCCTTACAAAAGGAGGAGAGGAGACAGGAAGAAATAATTTCCTTTTTATATACAAATAAACAATGAATATTTATATTAAAACAAGTACATGTAGTATATTATGACCAGAATCTATTGATAATACATATTAAACAATCACTAAAAAAAAAATTAGACTTACCAAGTAGTGCAAAGGAAATTTGGCCAGCACAAAACTCTTTCAAGACATGACAAACATAAGTCATTCACATTTTAGCTTGTTACAAATTTGGGATAGGGAATATGAACAAGATGCATTTATACCATGCAGATTCGAGAACACACTACACAAGAATTGGAAGAATACCAGGTTTTGTGGTGCAAAGGCATATCACCATCAGTTATATACGGTCAATAGCTACATCACTTAACATTTGCATTACCCCTTGATGCCTTTATCAGGAGCATGAGATGTAATGATACTTCTACAAAAAGAAAAAACAATGTCTAGGAGTAGATTCATTACCTGTCGTCTAGAGGAGCTGCTCTGTGACATGGCAGGCCTGGTCTTCTTGCTGCGGTTCTCTCGGTCTTTCTCTATGAAATGGGTTGCTATTAGCAGTAGGTCAGTCTCCAAGTTCCTGTCACAGGATAAAGATTCAATAAGTAGGATTGTTCAGCTGATGTAGCAGAGCCACAGAAGACATTGATACAAAGCCCTCGAAACCACCCGTCTACAAATAATTGCATTTTGTAATATTGTGAATTTTAATGTTCTGTATTTTCCACGTTTGTCATTTATTTTATCCACTTCCTTCAAGTCACTGGCTTTATCGGGTGATAATGATCCAGTACACTTCTCAATGTATATATATATATTGTATGTGATTTTTTTAAAAAGAAATAATAAATTGAATTGAAATGAACAATAACGATAGCTACATGTATTGTATCCATCTCAAGAGCTGCACAAGACACTTACAAACTGCAGACTACATTTGCTACATCCTAGCTGGTCTAAGGTACTAGAAGCATTCAATCAGTTCCTTCTAATCAGGTAACCTTTACATATTTCCATTCAGTTACTATATTTCACTTGTTAGAAACAAGAAAATGAAAGATAATGACTTGGCATTTAACCCATTACCAACAGGAACAGGGTGGTCCTTGTGTAAAGCCTATGGAATTTAGAGAACTTGGTAGACAGTGGGTTAAAAATAACTAATACTAAAGATACAGTCAAACCTGCTTTAGTGACCACCTGTCTACAAAGACCACCTGTCTACAGCAAGCACATTTTTTTCCCCCGTGTAAATGGTTTCTCATTGAAACATGTACTAAAGGAACCTGTCTACAAAGACCACATTTTGTGTTTCCCTTGGGCAGTCGCTGTAGACAGGTTTGACTGTACTTACTTTATGTCTTCCTTGGCCTTGTGATAGATGATGTAGTAGCCTCTCTGATCCTGTACATGTACCCTTCCTTCATCGATGGTGTAGAAATCATCGTGATTCTCAATATCAGAAAACTCCATGAACTCTGATTCCGACAACCTGAATAGAGTAGTAGCAAGTAATTAACAAGGTATAGTACTCATTGATGAAAGTTTCAAACAAAATCACTCATAAGACTGAATCATCAAACATCTTGCTCTTAGATTTTCTAGAGTTGCTCCTGTTGATTTCCAAACAAAACATTTTTATCACAGGCACTGGTTTGATCCAATGGCCTATATGGAAATATGCTCTATCTTTTTTTTCTTTTGACTTTCTCAAGAGGAGCAACAAAACTGAAAGCTTTGATGGCAGAAGGTGAATAATAAAGACATACCTTGTTGTGTTGGGGGGGGGGTGGGGTGGGTTGGTGTGACTTTTTTTAACTAACAGTCATTATTAGATATATTATATCGTGCCCTCTCATGCTTATCTCCTTTCTAATGCGCATTTCTCTTTGCTCACCTTCTTCTCAACCCCACATGCAGCTCATCCTTTTGTATTATTTTCTGATCTCTCACTTCTTTTTTGACATTGTCCACTCTTTGATTTGTGACCGCGTTCTCCTATCTCATTTAAAGCACCCTCTTGTCACGTTTTTGTCTCTGTTGGCATCCCCTTTTATTCCCTATTTTGTAGTTACTTTTGTACTTACGAACTTGTTAATTTAATTACTCATTATTCCCAAGTATCATTTGAGGGGTCCACAATTGTACAAGCATTGCTTTTTAGTGGACCCCTCTGTTTCCAATAAGTATTCCTAAAATGTTGTAAATGTTTATACTTGATTTGTAATGTTTTGTTGGAAACATACATAAATTGAATTGAATTGAATTGAATTAGTAATATTTATCTATTTTGCAGCTCTGGGGTTGCACTTTTCTGACAGCTTACATTGCACAGCTCTCTAAATCCAAACGGACGGTTGCTCTGTATGGTTTCAAAACCGAAGCATTATCTCCTTTCTAGGACATCCCTCTTTCCTACCAAGACGAATTCCATCTTAATCAAACAATAAATTTTGAGGATACAGCTCCTTCATTTATTACAGTCATTTACACAGTTTGAAAATGAAACTCACTTGAATTCTGCTGGTGTGTTATGCAGGTAACCATGGTTACCGAGTCCTCCTCCTCCACTCATGCCTGCCTCCGGTGTTCCTTGTCTGTGATTCTGATGACTGTTTAGAGAGACAAAGTAATTGAAGCGTAGGACATCAATAATCATCTTTCCTCAGCATCAAATGAATAGGCTTGCTTAAATCTTCACAATCATTTCAATACAACACAACAAATAAAAGCAACAAGCACACATTGTATGAGAAGAACCTGGAGTTCACTGATCTATAATTATGCAAAAAATATAATGCAGACGAGAATGGATTAAGGTAATGATATTAAGATTTTATGCAATATCATAGTGCCCTGTGACTTGTGTTGTGAAGATTTTAAGATTAAATAGTTTCAGTTTCAAGAAATAATGTCTAAAGCTTTAAAATGACCTTAATTCAAAGGATTTATAAGATATAGCATGGACGAATTTGAGAACTGATGTGCAGAAAACTGAGAACATGACAGCACTGGGCCCCATCTTTGGTAATACTTACAAATTGAATCATCAGAACTCACCTTAATCTCTTCTGAGTGTCGCCCTCTAGTGACAAGCCCTCGTCGTTGATGGTGAGGGTTCTCTCAACAGAGCGGAAATAGTTTAACACACTGAGACACTGTAAATAAAATAATATAACAATACCATTATGAGGTTACAGTGCATCTCTTCAACACCTTTTGCAGCATGTATAAATATTCGAGAAGGAAAAAGATGGTATTATTCTGACAAGAACCTTTGGTGAGGCGGGGCTCTAAAGGACTTCACTATACAGTTTGAGTAAATATCATGGATTTTTAAAGTACTTTTAGGGCTGGAGTTGACTTTTCTTTCTTCAGTGTTATCTTTAGGCTTATGTCAGATCAAGGCCCTTTTTTTTAAAGCGTTGAGATTTATCAGATTGATCGCAAGTCCTTCAATCAATTGCAAATTTACAAGCTCCTATCTCTCTAAAATACATCCTTGCAATTGTAACTGATTACAATTCAATTTGATTCCAATAAAATACACAAAACAGAAGACAATCATGACAGAATAACAGTGTAAATCCATCAAGAGTACAAAATAGGGTAAAATGATAAAACAATAAAGCGATACATCAGATAACAACACAGCATTATTGGAATTGGGTGGCCATAAAACAACCATGAGGATATGTCGAGACGACCCTTAATACAAGACGGGTCCCAGAATGATAAATGATGCTTACTGTCCTTTGCAGATCTCTGATTCTGAGATGCCGAAGATAGAGATACGAGAGATACCCTCCTTGAACCATGGTAGGATCCTGCTGGCTGCTGCTATCATCCTCAAGACCAAGCTTCTGCAAGGCATCAGCAAACGTAAACTCATCCTCTTCACCCTTCTTCTTCCGTCTACGAGACGTCGCGCTACCAGCCCGTGACCCTGTACCGTAGGTCATGGAGTTGACGTCTTTCTCCTCAAACTCTGTCACAGCCATCTCGTCTTCCTGGCCGATACTGGTATGGACAACAAACAAAGAATATTGAAAACCAAGTTTATTTACTGCTTCCAAACCTAGAGTGTAAGGGGCAATATATGATGGAAATAACAATCAGACAGTCGCTATTTAGTAGGTACATTCTTATGAAGGATATATCACATTTAGTACCCAGAGCATTACAGGCAGTCTCAAAAGCAAGTCTCTTGTTCTCTTGGCTCATACAGTGTTGTTTTTTATTTTGTATTTGGTACAATTATTTTGTTATCTGAGAGCAATGATGTTTAATAGCAAGATCCAAAGGAACTATGGCTTAAAATCTTATCCAAGAGAAATGACAACAGAATTTAAATGTCCAGCCGAACAACACCAGAAAAGTGATATTTCTACGCTTAACCACTTTCTGAGAGGTATAAAACTGAGAGAATCTTTACATTTCAAAAAGTTCCGGGTTACAGTAGATCTTCCTCCATATGGTGTTGGTGTTATAGGCTGTTCGGTGGGATGTTACTGATGCTGCTTGGAAGTTTGGGGGCTCTCGTACTGATATAGCATGGGCTCGCAGGGCATCAATCACTTTCTGTAATAAATTGACAAATAAAGAAATGTGTATCAGTGGTTAAAGCAGCAATGGCCTCTAAGAACAATAGTGGATTAACCTAACAATTCCTTTGGCACGGGTGCTTCTTTTAAATTGGTGTTGATGAGAATAATTTCTACACCCGTCACAATTATTAAATGATAGATGATTTTAATCTATCAAAGCAATCATTCAATGAAGGTAGCCATAATGCCAGGTTTGACTGGTTATAATAAAATGGACAAGTAAATGATTCACTAAAAAGAAGAGTAAACGATTTTCCACTTCGGATAAACAGGCATTCAATGACACTGGCCAACATAGAGAGTTTGACAGTAATGTACTGATATATACAAAATACATATATATTTGAATTTGAATTACTGTAACAACTGACCCATTTATGAATTTCCTTTAAAGTATACAACTTCAAAGATAATTTGAAAAATGATTGAATCAAAATAAAGTTTAGTTTTTTTAATTATCTTACCACCGAGTCTTGAACTGAGATGAAACGTGACTGAGCTCTGAGAAGTTCATCGATACTGTTCCTCTGTCTTAGTTTCATCATCATCTTCTCCTGCTTAGGATCCTTCTCTGGTCTGCAGGTCAAAAAAAATATTATGTTTTATAGTAATTTACCAGCACAGAAAACAATTCTACAAAGTCTGTAGGTGAATAAGCATATTAAAAAAGGGTGGTGTTGTTCAGAAGAATAATAAGGATGAATTTTTAAAACATAAATGCACTGTTTTTCCAAACACTTTCAAAATGCTTTCTTCAAAGCATAAATATAACACTTGCATAATGGGATATTAAACTCATTATATCATGTTGAACATATGTAGTTCTGTTTCATTAATAGTAATTGCTATTTCAAAACAATAATAAAGTCAAAGCTATTTTGTGGTAGACTAAAATGCTTGAAAAGGATCTTACTTGAGTTTTATGAACTGTGTCCAGTTGCTTTCTTTGAGTAAGGCGTGTGATGACGTATCTGCTCCCCAGGATTCATTACCAGTCTGTGCAGGGATAACAAAAACAAAAATTGAATCTAATGAATTGGATTTATACCCCCCCCCCCCCCCCCAAATGTCTTCAGCACCACCTTTGGTGGCAGAGGAATTGAAATACATAACTAGTGACCCAACATTTAAAAGTGAGGTAAATTCAATATTTTACCCTTTATGATTTATGATTATGAACAGTGATTCATTGATTACAATCAAAAGATTCTAAGTGAACTAACAGTAAGTATCTACAAACTTAAAGCAGCCCTTATTGATATTTTATCTTTTTTTTTTCTCACTGCAATAAAAATTCAAATAACTCTGTGTTAGAATGAAAAAAATATATCATAAAAAGGAAAGCCACACCCATTCTGGCTTAGAGCATTCCAAAGTTACTGCATACTACATTTCTAGCATAATGCCAAGTATTACCACTTCACTAACAGATGCTATATAATTTCTATACTCACCTCTAACTTGTCGTATGTTGGGAAAGTTTTCTGCTGCTCTTGTCTTGTAAAGTTAGTCTTGAACTTGCGAGTGACAATGGATATGAGCTCCATCTCGTCAGAACCACCCTCCATGTCATCTACATTCTAAATAAAAACCAAAATGTCATCAAGAATATGTTAATTTCAAAGGCATTATCAACCACATAACGATGTGGATGAATTATTGTTTAAATGGGGTCTAATGAGCATAATAAGCAAGTAGATCCAGGATGCATATTTTGACTAAATATGGGATACGGTGCTATTTGAAAAGTACTTTAAACAAACTAAGAATTGGCATGCAGTCATCCATGCCTGCCATTACAAATGCATAAAATCTGTACATGATGTAAATTTGGCTATGCAAACTACAACATCTACTCAACATGTGTTCTTAAAAAGTTACCAATCAAAATGTTCATATTCTTTTTAAGAACTATTCATTTACCAACATAACATTTCATTATTCCAGATCTGTGCAAAGAATGATTTACCCTGAGCATCAGTACACTGGGCCATGAATTAATGCCACTGTCAACTACTGCCATTTTTTTAAATTTGCTTATTTAAATTTGTAGAAAGTCTATAAACATTTTAGTACATACTTTACCAAGTTGTTGTTCTTACCATGTGTACTGAGTAGCATGACATGAGAAACTCAAGGACTGGTTTGATATCCTGTATGTTGAGCAGATGACATGGAATCCCCATGGTAGCACTATTAGATGCCGGTCCTCCACCTAATAGCAAACAACAAAACAATATTCAACCAGGGATATCTGAGAAACTACTTTACTAAAATGCATTAAAGGTACTATGTCCCATTTGCAGGCATGTTCATAATTCCTGCAAAGTTCTACAGAATTTGATGTTAGCTGCAAATGGGAAATAGCACCTTTATTAAAGCCACATGATGAATTCATCATTGAAAAAGTATCCCATTTTCAAATCTAAAATATGTTTTATAAATAAAATACGATGTAGAATAAGACAACAAAATAGGATTTGTAAAGCAATTTAACCACATGAAGGACAAGTTTCATGGATGCATTCATCTACTTATTACCAAACCCTTATCATAACCCAATACTCAATCACAACCCAAGCCCAAACCTAATATTTTTGATGAAATAACCCTTGAGCAAATGCCTGAAAGTATGGTACACAGCCAGTGACACTTTCAAATGATGCCAACATTTTGGTATGCCCCTATGAGAATTGCCATTGGCTACGGGTAGTGAAAATGTAATACAAATATTATTAAGTATATGACCATTGTTTATCTTTTCTTCATAATAAGTACTTACAGAGCCTATACCCTACAAGCTCTGCTTTCTCTTTCGCTTCCATCATATTTCTCCCTTATTTAACTTAGTCTTATGTATTATTCTTTTCGTTTGTATAAATGCATCCAAAAAAAAAATTCAAAATGTAACATGCCAAATGAAATGAGGTATTATACAACATGTGAAATATGAAAATAAACTGAAACTGAAACTGAAACTGAAAAAATCCTTGAGCAAATGCCTGAAAAGTATGGTACTAGAAACTATGATTGTGACAATGAGATGAAATGGATGTTTGTACCTGCAGCCGCTGCTGCTGCCGCTCCCTGTGGAGTGTTTGTGATGGTATTAGTACTCATGACATTGACAGATGATGATAGGAGTGATCCACCCACATCACCACTATCACCATGTATCCCACCGCTGCCACCAGTATACTCTTTACTTCTCTCCTTCACACTCTCCAACATGGATGTCCGACCGGGAGATGGAGCTACAGGGACTTCACCTAAAGAGATGGTAAGTACAGGATGTATGGAGTGATAATGCATGATTTCACATGGTACTGACACTGGCATATGATTAGGGAAGGAACAATCCACACCGAAACTTTCCTGTATTCTACCCGTGTACTCTAAGAGAATAATGTATAAAGTTTCACTATTTGTTTATAAATCCATGTATAACCTTATCCCATCCTATATTTCTAGTCTGTTTTGTCCCATCCAGCAATCAAGATATCCATTACATTCAAGGTCAGACCCCCTTCTTCTGCAAATCCCCTGCATCAATTCGAAGAAGGGTCAACAAAATATAATTTTTTCTGGTCCCACTATTTGGAATAGTCTCCCTTTAAGCATTCGTTCTTGCACCTCAGTCGCATCATTTAAGAGACATTTAAAAACTCATTTGTTTTCTTTGTAATTGTCATTTTTTAGAGTGTAATGCACTTGGAGAGTATATAACTATTATGTTTGTATCTTGTAAAGCACCTTGGGCATGTTCATGTAAAGGTGCTAAATAAATACCAATATGTATGTATGTATGTATGTACTCTTTGCCAATCTTTGTCATGCTCTTTCCAGCCCAATGGGTGTCTATACAGCCAGGACACAAAGCCAGATAAATCTTACATACATGATGAAGTAAATGGAGATGATCGATATTACAAAGGATGAACATATAGGGTGCTACACAGGACATGGTTATTTATGGGCCAAGCATTGGAATGTGATAATATTTTGACATATAGATTGCAATACATGAAACACATTACTTTTTTTTTCTCACTTGGATGTTACGTAGAGTAATAAACAGAAATATTCCACACAATACCATGAAACATGAACGCATGATGAAGTAATTAGTTCAATGTCTTCCTTGTTATTTTAATGTCAAATGTCATATTATTAACGTTGGCACTGAAATTTTACATGGTAAGTTAACATATATTATTGACATCAGTTACAAACATTGTTTGAACCTTTTACGTACCAACAGACTGTCTGCCCTCAAAGACAGACCACCTGCCTGATCTGTTGATGGCTTTAGGAGCTTGTGACCCGAGACTAGACCCTTGATTCCTATGGTCAGTGTGATGGTCAGTCTTGGCGATCCGGTCAGCCTCGTCTAGTTCATCTGGTGAGATCTCATGCTTGTGAGCAACAGCTATCCATTCAAGAGTCTAGTTTGTCAAAAAGCACACCATGTTAAAAATAATTTGAAATGCTGGTAATCATTATAATAATTAATACTTAGTCAGATAGGATGCTACAAGAAAAAGGCATCTGTGAGATTTCTTCTGATAAGATATCAGATATTGTGAAATTTTTAAAAACATTGGTTATCTTTCGATTGAAGGTAAATTTTGAAACAAATGGTTTCTTCTTTTTTAACACAAAAATGAAAGGTCACTGTTTAACAATTATTTACATGAAAGAAAAAGTTGCTGGGAGAGAAGTGTATTTCTAAAGAACTTTGCCACACTAATGAGTCATAAAGATTAGGATGTATATAATTATTCTGAATTCAATTATGTCCCTTCTCTCATGGTATACATTCCTTTCTATTTCAAACACAGTCCCCTAAGGAGCTGTTTATTTCAGTTCATCTCGTCGCTGTCATCTAGCCCAGTGGTAGTATCACTGACTGGTGTCGTTGTTTGGGGTTTCATTCATGGCTTCTGTTGCACCATGCAACCTTCAACACTGTGGTAAGGTGAACAGTAAGATTTCTTACAGAATATTAGTTCAATGCTTGTAGTATATCTCACCTTCAGGAACGAATGTACATGTTTAACTGAGCGATAGTGGGATACGAGCCATCGTGTATAGATCTGCATATCTTCCAAAGTAACGAGGCTTTCAGTCACCAGAGGTTTCCCCATCACCAGGGCTTCGTGGGCCACAGACAGTCTCTTGGCTCGTGCAATGGCATCACTGTACTCTGACATAATCATCCTTCAATGGAGGAACAATCAAAGGTATAAAACATTTATATGTCGTTCTAGAATCAAGTTCGGGTGGATCTGGCATTTGTTCTAATTCCTTGAGCTCTGTGCGAAGACAAAGATTGACAGATTGATTGATTGTACTTAAGCTACATAATAATCTTTAATGTAATCCGATTATCTATTTGAGGGAGGCAGAGCTTTTTTTAATAGCAATTCATTGGAGAGGCTGCTGGCTCTGAAGAAAATAATTCACAAATCCCCTCTTTAAGAGAATGTAGAAGAAAAAATATGCATTGATCGTCAAACTTCAAGTAGATATCAATAAATATCAGTAGAAGTAGAATACAAAGAATTTTTTTTTTAATTATTAAAAGAGAGAGAGAGAGAGAGAGAGAGAGAGAGAATGATGGAAAGCCAGAGATATGAGATAGAGAAGGAGGGGATGGTGGAGAGAGCAATAAAGAGAGAAAGCTGCCCACAACACAAATATAGATTTTATTTCTTTATTACTGTTCACATCCAAATAAATCCAAGTAAATGATTCCAAAGCCGTAAGGAGGAAGTAGGATGTATCTTACCCAAGTTGATTCTGATAGTGTGGATAGAGTGCTTCAAGAGTGCTGGTGTGCTCACAGAACCGCTTCCATCTTAACATATGCATGTGCTTACATTGGACTAGCTGCTGGATCTTATCACAAAAGAACTGAAAATAAAGAAAGATAAAAGGAAAAGTAAGATCCTTTTTTTCTTCTGATCTACCTCCCCTTGTGCAATTCTCATTCTCAGACAAACCTAAATGGAATAGCCCACAGCATATGAAGAAATTAGTAACCCGTTTTGAGAATCATACACCAATGAAAGAATCCTCATAGTGAGTAAAGGACTATGTTTGTGCTGTACAAATGTGCAATGTTTATAGGAACTCTACAACCAGTTGTCAAACAATCCAGTTCCATCACAATATAAATGTTATTTATATGTTCATATTTCTTCTCATAATGAATGTAACAAAATATCCGTTATCTGCCTGATAATCCTTTCAAATTTTATGAATTCAAGACTAAAATGATCCTGCACCATATTCAGTACAACAGTATCGTAACATTCTCAGTATCTACAAACAGGACAATCTTCTTTGATAATGAAATTATAGAGGATACGTCATTGGACTGTGGATCAAATGATTTGTGGTTTGAATCTCGCCGTGGCACTAATATCCTTTGGCAAGACATTAATCTACTCTACATTTGCCACTCTCCATCCAGGCATTTAATGGGGAACCTAGCAGAGCCTGGGTAATATTGGAGGGCCTTGAGTACCTTAGGTGACAGAAATCTGCGCTATTAAAATAACCAATATTATTATCATGATCTGTTTATCTTTCACTTATAACAGAATATATTATATTAACGACAATGATTATTGCATTTTTTTTTCTCTAATCCCTCATACCTGATGCAATATAAGAGGAAGGTTTTCTTTGGAAAACTCTCTCTTTTGACAGTTTTCCATTTCTTCTTTCATGACGTCTGCTTGAATGACAAGCGGTTGGGCTTCACTGACCTGAAAAAAAAGCAAAATAAACTATTAAACAAGACACATTCACAACAAATTCAAAGCTTACTGCTTATCGAAATATGTTATCTGTTTCATTTTTCACTGATCCAGGTGGTCCATTCATTACAAGAGCAGAAACTTTAAAGCTTATGATGTACTTTGTGACCTCATATAACATAATACAAATTATATTACTTAACCCATTCTGTATAATGAAAGCAAATCTTACCCAAGGATTTTAATGGTGTACTGTATCCTTGGATTAAAAAACAAAATAGACATTTTTTTCCTTGAAACAGGAATCAGCACACGTATTGGGACATTTGTTCCTATAGAAGATGATGATGACCCCATGGATTAAACAAAGAATGAAAATTGGAAACGTGACTCCTGAAAATTAACTATTCAGAATTTTAGTGGTACAGAAGGGGCTGAGAGTAAACTCGCCTTCACAAAGTATAGGAAATTCATTGTGAAAAAAACCCTGATATTGACCAAACGTTTGAGATCATACCAACAAAGGATGCTCATGTATGGGAGTGTTTGACCCAATTCAATTCATATGCACCAATTCAATGTTCTCAATCATTTAGAGTACAAATACCCTGTCTTCAATGACCACACTTTGATTTTCCTTGAGTGACCTTTATCTCAGGTTGATATTGTAACAGACCTTTGTAAATTAAATGTTTTAAATATGATTACACACCTCCATTGCTCTCTTGACCACCTGCTCTCTCTGCTTCCTAAAGTGATCCACACTTTTAGGGAGGGATACAGAGCTGAAGAAACCGAATGAATGAAACAGGATATCCATCAATTAGCATAGATGACATGGTGAGAATAATTGCACATCTTCATTTCGATTTGTACTTATTTGACATGTAATAAAATGGCCACAAGCAATTTCCTTGGTAAGAACTGAGGATAATTATTTATATTCTCTGTAAGTGCCTTCAATCTGTGATTACTTGAAGCCATAATTTACACATATACTATGTAAGGCAACATTTTTACGGCTGGACGTAGACACATGCATTTGTGTGAGTTGTTCATGCAGTTATCAATACAGGCTATTTATAATACAAGTTTGACTGTGCATAATTGCTGGCATTGTTAGCTCATTTTCACAAGTTGTTGGTTAACAACAGTTCATTTAGTTTGGGAAAGACAAAACCCTTGCACAAAAAACAACTGATACATTAATTGAAAACCAACCTGGCAACCTTGGGCGTTTTGCCTAGCATCTCATTCTCCTCAATGTCATTCTTGAGATCCTGGAGTTCCTTGGCTAGTTCTTCTTCTAAAGCTTTGATCTTCTCTGATGAACCAACTTGATACAGCTCTGCTGAGGAAGACATGTTGGTTGTTTGTTCTCGGGCTCCGCGTTGATATATCTTGAACTAATACTGTCCTGGTTTATGGAGGCTGCCCTCTAACTTTGTCACATTTTGATTTTAAAGTCTGCCAAAGGATGGGGAAAAATGATATTATATTTAAAGAAAATTATGAATAAGTTGATTAAGTTTAACAAGTGACACAAGCATATATTCATCACTTAATAAGTGGTAACTTTATGAGGTGGTTAAAAACAATCAAATTCTAGACCATTATGTAGACAGTAGCTTTAATAATAATAATAATAATAATTGTGGGTTCTTACAGTACATCTCAATCTAAAAAAATAATCCAGCTCATCACTCCTGGCCTGGTGAAATCAAACAAGGAGGAGTAAAACAAGTTTGACTGGGTGTGTGCAAATGAAATAATATAATAATAATACTGTTTAAAATGCTGTGGCACATGATAATTTAATACCTCAAGATTTTTAATGTTAACTATGGATCGTGGTAAGTGTTTTCAGAAGGAATAGATATTCGAGGGAATCTTTGTTAGAATTAGAACTTATTTAAATACAAAACTAAGCGTGTGATCTTCTGGTTAAACAAATAACGTGATGAAGCAGGTCTCATACTGGTCTGAAGGGAACCTCTTTCCATTCCAGAACTACTTTTTGAAGAAAAACATAACATAGATCTACAAAAAATCATAAATATATTTTATCTGCAAACAAGGCCAGGTCTAATCTGGATTGGTTTCAAGTTGTTTTCTAACAAGGTGTGCAGATATAGGGCCATTCAATTGGATTCTACAGCTAAGCACACATATTACGTTAGTTTAAACAAAACCTTCACCTTGGCATGAGCCATAATTGTTGTCATTTAAAAATAAAAATTCTCCACAATTTACCAATCCAGAGCTCCTTTCCATGTGCACTGCCAATTTGTAGAAGCTTTCTTAACAATCACACTTCAGAATAAACAGGACAACATTAATGATATACGAGGTTAACTCATTTTTAAACATAGGTATAGCTTACGTAACATAGACTCATATTTCATGAATATATATTTCAACGTGTATGGTATGGTATTTGGTATGGATATTGGACTCTTATTATTAAACCCCGGCCCATTCCCGTCGCTCTCTTCACTTCAGTCCCGTACCTTGCTAATTGTGTTTTTAATACACCACATCACTCGCGCAAAACAACTGCATTATCGTTCTTAATCCACTTTTTTCTCCCACTCTCGACAATAAACCACCAAAATTCCTTTAAGTAATTCTTGATCGTTTTCTACAATGTGTGCTGGTGATGAATATGATGGCTTTAAGCCCCAAAACTTACGTTTATTATAGACTTCAGGACGTCATATCCTGGGACGCAACTTTTAATTGTTTTGAGCATGCGCAGATGGCGATAGCAACCAGCGATGTGTCCACCTGCCAGCCAGCCAGAGAGCACAGCACTAGCTAGTTTGAAATTCATGATGAAGCGATCATAAAAAGAGAGCGTTATTCATTTAAATATATTTCCTAATCTTATACTTCTTCTGGTCTGTGGTCAGATCTTTCTAAAGGATGCAAAGCAATGGCGTATAATTATAAGGGACACCGGTACAATGTGGCAGGGGCGGATCCAGCCGGCGACGGGGGGGCAAATCTTGAGAATTTTTTTTTAGCACCGACTCAGCCGGCCGGGTCGATGAATAAGCGGGGGGGGGGGGGGGGGGGGGGGGTAAGAGCACACTATTTCTGATTTTATCCTATCTTTTTACCGTTTTGGGGGCTGGGGGGGGGGGGTGGCCGGGCCGGAGAAATCGCTACGTGGATCCGCGCCTGCAATGTGGGGGGGGGGGGGGGGGTATGGGTGCATGAGATGGCAGTTTTACCTAGTATACCTTAATGTAGACATGGGCGGCAGAGCATTTCCCAATGTGGAGTGGGGGGCACCAACAAAAAAGGGCATTCTCTTGATAAAGGGGGCACCTACAAAGGGAAACCTCAAAGCGAACTTATATAGGCCTAGTACCTAGTTTACATTATCATGATTGTGATTACATCATCAGGAATATAGTATTTGTTTCTCTCTTTACAAGGTCCAAGATATTGATTACTCGGATCGTGCTCATGAAAGTCATGTAATCAGTATACATTTATGCACCAACAGTATTTTATCTGATACACAGGTGGAAGTATTCTTCTCAAACCATGCAAACAAAAGGTATTCATGAAGCACCTCCATCACTTTGGCAGTGATTATTCTAAAATGCACAGGTGGGAAGTATCCATCGCGTCTAAGATCTGTGGATATTTTGGGGTCAAGCTATTTACGAACTCGCTTATTTAAAGTGCCCATAATTGTAATTCATAACTTTCTTATTTTTTTCCCGATTTCAGTTAAAACGTTCACCAGTCTGCTTCTCCGATTTGTTAGCATTTTTTTAGAGTAGCTGTCTTTTTCTTTAGGGATAAGCAAGAATACCTCTGAATGAAACCACTGTCCCTTTTTTAAGGCAAGTAGAAGCTTAAAATAGAACAAAGCATTATTTTGATACTAGCTTTGATCAAGTGAGCTAATTTCCTCAAAGTGTGAGTTTATCCCAGGGCCTTTCAGTGTTAAATATCAAATTATTTTATTACGAACAATCGATGCTATATATGTCCTTCTAAAGTGTAGATTCTTGTTGCTACTATGATTATTCTACTGCTTGCTTATGCTTAACATGAGGTGATACCACTAATTTAAGCGATGTTTGAACTAACTCTTTACACCCATTCTCCTTATTTAAAAATTAACTTTTCCAGGGAATCCCCTAAGAATTCGATTCTTTATCAAGAGATTCTATAAGATTTATAAGCTATAATCTTCGAGAGGTCAAGTTCGCAGCGAGGTCGGATCGTGTAGGATTAAGTATTATGTTCTCCATGTGAACTGGCAGAACAATGGAAGATATCGATTGATTAAGCACTTAAATAGAATCGCGTGTATAAATAGGACCATTCATTTATTCACCTCACTGCGCACAACGGCCCCTGTACTCTTTATTAAGGGGGATATATATTATACACATAATGCGGTACTTGACCCCAAAAGGTTTTTGCTTTTGTAATCAAGTTGAAGGACATGGATTTTTTTTTACTCGTTCACTATGAGGTACATGTAATACCTTAACTTCATAGAAAACGAATTCAGTTGAAGCCTGTTCCTATAAGAATCCTTCATGAATGGGTAGGATTATCACATTCTTGAAGGGATATTCCCCCTTTATCTCAGACACCTGAACTTGAAAGTACACGTTTTTTGAAATTTATGCTGGCTATGAGTATCCTATCGAAACTGATCCAAGTTCATTCGTGACTTAGACTTCGTGACTGGATCTTGAGAAGTTGTTCTGTATAATAGAGTTTGGTGACGAGATATATTCACTATGCCGTGTTGGTATGGTAAGTGTTCTCCAGTTTTATTAAAACAAGTTATAACTCACGAACGAATATGTAAAGATCAAGCTGATTTATTTTGACATGTTATTATTGTATATTGTTGTGTGTTGGAAGCTTGTCGAATGAAGATCAATCAATCTATACTGAAGTTAAAAAGACAACGTTTTGAACTATTGTGAAAACAAGATCATTAAAAAGACCGTATTTATCATGACATAAATCCGTTTAGCAAGCGACCATCAGGGAGATGGGAGTTCAATTTCATGCTGCGTCGTGTGGTTGACATTTTGAAAAACACAAAATGGAAAACCTTTCAACAATATGAAACTCGCCTGTTGCCATGGAAACTACCTGTAGAACCGAGCACTCTGATTGAAAATACCGTCTCTACCATTTAATATCCTGTACTCACAAGGTAAAACAGAAATGATCCGCTTAGAATGTTTTCCCGGTATACAACGGAAGTGCTTGTGTTTGTTTTTAATGTGACTGTATTATGCTTGGGAACTGAGTACCTGCACAAAATGTACAATTAGAAAAAGTCTAGTCATCACAATTGTGTTTCAAGTTTAACGTATACAATGTGCCGTATACCAACATCCCTGCCATATGCATATTAAATAAATCATACACGAATGAAGAACGGTGTGCCCGACTGCTGAGAACACAGCATTCTTCCAGAATCTCGGGTAAAGTCTTTGTAAAGTATAGCTCAGGGCTCAGAAGATCAAACAAAAAATGTTATGAATCAACATCCAATTTATAGTCTTACTTGCAAGTTATTCTGAGCGTAATATGATATTTTTTATTTTCATAACAGGTCTTTCAGCTATCACATGTTTTGTCTTTCAGAAAATATTTTGTAAATGGTGGTTTATCAATATTCGGGTAGGCCTTACTGTACTCGCTCCCTGATGGACTTATAGTTTGAAGTTAGAATAGCCATTTTGTTTTGTTTACATGCGTGATGCAAAGTTAATACAGACGATGGGTATGGTAATAACAGGTTCGATCAGTGGAAGCGACTTCTGAAAGTGTATCATATCTGCTGGCAGTAATAGTAAGAATAATAATATGTCTTGCTTGTTTACCCAGGGTAGCCTGATCGGTATTCATGTTGTTCTCCCTGATGGCCCTGTAATCATGAAAAGGCGCTGAAGCATGCAAGGAATGTCTTACTTTTAGCTTGTGATCAAAATAATAATCAATCCAAGGAATTTCTTCCTACCAGGTACCCATTTACCTTACCTATATAGGTGGAGTGTGGTGAATGTAGAATGATATCTTGGAAAAAGACATTAGTGCCGTACGTGGTGGGACTCGAACCACGAACCATGCGATACACAGTCCAACAACGTATCCATAGACAAACTGGATGGCCTCATTTGGCTCCATTGCTCATTGCAAAATTACTTTTTGTTAGCCAATCCAATAAAATGTTCATCTATTTATCCTTGTTTATATCGATTAAGTATTTAAACCTCGAATAAAAGATCAAATAGTGTTAAAAAAAACCACCATTGATGTTGGTAACAATCTGTTTTCCCTTTAAAAACAAAAATCCAGCATCACTAATGTATATAGACCTACTACTATACTTACTTTGTTGAATGGCGGAATCAAATCACCAATATTATATTAATTAATTGAAGATAAGTAAATTCTTGTATGATATCGACATAATTATTATGTTATTGTTTTTATTATTCTCATTTTCCTGTTTTAATTTTGTCTTTGTCTGTTTGTCTCCTGTTCCCATTTTTGTAATTACATTTTGTACCTGTATTATGTTACTGTGTGATATATAATATTTGTGAACCTGCCTCTCGCCAGTCGACGAGGAAATATTTTCTCTTGTTATGGCAGAGGACCTTGATAATTGAAATGTACCTTCTTTTTTTTTATCTACTTCCGAAATAAAGATGAGCTGTTGGGTTAAACAAATACACCATCATTCAGATCTAGATCTATATTCATTACAGTTTCATTTAAATGGTTTTATCAAAAAACAATTAATGCCTCGCAGCCAAAATGCTGAATTGTGCATGTTTACATATACATGAGCTCCATTACATAACATTATATTTCATTTGTTACAACCATTCATTCAAACAGTATTGGTAACATTTAACATTAAACAGTTATTCAGTTGACAACATAGTTCCTTTTTCTTTTGGTAAAGACGCTATACAGTTCCTAATTTGAATACATATAGTCCCTTTTCTTTTGTAAAGAGGCTCTAAAAAAAGTTATTCAAAACTCATACACAAATACACTATTCGAATCGATACATAAATTATATACATTACAGTTCTTCATTTGATTACACAGTTCATTTTGTTGTTGTAAAGAGGCTCTGTTTATAGTTAGTCAAAACTCATACACAAATACACTAGCATTCGGAGCTGGACCTATTTGACTATACACAGTTCATTTTCTTTTGTAAAGAGGCTCTGTTATACTAGTTGGTCAAAACTCATACACAAATACACCAGCACTCGTAGCTAGACCCATATACATTGAACTTGTTTATTTGAATACACAGTTCCTTTTCTTTTGGTAAAGATCTATAATAAAGTTGGTCAAACTCAACTTGGCGCAATTCCTTTAAATGCCCGCATACCTGATACTCGTTGGAGAGGTATCTCTGTGTTGACAAACAATGAAACTCGTCACCGCTCCTGTTAATCCTGTGTTCTCATTGGTTGACGGGTTATGCAAATGAGAAAGATTGATCTATTGTATACCGGTGTTCATTCATCCATTGACTTTTTATTGTGAAGGGCTCTATTATTTCATTCGTCTGCTGCCCAACTTCTGTTATAACTATAGCCCTGTGAGGATTTATCACAACAGAGCCAGGAGCGTATTCGAAAGCACACCAAAATATTAAAACCTGCTATTTAATTATTTGATACTTTGTCATACATGAACTTTTGAACAGGATTGGTAGCAGACCTGCAGGATACATCGATGGATGCGGTATTAGTTGAAGAACTTCGGCTACCGACGATGGCTGTAGTTGTAGAAGCGGGTGATGAACCAAGGGAACCAATCCAGGGGTTTCCTGAGGAATGTCCTGAAGATGCCGAACAGGTCAGTGTTTACAACGTGGGTGTAAGAGGGGCCGGTGCTGGTAAATAGATGATCTGACTACATTTAACAATAACAATTTATGAAACCGTTTTTTTTTTAAATAAGATCTTTGTTTAAAGAAATGTCGGAACAAGGTCTTGGACTTCACATTTTGAGTTAAGGCCAGAGATCACGGTTACAATTATATCACGTGCGATAATATGGAAATTAAGGCAGGAAACATTGTCAATTATGTAATTATTTTCGAAACTAAGTTCAGTTGAACTGAATTTGTCATTGCGTCACAGTGAAAAGCCTTCGTGGTATTAAAGTGTGCATAAACTTGTTATATGTTGGCCGGAAGAGGTTTGTATTTGCCTTTATACTATAGTCCGCGATTAGGGATTTATAAATCTCTCGAACTACTAATGATGATGACAATATCATGCTTTTCTGAGACTTCTTGGAAGACTGTGATTGTTATTATGGAAACGGCAGGAAATCATTGAACGTGACTTGACAATGGCGACAATTAAACCTCACTGAATACCCTGCAGTAATATTACCACAAGACTATGATGCTAAACAAATAAAAGGTGTTGTGCAAAAAGTCAATATACGAGTATGAATAACAGATATTAGGGACTTTTAGATTCGCACGAAGACAATAAGGATTGCTATGGTCGACGTCCTTTTAATGCACTGCCTTGAATGGACGTCACACGTATCAGTCCACTCAAATCTAAAAGTCCCCATTATCAATCTAATACATACATGATTCATCGCCCGATTCTAAAGAGAGGTAGGTGCACGTATGTAAATAACAGAGTGGGTGGGCCGAGGGGAAAATAAAGGAGCACCAACAAAAGTTTACAGTTTACCAATGATCTCATTCAACAGTTCAAGAAGATGGAGAAATCTGTAGAGAGAATTTCTTTAGAAAGTACAATAAGCGTTGAAATATAATTCTGGATATATTAAGATTTATTTCTTGTCTGATACCTGTACAATCGCAAATTACCGATATGACCAATCGAAGATGCACATGCGGTATATTATGATAACAACATCCGTCACCTTACATGTCTAACTACAGGAGTACAGCTGACTTTGGATTTTAAGTATACATTCGTGTGAAAATGTGTTTTAGCACCATAGCTACCGGAAATCCCTTGGTATCATAATTTAAGAACAATACAAATTCTATTTCCAGTACAAATTCTATATACAGTGTGGCACACGTGCACACTATAAAACTGCTAATGTTTTAATCCGGTAGATCGATACCTTACTCCAATTCTACTTTACGTAATTCCTAATATATCAATACATAAGTACATCTCTGGTGATAGATCAATACATTTTCCGAAAACTTTCTGTGTTATAACAGCTGTCAGTGTATCCAAAATATAATTTAAATACTTGATTATGAATATTTTGACATTGACTTGTCATATTTTTGCGCGTATACGCAGTACTATACCGCTCAGTGATTGTGAGTGGCGGGGGGGGGGGGGGGGTGTATGGCAGCAACTTCTTTCCAACATTTATTTTCTTCTTCTCAAAATGGGGGGGGGGGGGGTGGTGGTGCTTAACATACATGTCTCTCTCTATATTGTGTCAAGAAGCAATAGATGATCTAAAAAGTCGTTTGTTATAGTCTTTTGCAATTACCAATATGATAGGCTTGATTACAAATCAAAACAGTTCACTACAAAAGTGATTTAGTTAAGTTAAACTGCACAAAATGTAGTATACAGTCCTTTATTTCAGAGGAAATGTATATTGTTTACATAGTTTCACAATTATATACTGTACACACTCTATGGAAAATTCCAGTTCCAGTTAACAATAACAGAAAAGCCCTTCGGCAAAACTATCTCTAGTCAAGCGTTTCATCCTTTTGTACCAAAGCACCACGAATCGGAACAAAATGGGTGATCTAATGCTGAGATCCTGCAAGTATTGTGGCGCACTTCATGCACAAACAAATCATATGAATACATTTAGGTTAAATAAAGTGGTCATTTTGTACTAGGGATCTACAGCCGTCATAACAGCGATTGTTAGCCAACATCGCTTTTGACATCTTGCCAAGATGTATTTTCATGTCTGACAAATATTTGCACTCCAATTCTTCATGTTCATTTCAGGGGAATTCCGTTGACGTCATTTTGCTTTCTCGCTGCTCTCAGTCTTAATGATATTTTCATCCAGGGAGGAATCGTAAAAGTTATTAAAAAAACATTCGCGTTAGATGAATAACATGTTGGAAAGAAGATTTCTACTTATTAAAGGATCTAAATATCTTGGTATTAGTTATTACAGCTCGTGTTTACAGCTCTTGTTTGTGACATGCGCTACTATAGTTCACAAATCCAAGCTTCTTTTGTTTAATTGTTTGCATTTTCGTCTAAAAAATCTTCTCTTTTGTCATATGGGATTTTAATGGAAGAGAAAACGGTTTGGAATGAAATCTGTAGCCATTTGTCTACTACAAAGAGGAAAAGACATTTAAAGGTCGGGTCGTGAGTGGCGGAAATAGAAGTCCTTTGGAATAACATCACTTTTCCAATGTCCTTTGTGTCATGCGCGGCAAACTACCATCACCATCAACGACTCTCTAGGACAATACTGTGATAACTGCTACTTATTGTTTCTAATATAGATTACAAAGGAGTATTTATATTACAGTTCATGAGATTATCCTCATCTCTTTTTAGTTCAGAGTTTGTCTTTTGTCATAAAAGACGAATTTGTACTCTTTTAATCCTCTATCGATTGCAAGGCTTTGTTCTTAACTGCTCTGGCGCCTATATAGGCCCCGGTTATAGGCACAGTGATTTGTTTTGTAGCGCAAAAAAGCCCGTTAATGATTGTATAGACTTTTTGTACTTAATCTGTCTTACAAAGCAAGTTGTTTACCTTTTACCGGTAATAGTTGATGTTTATAATGGAGTTTGATCGTGAAGTGTTTGAAGTTTGTCGACCAGAGGGGAAATACGTAATCTATGCTGAAGAGAGAGGTCCACTTTGTCTTCCCGACCATGACGGATAAGAAAATAAAGATGCGTCTTGAGAGACAATTTTACATTCGTACCCCATTGTTTGCAAAGTTTCGTAATCGCCTTTTCGGTAATATTGTTATAAATAATCCCTCAATTACTATTGTGGCCGCCCCTTTCAGAGGAATAATTTAACTTGGGGGGGGGGGGGGGTTGACTGAAAAAACAGTTAACGACCAGCCGTACAGAATGCGACCCAGAGACAGAAGAGATATTTCAAGGGATTTCAGTTTCCATATGCCTGGTACCCATCTGTAATTAAGTCGGCATGGACTGATAATACTTGACCAAGGTGAAACGGTACCCGTATCCTGTGAGCCCCAATCACTGATTCCAATTCACGAACCCTTATTTTATGATCAAGAGAATGGCCTAAATTAACTTTATGACCCTGATTACCCTCGATCTTGTCCTGTTCATGTCTCCAAAACGAGGAAATTTTTTCGGAAATAAAATTGTTTACTTGTCTGAACAAATTTGATGGCTACCAGGGAATCTAAGTTCTTTTCATCGATCATTTCTTGCGATAGCTCTCCAGATTATCCAGAAAGTTGTTTGGGTACAAGTGTATTCGTCTCGTCTCTGACAGTGAAAGGCAAAAGAAAAGGGAATCATAATATTTTCAGATATTTCGTCCCACAACTTTTCAACAAACAACACACAACACCGATTTATTAAAAAAAAAGGATTCTCAAAATTATCTCCGAGAGCCCACAATTTTGAGAATCCTATAAAGCTATAACTTAATTTGGATCTCGACACCTAATCGAGCTGATCTTCTAATTCATTGATCATCATTTTATACTGTCTTGAATTTAGTTTAGAACTCATGCTTCTGCAGATCACTGCGTGATAGCCTATTATGCTACTGTGCCTTTATCATCGAGGCCACTTTGTAAACGGCCTTCCCCAACCTAGTTTCAATAATCGAATTCCAAGTTGTAAAAACAATTTCCCCAATGTGATTTCCTTGCACTCAAATTTATGTGAAATAGTCCAACCCCAATAATAACAATAGAGTAAACTTCTACCCACATCAAACGAAAATCCCCTGAAATAAATGACATGCCAGGGTAACTATAATTAATGTTTAACTAACCATGACTTTGCATTCGTGAAAGAGACGTATGTGGAGCGTCTAAATACTTTGAACTTATTTATTGACTGTATTCACTAACTTTACATAACAAAGGATAACCATGGCAGACACCAGTCCTATAGCGTAGGCATATTTACATTCGCTAATTCCAATTGCTGGTATACTTGTAAGGCATGTGAATAGTATTATGCATAGAACATTGAGGTACCAGTAAAGCAGTCTAAATTGAATTTGGCAAACATGGCAAATGGTAACAAAAATGATCAGTATATATACCTCGTATAGGAATGACTACATGTCTTTTGAAATCATACTTAAACCAAGATTTGCTTATTCGCACGATATTGTTACCAGATAGTACATATCGTGCGATATAATTAGGCCTACAAGACTGCATATTTTCGGATGGCAGCTAGTATGCATTCTTTTCTACACATATACCTACATCAATAAGTTACATAAAATTGGGCCTCCAAATACGTCAGATCTTCAAACTGATGGGTTTGGGCCAATTTCTACTTGTTTTCTACTTCTACAGTCTCACCATAATGCACTAAGTACCTTATTGCATTATCATTGCATGTATTGATATACTAGCCCATTGAAAACCTTCTTTTCATGGTGTTGCTTGGGGATTTCTGACATAGCAACTGCTTAAAATTTGAAAGAATTTGGTGAGTGAACATTGTATATAAACATGCTATATGCTATTGTGAACAGGTGGTCAGTTGATGGGAAGGGACGTACCTACCAGTACCAATGTCTTTTGTTCATCTATAGCTGACCGATGAATGAAAGATATGATTGTGATGTAAACATGAGTACAAACGGCGAGGGTTACAAAAGATGTTACATAACTTTTCCAAAGGCAGACCACAAAGCCCCTCTCCCGCGTCCACCATAGGTCTTTGTTGTCCGTTCATGCTGTTAACAGTTAGCTTTTAACTTGAAATTCTTACTTCACCGTTAATCTTCCCCGGAATGTGCTTTGGGTCAAGTTTGAAAGGACGGCTTGTGTAATGCAGGAAAGAGGGGGGGGGGGGGAATGGCGCTATATATGAATTTTCGATGATCTCAGTAAACGCGCGATAAAAGCTTGACCAGTTCAAGTCAAACAGTTGGTCTTTCCTGCGAGGAAGTTTTATGTAACATGATTTGAATAAGAAAGCATGATGGTTCTTCTTTATTTTCACCGCAATTACGAAATCACTCAGTAAAAGCATTGGTAATGTTTACTGAAAAGAAAAACTAATTTCATCAGTTCTCCTTAATATAGAATACTATTTTTCATTTTTGCTACTTGATTTTTGATAAACTCAAATGGAGGCCTGCATCCAAACATAACTGTGACGACATATTGCTTGGAAAATACCAAAATCATAGTGATCCTTTGATTCACATCTTATGAGTAGATGTGTGCTGTTTAAAGGTACTATGTCCCTTTTGCAGCCAACCTCAAATTCTGTAGAACTTTGCAGGAATTATGAATATGTCATGTATGTCCTATCTGTGAAATTTAAACGTTAGCAGTGTCCTCATATTCAAATTATGCAAGGAAACTCGTTTACTTGCTAGACTTCACTGTCAGACACTATTGAGTGACTGCATGACTGGCTTTTTCTTCTTTGGTAATAACATACATGAAAAGAGTTGTAAAGGGTATACATGAGCATTTGTCTACATCAATAACCCACTTCTTGTGATGGCCAAGATTAAACTGATTGAATCTTTGCGCAGCATAAAACGTATGACCATTCGGTACAATTGTCTGAAAATCAAGACTATTACTTTTGGGCTCTATAGCCCTAAAGTCGATTTGGCAACTAATATTTGTTATTTTCCCACTTCAAGACATTTTCAAGCCCCACCTTTTTTAGGGAAGTTCTAAATTAGTATTATCTTTCAAATGCAGTTGGAATTTAACTTTTTCATTTTTTTGGCCTGCAAATGGGACATAGTACCTTTAAAGAAAGTAGTCAATAGATCAAAATGGAATTGATAGTTTCTACAGGCAATCATAATACAATCAGGAAGATGATACAATGATAATGTTAATCATTACATTATATCGGCATCATGTACTTTTTATGGAGACATAACCTCACGCAGTTCAAAATATGACTTATTTGTTCCATATGTCAGGAACTTATTTTAGAGAGAACTTCTGATAGACCTTGAAAACAGGATATCCAAGTACAAAGTTCACCAAGGTATTTAGATCTATGACAGTGGAGCAACAAACCAAAAAGGATATATTCTCGTATAATCTAACCAAATCTAATGCATAAATCTTTAAGTTTTATGCTAAACATGATTTCATTTACCTGTTACAAATAATTGTATTGCAATAGTCAGAATGCGAATTACATGCATTAATTGTTGCTAGATAGGGTAAACACTATGACTTGATTGTATACCTAGCAACGCATAATATATGCAATTTGCATTCTGACTATTGAGATAAAATTATTTGTAACAGGTGGATGAAATAATTTGTAACGAGGCACTTTACAACCATTTGTGCTTTAAGAATTAAATTTGATTACATTACGAAAAATAGTCTAATGAGCTCTACCTGACCTGTTGTTAATGGGTTGTCGAGCGCTTAAAGCGACTCGGTAACATTGTTGAAGGTTGATGAAAAAATTGCTTAATTTTTGTATAAAATGTTACTTACTATATTACTTCTACTATACTAACCCTCTGACATGCAAAAAATCCTGAACAAATTCTCAAACCACAAAGATATTTATGGTTTTCTTTGAAGGCGTCGATGGGAGGCACCCTCTAACAGTGATTAACAGTAAATTCTCCCAACCATTTTTGAATTTTCCCAACCGTTTTTCCATGAGAAAAATACATAAAACAGGCTATAAAAATCTGTCAACACTTAACTGTCTGGAATGGAATGTAGAGCCATTTTATTGCTTTGTGACGATTTACATTCACCTAAAATGTAATTAAATTGTCCTTGTCTTGATGCTGAACAGGCTTTGACAAGTAGCAGAATAGAAGTAGAATAATATAGTTGGAAGAATTAAGGAATCGATCAGATCAGTTTTTCCCAATTTGTACCATGAATAATGATCCGTTTTCACTCAAATTTTCAGATTATCTTTAATTGTACATCTAGCATTGAAGTCACTACCTTAGCATCACTATCTCTCATCTGAACAATGTTACCTAGTCCCTTTAAGGGTAGACGGTAACACCTGAAGGGTAACCATGCATGCGGGCAAGTCCGTGTACCTGGGCAGCGTTTCACGCAACTATCATGAGTTTAATTCCATTCCACCAACAACCCATTGCAACGCGTGTATTAAGTTTAAAGCCCATCTGTACAAGTGTACAGGAGGGATTAGACCACCCTGCAAGGTCAGTGGACAAATGGTTATCTCATCAAATCAGCTCTCAATAAACATAAGAAAAAGAGGATCACGGGGGACCAATGGGCACCAATTATGCATTGTTTGTTATAGAGGGCGCAAATAGCTATAAGTAGTACAGTAGGGCTTTAACACGCATTTCAATGAGATGTCTGAAAACTAATTTTTGTACTTACGACGGTTTCTTAAAATGATGCCCTGGTCTTTCTTTTTTTGCCCCATCTTTCATATTTCCTCTAATCCAATCTGTAGCATATGCGGGGCTATCAAACTGATACAAACATTTATTAAGGAAACAATACTTGCCTATATAATTATGATAATGTTACCACTCATAACACACCCTGCAGTTTCCACGCACCCTTGGTGATCCGTATGCTTACGTAAGGTTTACCGGGATAGATCGAAGCACCCACTGGTTAGATGAAATTGTAGTCTAAGTCTTAAAGTTTGTTGTAAGAAGGTAAAGCCTATGCAATGAGAGGATGCGAAGATGTGTGATAGAAACATATTGTTAATCAATTCACTTTGCATGCAAGCAGGTTCCTCAAAATCAGGATCCAACATTTTAGTCTGATTTTCTATTTCATTCTGATTTTCTATTTCATTTTGATTTTCTATTTCATTTTCAGGAAATCCAGGGAAAGACAATGTTGGACTCGCCACCCCAAACATCGTCATCACCATCTGTTGTCTTCATGCATACCAATGAAGACGTAAAGACTAAGCTCGAATTCCCCAATGCGAATCGAGCTTCGTGGTCATCGACATCGAGCAATGATCCTGTCTGTAGGATATGTCACGATACAGAAGATGAGAGAGGTGTGTATAATTATCATGTAGGGAATATTGACTGACTGACTGTAAGGAGAATAGGGACTTTTATTTGCCCAGAATATGATCATATCCCCCCAGTACGCAGTATATGCATATTCCAGACCGTACGTCTAACATCCGGGAAATCAGATTCGACATCATACAAAATATTGATAGTATAGTTATATAAGAGTAACTACAATGTATGTTAATGACAGCTATTTTTTTCCCAGTGCATATGAAATTATATTGGTATCGTAATTATGTATGCAAAGCGATTGAAAATATCCTCGATATATTAAGCGCCATGTAGCACAGAATATATAAATTATCATTATGATTATTGAATAGTAGTATTGCACTCGTTTGCGATAGGAGGAATCTGAATTAATGCCATCCAATGATTATCATCCTGTGACTACGCAGTATTGGTCAAAAGTGGGAGGATGCACTAATCGTATACAGAATCGAAATACATATAAACAACCACCTTATCATTATCACATTGATGGTAATATCTGGAGTAGTATAGCATTGTTTATTGTTAGTCTTTATTTAGTATAGCAGTAGGAGAGGGATAGTTGCAGTAGCCTTGATAGTAATAATGACAATAGCAGAGGCAACATGGTTAACTTCTCCGGGTACAAAATCATATAACGTATTAGAGGTACCAGTATTATTGTTATATATGAAGTGATGTATGTGTGAATAAATTTAACGGTTGGACGCCGAAGATAAGGGAATGTGTATTGATATCATCATATTTCAAAACACTTATAATGTGAAATAAAGGTGAAATCAAAACGAAAACTCTGTCCCGTACGAACGTTTGTTGATCTCGATGTGATGCAATTGTGATTAAAAAGTATTTCAATTCTGTCCAGATGTTTTGTCTGACTTTACTACATCTAACTACATATTGTATATTTGTTTAACCTTTCATTTGTTTTCAGGAAAGACAAAGCTTATCTCTCCTTGCGGCTGTTCTGGGTCGGCGGAGTTCACACATAAAAAATGCCTTCAAAAGTGGACGCGTATGAACGGGGCGACTATATGCGAAATCTGCAAACAGGGCTACAAACCAAAGTATATCCGATTCAAGCAAAAATTATTGGTAAGGAAGCATTTCATTTGGAGGCGGGGGGGGGGGGGGGGGGGGGGAGGGGAGGGGGGGGGGGGTAAGTAACTGTCCTGCTCATGTGGAAATGTAGATTTCATTTATTAAACTAAGTAAATGAAATTGATGATGATGAAAATCCCTTCAGACAGATTTTCGCTTTTCAAACCTTTGGCGTCATAATTCATCTGGCAGTTCTTGCAGTAGCTGTAATTGTAATTGATAAGGTTTATTGATAACTATTCAAATTCACAGCTTAAAGCTGACACCTTTTTAATTTACAAATAAAACTGCAAAATAATATGAATTAATACATTCAGTAAGTTAATTGATATGGTATAAAGAAGAAGAAAGAGAAAACAAAGGGATAATAGTGTACCGATGAAAGTAAGAAAGAAGAACAAATGCTGTTTGTTTGTAAAATAAGAGTTTACAATTAATGTTTATGATACCAGTAATAAAAATGCAGTATACAATTGGAATTTTAATGACGAAACTGTTTCTGACCAGTATAACATCATGTAGACAACCTTAGATTAATGCAGTAGCCTTGTCAATAAAACATCAACAGGATTTAATCGCCATAAGGACAAAAATGAGGATCATTATTATAATTGCAATTGCTCGGTTGACTAATCAAGCATTGTTAGATGTTTTTGGCTGGTGAATTGTGCATCAATTATGTAATTAAATAATATATAGTCGTCGCATGAGCATGTATTATCAATCCTGTCTCACAGTCCTTGACTATACGCAGTAATTAGGTCATGATGTATAAACATTGTGTCTGGGAAGTTGAAGAAAATTATGTCAGATGGCCACTTACATGACCCCTCAAAGAAGTTCTGGCTTCGAGAGAGAATGGAATGATTATATTTTGATAATGTTGGTCAGCGTTTTCTTAAATTAATGTCTATACAACAAAATATAAAGTTATGAGAGCGACATTATATTGATTTGAAGGAGAAAAAAAGTATAATGAGGAATATGTAGACATGTTTTCCATAAATTAAGTTTTAAGCGTACCCTAGTTTTGACATGGGTATATTTGAAGAAATGTGTTATTGTGCATGTGGGGAAAGTTTCATGTGAGTGAATAAAAGTAGACTGGAAAGTTGAACAAAAATGTTACTGGTTAGATTGATGTGTATGATCATATCGGATTTTTTCACGAATATTTAGAGATTGATCGTGCCTGACTTACACCCTCTCTCACCTTCTCTCCTCCTCTCATCCAGACTCGCCAGGTCATGTGTATGGGTAGTGCCGCATCTCTTCCTCTTCTTGTCGTCATCATCGTCGGTTTCTTCCTCCTTGGCGAACAACTCAGTCTCGGTACTTACGATGAGGAGGATGATAGTTCATCGAGCGGCAACGTCGACGAGAGCGGTGTGAGGAATACCAGCAAGCTCATGGTTTCGGTGTGCATGATTGGAACAGCAACGTTTGGTATCTTCCTTCTGTGTTGCTTCTCCATCTGGGCTGCTAAGGTACAACCTCATCAGTTAGAAACGGGCAGTGGAGGTCTCTTCATTCCAAACGGCCAGGACGTCGAGAGCGGGCGTGGTCGTCGCAACAATTCCAGACGCCAAGGAGTCCCTGTACCACTCTATTTCTTCTAAGACATGGCCAATATGCAACACAATATGAACTTTGACCGTTGGAGTAAAGACTCATAAACTTGTGGAGCTAGAAGAAGGATTCTAGCTCGACGTTTGAACTATAAACGGCTTCATGCAGTTACCGCACGTCTTTCCATAGTGTTTACTTAGTTTCTTTCTTTTGATGCATCGAAGCAACACTGATTTTTTTTTCTTCTGGTGTACATGTATATCATGTATATAGATATTTATGACGATATACTGTACATTAATATAAATCCAGTGTAATAGTTCTCGAATCAACCGCCATAATACGACAGCAAGCGGGAAGCTATGTCATTTATGGTAAATATAATGCTAGTTCTATCATTACAAGATAATTTGTATTTCTATGAATCTAGGACAACGGCTACATAGTAGATTGGATACCACACATACAGGACAAGTACCGGTAAGCTATCTAGAAACACCCGTTGGAGTATGGGACAGAGGATATATAGAGGATATATTGGACACCTACTAACATATCAGATTATCAGTGACCTTAGGAGATGCAGGAGATTTTTGTTAACATTAACATTTGCCAACCTCATCAAAAATGTGTTTTGAAAAAAATTATACTGTGTTATGATTATTTTGTGCGTGCTGGGCTACCTATAAAGAAAGTTTCTAACGAACTGTATGTATCCATCTTGACTTAAGGTCATTGAATGAAAACTTGAGAATATCACTAACAGTCCCCCGTTTATTAATATTATACTCTTTAATAACTAATTCATTTGACGGATAAATGAATTTCGTGAGTGTACCAAAGGAATTAGGTGATATGGATTCCTTTTTTTCTTAGTAATTATGCCTGTTTCTATATAAATATTAATCATGACATTGCAACGTTTGCAATAAGTTAATGATTATATCAACATTTCATTTAAAGTCTTCCTATCGGTAACCTCAGCTTACCATTCTGTATTTGGTACTACAAATGATAAATATCAGGTCGTTTGTTTTCAACATGAAGCTTATATGCGCTGTCCTCGCTATGACAAAGTACAGACTTTCACGTTGAACTATTTTTGATGGATAATTTCTTCTATAAAGAGTCTATATAGTGCACAAAGGCCGTACATTGTGTGGTTTCCGCCAATATATTTCCCTTGTGACACTTAACGGTGAGGTCATATTGTAAAGGGAAAAAATGCAGGGTGAACAAACTTTTAAAATAAATAATTACAGTTGCCTTAGGGAGCTTATGTATCTGTTTTTACGGATGGAAGTTTCTGTTTCAGTATACATCTCTTTGTGCTATTTTGTTTGACATATTACTATCTCACACTGCATCTTCATTATGATAATGAAACCGAAGGGGTTTCCCCCTAAGCTTAAAGAGAATGGTTAAGTTCTGGGAAGAGGTGAAAATAAAATGTGAGCGTTATCATTGTTATTATGCAAGTGTGGAAAACATCACATAACAATAATGTTCCCTGAAAAGCATGGCTCTTCAAATGCCTTAATATTATAAATATGGCAATGTAACAGCATAAAAATCGGGACGGATTTTTATGCCACATGTTCGTGTAGACCCATATATTTATTTCTGAGTACAATGCTTGTTACTTTACCTAGACTGGGCCAAATTTCTTATAACTGTAATGATTCCAGTGCCTTGCAGTACAAACCAATACTTATAGCTAGATGATCAACCTTTTCTGATTGATTCCACACCGTTTCTTACACAATGCAATCGCATGACCATAACTCAACTTTATCTTTAATTCAGCGTTTTCTACTGTTTCTTCATCACATTGTCTATAGAATTGTTTGAAATCACAATTAAACAAATCAGTACTAAATACAAGTCACATTAATTTCTTTCCTGAAAGAAATTCACATTTAATCGCGTCATGTTAAAATTATGTAATACGTCATAGACACGTGACACATAATATGGCTATTGAAATTGCCTTACGTTGATTTTGGAAAGTAGCTATTATCGTGTTATGAAAGACAAATATTACTCTCGATCCTCGATATTTGTAGTCATATTACTGAAAACCAAAGATTAGACGATTATAAATGTCAAGTCTGTTAAATTGTACATCAAGAGACCTTTGTTCGTGTGGGATGTAAGACTCTGATTTATCCTTGACAGTAAGAAATCAATCACACTTCAAAATCATTTCTCCTTGTTTTATTTGTTCATATCTACATGTAGCACTCAATGTAGCACGCATTGTGTAGATATCGTATAGTCAGGAGTAGAGGTAGTGCTGAAATGTATTTTGCTACTACTCTTTACAACTCAACGCTAGAAAGGTCTTGTTTTTTTCTTTTGATTTTTTTTTTTTTTTTAGTTTCAACTGTAGTCGCACAGTTATACACGGGTGAGAAGACCGAGTCTTTTGTGAAACTATGTTATGTTCAGTATAGTACATATTTTATACGCATTCTTTGCATATTTACAAGATAAAAGCAAGTAATCACAACTACTAAAACTCTGCATTCATTAGTGTTTGTTTTGTGTACCGTGAGACAAAAAATGGCATCAGTCCTGCATGGTAAACAAATATTTTATGAGTGTTCCATATTTCAAACTGCTTGAGATATTTAAGTTGATATATTTGCGTTTGCTGTCTTTCCTTTGTATACACGAATCAGTTTCCCCATAGACAAGAAGAAGTACACATCTAGAAGAATACTCCAATGGAAGCATTCAAACTGTCAGTTTAATGAGGATGTCTAAGGATTGACTTTAATTTCTCATTACATTTCTGAAGGATTTCCGTTTCCGTTCGAAACGTTTTGTGCATACATTTTAAATATCTAATTTAAAAAACCTTCTATATACAGCCATATCGGTGAGCCATTAAAATAATCATCATTTCCGTTTCAGCATCTAGCCAATTAGTTTAATTACTTCCGTAGTCTTTATACGCAACACCAACAAGCTATTAACCAATTTCCCAGTCAACAACGAATTACCATCATAGATAATTATTTTGTAAACATCTATCATAAAAGGCTATTTTAGAATAGATGGCATTCTAAGAAAGATAACAGTTCATAACTCCAAAGGTTTGAACTAGCGTATGATGTAGCCTTCCTCCCTGCCACTCACCCCCCCCCCCCCCTCCCCCGGTCAGGATTTTATAAATATTTCCCGGCAATATCCACCGTTATGTTAGGACAGCTAAGTCATCTCGTAATGAGCATAAAACGAGAATCAAACTTGAATTAGGATACAGAAGACTATACCCTTTCTTAATATTACACCCGGTGAACATAAGTACTCAATGTGATTAGCTAATCTAAAATATTTATATGTTCATTCAATTAACTTCCCCTTCTCCGCCCCTCCCCTCTGTCTCTGTCTGTCTCTCTCTCTCTCTCTCTCTCTCTCTTATTCTCTATATCCATCTCGCTCCCTCTATCCAACCCTCTGTCTTTTTACCTTCCTATCATCCAAACTCATCCACTTTATTAGTCTACTGACTCTATCAGCGCATTGATCCTTTCATCGATTAGCCAAACTTTAAAGAAGAATTTTATGATAATTGATAGCGCTCCGACAGGAATAGATTAATCAAACCATTCAGCCGTTACCATAAAGTACTCCCAATCATCGTTACATATATCCATCATCACCGCCTGCATCAAAATAGTTACTCCCCGTAAGAGAAAGAGAGAGAGAGAGAGAGAGAAAGAGGGGGAGGGAAGGATGGGAGAGAGAGAGAGAGAGAGAGAAAATGAGAGAGGGGAGGGGAAAATGAAAGAGAGGATGAGGAAAAGGGGAAGAGATGTCAACATAGAGAGAAAGAGAGAACGAAAAAGTGAGGAAAAGGAGCGGCAGAAATATATGATAGAGAGAGAGAGAGAGAGAGAGAGAGAAAGAGGGAGAGAGATAGAGAGAGAAAGGGAAAGATGAAAGGGATGACAGAGGAGGGGAAAGGGTATAGAGACAGGGAGGGAGAAAGCGGGAGAGAGAAAATGAGGAACGGGAGAGAGAAAGAGAGACACAGAAAAAGGGAAGATTAGAATAGAATGGCTTTAAAAAGGTAAAAAGAGAGATAGACAAATAAAATGAGAAGGTTATAAAGAGTTTGAGACATAATGAAAGGAAAAAGGGAGATAGAGATAAAGATAGATTGAGATTATTCTATCAAAGAGAGAAAGAGAGAGAGAGAGAGAGAGAGTTTAGCTAGAGGAGAAAAATACACCTTGGTCATTCGACTCGATGATTTGCAAAGCGTTAACACGCTTTATCTCCCAAAACCATACGCATATTGCTTGATTAAGGACACAGCCAAAATTGGATTCAGGGAGAAGAGTTTTAGTGGGTGTATTTTTGATGCAGTTACAAGAACGCGCGTTTTCTAGCATCAGTTGAGCTACGACATCACCAGTTGCGTTACCTCGCTACCAGGTCGGCGCCAAGGAACTGTTCCTCACAGGAAATAATAAATGTTGTGATTTCATGGGATTTTGTGACTTTTAAGGTATTTCGATTCAGTCTTTCCTGGTGAGTATTATAAATTTAAATATATTATGTACGTTTCTTCCTTTGTACTAAAACAAACAAACAAATAATTCTGACATCAAAATTGTTGATAAAAGAAGCTGTGTAAGTGCTTCCACGACAAAAGATTTGATTTGATTTGATTTGATTTATTTCTGCATTTTTGCCAAATAAAATAGATCTGAATAACAAAGAACATATAAATGTAAGGTATAATACAACATAAACAAACAATAATTTCTTCATGTCAAAATGAATTTTTTATATACATAATAATATATATGTACATATAATAACGAAACTTATTATTTCCATAACATATTATCATAAGTTTAAAGTATTATCCGAACTATTCTGTTGGAAAAGTGCAGGAGACCGCAATCATAAGTAAAGCTTGACAAGGATGGCGGCCTCAAAACAAAACAAAATAATAATCTTAAGGTAAAACTTAAAATGAAAGTGTTTAAACGATCTTTTTGTATGAGTTGGTGAGTGTGTTGTGCAAATGATGAATTGCAAGTGTACATATAGATGTTTTCTTTTAATCGACAAGTTTTTCCATCCGTTTCATTCGTACTTTGACTCAAATTGAATTTACGATTTTGTACTTCCTATTTATCTGGAAAAAGAAAATCCATTTGACAAGGAAACTACAAAATGAGAACGAAAACAAATCATCTCTTGTATAGTCTTCTCAAGAATACCACTTATTTTCATCGGTAATTCATCAAACATGTCTCCAATGAATAATTGACCTTTGATCTTTCACGTGAATGTAATCAATTTGAATATTGATGATCTTTCCGACACACATTCATAATTTACTATATTGTCTGTGAAGTATCTGCTGAAAATACACACCTTTCTGAGGAATTCTCAACGCTCTTCGGCTCACGGGGCGTTGCGAGCGAAATACGTTTTTACACTTTGTATGAATATTTTCAATGTCATTATTCATTATACATGATACTGTACATGCACGTCAAACTATAGCATCGAAAATATATCTCTTTTCTGACACGTTGAACAGTAGTTTAAAATCAAAAATTTCTATTTTGGCAGATCATCGTTCATCTAGCTATCAACAGAATGGAAATATTTGGAATATTTCCGTTGATGAGAGAGAGGATGACGGCTAGGATACTGGCGTCTTTTCTCAGTGTTTTCTTGGTCATACACAGCTCCATAAGTCAAGGTAAGAAAAAAATCATATACATTCACACATAAAATTGTTTCTTTTACCGTACAGCGCAAACTCCAGTGAAATATTGCTCGATGCGTTTTACATCAAGAAATTAATGAAAAACTGACAAACTAACTAACAAAGAATAAAGAAATTAAAATAATTTTTCTTTTGGAGCACGTGGCGATTCAAAAACAAGTTGTGTATAACTTACTTAATAATCCTCTTTTAATATTTCTTTATACATTTGACATTTTATGTTTTTTGTGTTTTTCGTAAATCAAGAATCAAATGTGGGCTTGTTAACTCATTGCTTACTGGAACCTGGTGGTCCCTGTGTTAAGTCTATGGGAATAAGATAATTCAGTAGTCAACGCGTTAAATAAGGGCCTTTGCTGAGTACTTTTAGATGTAAGCTTTAGTATGTCACATTGTCAAGAAACCTGAATCGGGAAAAATCTTTTTTTTTAAATAAAACCTATAAATATACAACACTTGGTAAGGGTATTAATAATGTATTTGCTAACTTTGATTGGTTGTTCATGTAGACGATGGTCATGTTCTGTGTAATATTTAATGAGAGGTTTAGTAGAATTACATTTTGCAAATTGACCTCCAATCAGAAATACCGAGACCCGTCAACGTCCAAGTAAAAAAATACTGAAAGCAATTAAAAGGCCTTCTTCACATTTATTTATAGTTAAAAGAAATCATCAGAACTGATGTATGATGTATGATGTCATAACTTACCAAGACATTTCTCCATAGGTTTGACTTGCAAATATAGTTCATACTAGAATACTATGGCGTTCATATTCTTAAATGCCCATTATCGTAGATCAGTTAAGCTGAGACAGTGCGGTTAATTTCTTTCGTTTTTTAGATTTCATAACTCTCACACCGCACATTTACCAATAACATTTTGTCATTTCTTTTAAATTTCCTTTGAAAATAAATTAACTCACTCTCTTGGTTTTGTTGCTAGAGCAATCCCTGTGTCCTCACATCGGCCAAGAAATCAGGTCTTTACCTGAGGCCGAGGTGTCACACTATTATGATGATCTTCACATTGCTTCCTCGTTCCCTTGTAAGTAGCACACACCCACACCCACGCACACCCACATAGCAGTTGGATTTCTATCACATTTATTGCATGAAGCGATTGCAGTGAGCCTGTAGCAGTTAGATTGACGTGATTATCAAAATGGACAACTCTTTTTTCTTTTTTCATTTCAATTAATTAGCCCTCATGAACAGCGTTCATGGACAGCAGTCTTGAAAGCACATGCTATTGTGTGCACACAACGATTTTTTGCAAAACATGCAAGCCATAATAATATTGCGTGCAAACACTTACGATAATTAATAAAGTTCTCATTGTAATATTCCTAATATTGATGGTGTTTATAACTAATTTGATCAGTATCATACTAATTTATTAATTTGAAATAACGTTTAAAACAATTTCAACAACACCTTTTATTAGGTTTAGATATGGATATTTGGAGGCATGCAAGAAGAGGATATATTTAACACTGAGTGTGAAAGTTCTTGCAAAGTTATAGGGAAATTTAAATGTAAATAGCTGTATGGACTATTTGATCAAAGGAATGTAAGGTTATATAACATTTGGCAGCTTCAGGATTCTATGGAAAATAACGAGGTCCCAGACTGTAATCGGCCATATAATAAAGGACAATAATAATGAAACAAGTGCTTGCTCTAGAAGTTGGTTAAAAAAAAAAGATGTGCTGGAGAAAATGGTATTCGGCTTACCGCCAAAACTTACAAAATGAAAAACTTCTTTACCCTTTTACAGGTATTGTTCAGTATAGCGAATCCTGAAGTCCATAATTTGAAGTAGTCATAACGCCCCTCCCCTTACAACAGATTAAATGAAATTATCAGTAAAAATTAAATCCAAAGTGAAAGGTTAATTAGCGAAAATCGAACATGAAAGGTAACATTAATATGTCAATATTTACACTTTTGTATCAGTAATTATCTTAGAATGAAATACATAAATGGAATAGTTATCTCCTTTTTCCTTGCAAATGTTTACCTTACTGATCTAATTCATATGTATCATGTTTTATCATAAATTATGTGGAGATTGACCTATTTGAGACTCGCATTTTGGCGCCCGATATTTTGTTTATTATCTTTAAAAAACTTGTTCGCTTTGTGCAGAATATTATGAAGTAAGTTTTTCGTGCCCGTTTACTTCAATGATATTAAATCACTTTATGTGATTAAGCAGTCGATGTAAAATGATATGTACTGTTAAATGTGCCACCGCCCATCCATTATGTCACAACACGACACTGAGACCTCCGAAACACCAGTTTTAGAGAGGAGTGGGTTTGCCCTCATGTACCCCTTGCTCTCTACGTAAGTGTGCTGTATTAAACCTAGGATAAGTCATAGACCAGTGCCATAGCTACAGAATACACAGGGGCAAGTTCATCCTTCGAATGACAAAAAAGCAAGAAAAAAGCCACCTATTAATCAATAAAGAAGATAGATGTTACGCCAAAGAAAGAAAGAGGCTAAAGATGTTACGTAGAAAGAGAGATAAAAAAAGAAGATAACACGAGCTATCTCTCTCTCACACACACACCCACGCACACACACACACACACCCTCTCCTCACTCTTCTTTCAAATTTCATCTCCCTAACCCCCCCCCCCCCCCCCTCCATGACACCATTGCCCCATAAGTGGATGGGCCCACTCTACGTCATCGAGTAGTAAATACCCATTCCGCGGAGAAAGGGGAAGAGTTTCGAAACAGTTTCGGAGCTGATATCAACATTGGGTTGCAGTTGCATTATCGGTTGAGTACATGCTATCGAGTTTGAATGAGGGTGAGGTATGATTGTGGGTGCGTCTATACGTGTGCGTGTGTTTTGTGCGTTTGCATAAGCTAAATTATAATTTGCACAAAGCACGCTTTATTATCTTCGTGACTGAGTCAAATATTTTATTGCATGCATGTCATATCCAATATTCACACTTGTATCATTCTGACGCATGCCTTTTCCTTCTCCGAGTTTTTGTTTGTTTGCCGTGATAATGCTAATGATAAAGATAAAGATAAAGTTTAAAATCATTTTGTCTTTTAGATTGCCTCTTTACTCATAATATGACCTTGCTGTTAATCAACTAATGGTAGTTTGTTAAGAGAGACTTGTCACGGTTTATGCGCATGAGTTGGCCGGTCCCATTTTCATTTCCGTCGGATCACCATCAAATTAGATGCAGTGGTGGTTTCAATGTCATTAGGGAAAGGGAAATAAGAGCAATAGACTATATTTCATCATGTAAATGTATTTCTGTGCGAACCAGACTGTGTTTATCCAGGATATTACCTTCTTATCATGTTCTGGAGAGTTGTAACAATCGCGTCCAATATACATTTCATAAAACGTGGTTAACACCCACTTTATATTTACAAAACTTATGGTTAATGGACCTTGGGCAATTAACGAATATTCTTATTAAAAATGCAACCAGTCACTGATATTTGACACAGCGTCATTAAGAACATCTTACTACTATAAAGTAAAGTTCTTGCGATGATTATTACAAAAAGACCTCATTTTTTACAAAAGTTATGTCAGATAGAGTTTACAGACTGTCCCTAACCGATTTGATGTTAATGCTAATAATGTCTTTCATTTTTAAAGGCGAGAAAAATGTCTTTATATTTTCTAATTATGATATCCCTTTGCCAAAAAGATCAAAATAGATTGTAAAATGCTGTACATCTCATTGATATAGAATTCGTTTAGGGTTTAGTGAAACACGAAATGTTGAAATCATTCGCTGGGGAACCCGGTTTTTGATACAGTATTAAACTTTACAGTGATCATTATTTTAACATTATGTACTTTTAAAAAATTCTCTAGAAATCTACAAGAATAAGAAGGCATATAAAGGAATAAAATTAAGAATAAAAGACATTGGATTTGGTGAGAAAGCTGACTAATACCAACTAGAAAAGATGGTTACACATCTTATTTATACTCATTTTGGCAGCTCGCTTAGCACGAGCGATAATTAATGAACGTGCTTCTCGATGAGTTAAAAGCCGATTCCCCATGGTTCACTGATACTTTTCAAAAGTACTTTTACCGCAGTAAATTAAGCAATAAATCAACTTGACAAGTGGTAAATTCAAACGCGGTTCAGAAGCAACTCATGATTCAGTAAATGTTTCAAATGATGAATTCGCTGATCTTGAAGAAGAAGAATATTGGTATAATTGTTTTTATAAAGTATCGTGAGGGGGAATTACATTATAAAAGTCAATATTAACGCTCTCTCTCCATCGGGTATCCATTCAGTAGATTTGCCATATTTGCCCTCAAATATCATTACCATATAGATAGAAATATGTTTTGATAAAGACTTGAATTTGATATGTCGTTCCCATAAAAACGAGCCTAAAATTTATTGAATTACTCAAGAGAAAATATTCAAATCTTTTCTGCTGATAAAGTTTAATTTGTCTTAATTGACGATTTGCACAATGTTGCATCGCTTACTGCAAGAACATGATATCGAAATATTCAAATGAATTGCTCTTGTCAGTTACAGTCTCTATATCAGTTGCAGTTTCGATATATTTAACCAAACAATTCATGAATAATTAATAAACAAGTTATAATTATTGCATGATTTAAGCCGTAATTTAGTTGTTTAAGCCCATTATCTGTAACTTTGGCAGCTCGGCTATAACCAGGGTAATATGTTAAGCGTCATGAGTGTCAGGGACTGGTGGATACCGGCGCTATATAAATATCTCTATTAACATTTTGTTTTCAACATCAAGCCTCTGCCGAAGACCCCCGATTCATCACGACCGATACACAATCGAAGATAAGAACCATCGAAGGAAACAATGTCCTTCTTCATTGCGAGATTGCCAATTTGGGGTCCAGCAAAAGATTTTGGTACAAGTACGATTTCGGTGCAAGTATGTTTATCGTTCCAATTCGTATCAGCTTTCTTTACCTTGAAACGAGCATGATAATGTATATATCCTTTTTAATCTTCTTCTTTTATGATTTTAAAATTTAAGTATTCTACTCTAGATATCGATCCTTGTCATTTCTGAAGTCTAAATTATTGGAATGTATACTGTAGTCTTGAAGAGAATTTTTGGCTCTAATGCGACTTTTTCTTCTTTTTTCTTTCCCTTTGACTTTCGAGGCAAAGAAAATGCATTACGAGAACCGCTAATTAATGGTAATAAGACAGGTCAGTATTTTTGGCAGTTTCATCATCTCACTTTCCTGATCGGCAACCATTTAGATGAAGATGAACGAGCATAGATTACATCTCGCTTCTCTCTTCCATCTTCATCATACCTGCATAGCTTGTGATATTTATAACCATATTAATGTGTTCTGGTATCCATGACTCTTTTCATCATGACAGCTTATTTCCTCATGTTGTCTTATTTGGTTGTTTTATCATTTCTTCATGCATCTTGGCATGCAAATTCGTTTTACGGAAAATATCTATTTTGAAACGAATTGTTGATGTTGTGTATCAATCAAATGTCCTAATTATTCTCATTGAAATATGCTTGTTTTGAGAAGTGTGCATGATTAAGAACATATAAAGTATTGCAGGAGTATGATTATTTAGTTTTTTTTCTATTTATCTATTGGAATTGAATATGATTATGGGTTCATGGCTTTATAACAGACAATCTTTATGATTTTTACCACGTTAGATAATTGTCATTATCCGAAAGTAATATAAATGTCATCAAAAGCCAATTTCATATGTAGCAACACGGTCGCAAAAACTTTTGAGGAATCCACTCAAGGACGATTCCCGCTGTATATTCAAATATACTGAGAGCGTTCGGGTGATGTAATACGCCGTTTTAATGTAAACACATTAGATAGGTAATGAACAAAAAGTATAACTGAAATTCCCTTAGGTTATTTTTTTTCGATTTTTTTTTTCTCTCTTGATTTTCGCCAATTTTGCGATCATTTTCGTCATTCCTAGCAAATTCTTTCATCTTGCGATATGTGACAAATTCTCTCAGAAATGATGTAGACACCTTTCTGTTTCCTTCTGTTCTAAAGAGTCTAATAATGAACTAATCACAACCCTATGCGTGAAATGAAATAGAACTATCATATTTTTGAGGTATAATTACATTTCACTTTAAAATTAGTGTAACATTTATTGGTCCCTCGTTTCGCTCCCTCGCAAAATTACATAATACCTCTGAAGAAATATGCCCTGCGTCTTTGGTTGCAGTCAATTTGACGAGTGAACCGAGCTGATGAGTTTACTGGCAATGAAAGAAGCGAACCTCCGGACAAAGTCATTCTATAGCAACACCTATATTGTTTTGCTTGAATTAGAATTACATTTATCCAAGATCCCAAACAGTTTGAATGATCATACCTCTATTAGAAGGAGGAGGAGGTCAAACCATATTTAATTAACATCATTGTATTTTACGTCAAGACTGTAACGATTCCCGTACTATAATAAGATAAGTTTCATTGTTAAAAACATGACTCACAGTATTCAAATGATATGGCTTGGCATATATATTTAAATAGTTTTGAAAATCATGCCTTTGTTCTTACTGGGTGAATTTTAAAGACCTGATTGTCCTCAAAATAGACGTCATCGACTGCATGTTTATGTTTAATTCTGAATATCTTGATAATACTCTGCATGATAACAAGAAAACTACATTTATCATTAGGTTGTTTTTGAAGTCATGATTGTTGAAATACCATCAAAATGCCTGTAAATAGATCATATTTTATTTTACAAGCATAATTATAGCGAGTAAGAAAAGGATAGTTGTTTTTCCATTCACAAAAATGTTTTTTCGGGAGTTGCAACTTGTAACCTTTCCATTAGTAACTAAATACAATACACATGTATCTAAATATAAACTAAATAGACAGTGATCTTGCTGCAAGCTAAATACGAAGTTTTTAAAAACCCCAAATATATGTGTTTTCCTCCTCTTCTATTTTATAAACATATTTCTTAATTTCTTGAGTCCTTGTGGTATTGTTGTTTGTTGCTAATATGACATAATCATGGTTGAAGTCTCATCATTTTTGTAGAGTTGGAATGGCGGAGAAATGTCTACTGGAATTTGTACTCATAAAAAAGAGTTACATCACATGCCCTGCCTCGCTCATCGTTTCCACGGCTATCAACGAATTATTCCTTTCTGTTGAAACTGACAACACTCTCCAGTAAATTCTAACATCACATCTCCGAGATTTCGTTTCTTTTTCTTTCTTTCTTTCAATGTCATTTCTTTTCATTTAACAGACCACGTCATCACTAAGCAGGACGATGTTTTGAATACATGGGGAAAGTTTTACTTGAACATCACAAAGACTTCGTATAGTCTTTGGTTTCCTAATGTAAGCCGGTCAAACGCTGGTCAATACACCTGTGCCTTCACATCTTCTGCAGGAGAACAACAAATTAACTTTACGCTCAATGTCTCATGTAAGTACACAACTCATCGAAACACGTCTGACTGTGTGTAATGTATGAAATGTAATGAAACAACAAATTAACTTTATGCTCGATGTCTCATGTAAGTATACAACTCATCTAAACACGTCTGACTGTGTGTAATGTATGAAATGTAATGAAACAACAAATTAACTTTATGCTCGATGTCTCATGTAAGTATACACAACTCATCTAAACACGTCTGACTGTGTCTAATGTATGAAATGTAATGAAACAACAAATTAACTTTATGCTCAATGTCTCATGTAAGTACACAACTCATCTAAACACGTCTGAATATGTCTAATGCATGAAATGTAATGGAACAACAAATTAACTTTACGCTCAATGTCTCATGTAAGTATACATAACTCATCTAAACACGTCTGACTGTGTCTAATGTGTATGAAATGTAATGGAACAACAAATTAACTTTACGCCCAATGTCTCATGTAAGTACACAACTCATCGAAACACGTCTGCCTGTGTCTAATGTGTATGAAATGTAATGGAACAACAAATTAACTTTACGTTCAATGTCTCATGTAAGTACACAACTCATCGAATCACGTCTGACTGTGTCTAATGTATGAAATGTAATGGAACAACAAATTAACTTTACGCTCAATGTCTTATGTAAGTACACAACTCATCGAAACACGTTTGACTGTGTCTAATGTATGAAATGTAATCATTCTGGGCAGAATATTAGTTTCATGAAATATCAGTTACATGTATATAAATTCTAAGGCATATTTTGTACGTAAACAATATATTTCAATTGATGTTCACTTATGTCATGCAAGTCATTGATTGACTACTTGATATAGCTCATATGCAGTTCTTTCTAAAAATTATGGCTTATCATTATCATTATCATGTACAATGGCCACAGCAAGGTTGACAATAATTCATAAATGCTCCGACATGACACGATCAGGCTTTCATTAAAACTCAAGGTTGAATTATCACAATAATTATGGTGTTCATCATACTGCAAGTGAGAATCTTTCGAGGGAATCTACTCAACTGTGAATATGATAATTAGATAGCACAACAGGCACACGCCGCCAATAGGTTGATGTATTAACATATCCGTTAGAATAGATGATTAATGGTGGAAGAATAAAAGAACGGTAACTTGGTAAACTGCCGCTCAAAGGCGCCACGCGTTACGCTCAGTGCGTTTAGTTTCGATTAAAACATAGTAGAATAGCTTGTTTGCAGCACCGAAATCAATAGAAAGGGAGAAAGAGATGGTTAGGTAAGGAAATTAGAAGAGGATAGTAGAAAGATAAAGGGTTGTGGAGGGAGGGGTGGTAAATAAAGGGTTTGAGAGAAACGTGGGTAGATATATCTACCTCTATGGTAAGATATAGATAGATAGGGATAGTCAGCGAGGGAAAGAGCACGGTATATGGAGAGAGAGAGAGAAAAGAAGAAAGAGAGAGAGAGAGAGAGAGAGATAGTTGTATCGAGCAAGGGCGGAAGTTACCTGCATGATATTTTTTTATTTTTGTAGAATTTCATTGACTCTTTGACCACCTCTCGGGGTATGAGAATACAAACAAACAAAAAGGTATACATAGCAATGCATGACTTATACATTATACATAGATAACGACACAAAGATACAACAACTATAGAAATAGAATAAGATATTTTTATAATGATTAAGTCTATACAATATGTTTTCTTCCTGCATTAGTTCACCACGACAATATTATGTTTGTTCATTTGTTTTTATCGTTGAAGATCCGCCAGAAATCAACAAGATCCTACCCAATAAGGCGCCGTTCCGTAGCTTGGACCAGCCGAGAAAAATACTCGTCAACGAGACGGACAACGTAACCTTGTATTGTGACGTAGCTGCTTCTCCTTCCCCGTACACTACTTGGCGTAAAGATGGGGCGCCAGAGTTTGGAATCTGTGCGAGTACGTAACATTATCTCAACTAACAATAAAATCGTGTCACAGGGTAAAAAATATTTATTTAAAAAAAAAGTGTACTTGAAGGCAATTACCCGTAGTATTCTTCGTATATATTTGTGCCATGTGAATAGAATCATGAATGTTTACTTTTAGGAGTATTAATACAGAGACAGCATTGTTTGCCTCCTTCTAAAATAATGTTACCCCTTTGTAAACGTAAGATGATTTTCAATCATTTTCATTTTTTTGTATACACCTTGTGCATCTTACTTTCTCCCAGACTAACGCTATCGGATGGATCTACGCCTCAATTATGTTATGAAATATTAATATCATTATGCCATCTAGATTATTTTTCATAGTCTAATTTGCTACTTTTGAAATTTAAATTCGCATAAAATTATATAGCACTTCATTCCTTGAATTCATGTTTGTTTGTTTGTTTGTTTGTTTGTTTGTTTGTTTGTAATGATTGACAGATAAGAGTTTACCGCTGATTGCAGTGACGCCTCGTCAGAGTGGTGACTATACGTGCACCAGTGAGAATTCACTGGGAGTGGTGACGGAGACGATGAAGCTTGAAGTTCAATGTAAGTATCTCAGGGGCGGATCTAGGGGGGGGGGGTTGGCGGGTTACCCCCCCCCCCCTTGGGCGGCCAGGTGAAGAAAAAAAAGGGGGGAAAGGAAAGAATAACAAAAGTAAAACAGTAAAACAGCGCGATTTTTTTAGAAAAACCTGGATTCGCCACTGGGTCAACCCCCCCCCCCCCCCCTTGGCAAAAAGCTAGATCCGCCCCTGTATAATCTTGCATCACATTTGCATTTTCCCGGTGAATATTCATGGAAAACTGGATAGATCATCCACAAGAAATATGATATTCATGAATACACAGAATATACACATACACTACACAATAAACACCACTTACTGACCGTGGTGTTTGTATAATTTTACAACGTTGTGTTTTATGTATTTTTTAAATGTGTTTGTTGATTGTGAACAATTCAGCCCATGGCTGCTGATCACGATTTGTATTAAACCATGAATAACTAACTTAATGAATAAATAATGAATATATACAAAGAAGAAGTGCAATAATATCAAATGACAAATAAATTAAAGGCCAATTATAATAAAAGTTTTCATATCGTCGTGAAAAGTTATCGTTGTTGGTTAGTATTTGTTGGCAGTCGGGCACTGTATGACTAGATTCAACAACAAAATAATATTCAATTTTAAATACAGGTCTCTCTCTCTCTCTCTCTCTCTCTCTGTCTTTGTCTCTCTGTCTCTATGTCTCTCTGTTGTCTCTGTCTCTGTCTGTCTGTCTGTCTCTCTCTCTCTCTGTCTTTGTCTCTCTGTCTCTATGTCTCTCTGTTGTCTCTGTCTCTGTCTGTCTCTCTGTCTGTCTCTCTCTCTCTCTCTCTCTCTTTACCACTCCCCCTTCCCCCTCTCTCTCTATCCCTCTCTCTTCCCCTCCCACTGTCTTTTGGTTACATTGGTAACCTGTATCTAACTGAGTATATCTTCTTTTTTTAATATTAATGTTTGCAGATGTTCCTCGAGTGCGTGCAGAGATAGCCGATCTACGGGGAGCATCGGGCAAATACCTCCTCCTGAAATGCAGAGTAGACGCCATTCCAAGGGCCCGCTTTCACTGGGAAAAAGACGGAGAGATGATTTCTTCCTTAGATTTAGATTAGTAAGCTATCATAGATTTATTTATATGAACAATGTCAAATACTTTGTATTTTCTCCATAGCAGTCTAACCCCCGCCCCACCCCCTTTTCCTAGAGGGTGTTGATTCTGCTGGTCCAGAAGTTTGTCGGCAAATTTCTATTAATCCGTGACGACAAATTAATAGCTAATTAAATTGGGTGTTTCTTTCTTTTCCTCTTTCTTGGCTGACTTGTAATAATAATAATAATTATAATAATAGGCTCATTTATAAAGCGCAGCTACTATATTATGAATGCGCTGTATACAAAGTAACATAATATTGCCCTGGCCGTACCGAGTCGCCAAAATCAGGCGCTAAAGTATTAAAGGAATTTCTTCTTATCAGGTAGGACTATCCATTCACGAGTACTTCACTTAATGGGTGGAGAGTGGCAAATGTAGAGTAATGTATCGCCAACGGAAATTAGTGTTGCGGTGGGACTCGAACCGCAAACTATGACGTGAATTGATCCATGTGACGTATCCCCTAGACCAGCACATTTGGTCTGACTTACTTCATTAAAATCATGGTCTATATCGACCCCCAGCCTAATATTAGTCGCCCCCCCCCCCCTTACCCCACAATAAATTAACGAGAACAACGCGTACTCCTTGTAATGTTTACTTCCAGTCAAGGTTTTTGCCGCCGACCACATCTTCTATAGATCGTACTTAAAATAGCCCTAATGTGTCGTCACTCTTACTTTTTTCTTTGTTTTCTCCAAGTTTTGTTATTATATCTCTGGACCCTTCGATCGATTACGGTACATACACCTGCGTGGCTACCAACCTTCTCGGCTCAACGCGTGCACACATTAATGTTACAGGTAAGTTGGTGATTTTATTTATGATTTCAATTCTTTAGACTAACATTTCGCATTTATCGCTTAATTTTCTTTCAGTACTGAGTAATTTTCTTCAATTATTAATTCAATATTTTACCAATCACCAATAATCTAAAATGTATCTCTTTAATTTGGTGTATTATCAATTCTTCTTTTTCATTTCTGTAATTTCTATATCACTCATGTTGTTCTTTTTTTCGTAATGCAGATATATTTATGTAATTCATTTTTTCCATTAGTGCGCCTTGAGCATTTTGATTTCAAGTGGATTTGACACCTTACAAATAATGTAAATTCATAAATATTATCGTTATTATTATCACTATTATTATTTTTATATTGTTGTTCTTATTATTCATGTTGTTATCATCATCATAATGGTTATTATTATTAGTAGCATCATCATTATTGTTAACAATATTATTACTGTTAATATCATAATTATTATTGTTGTTTCTATCAGAAGAAGTATAATTATTGTTATTATTATAATTATTATTATTACCATTATTATCTACCTCCTCAATGGATTCAACTGTGAAAATATATCTAAAACAATATCATGTTTGTTGCTTCAAATCTATATTAAAAAATAGCCTTCAAATTGTGATCATTTTTAAAATGTGAATTATGTAATCAGAAGTAAACCAAAAGAGAAACGAAGGATATGTAATCAATTCAATGTATTAGTGAAGGCCTAGATCGCGCGAGTGGGTAATTTCATTGGATTTTGAACTTCTGACTATCGACGGTAGATCTAAATGGTTTTGACCTACCAAGTAACCTAAATCGACCATTTTTAATGAAGAGTTACCCCCCCCCCTAATTTTTTTTTTTTTTAAACCCCACAAGTTTCAAGAAGTGTGACTCTTCCAATAATGTCCGATTAGTCCTTATTCATTTTGAATTTCCCTTTTTCCTAATCAAATTTGTTTTCATTATATATTTTTTTTAAAGGCCTCCCCATGAAACCCGTGGTAGTGAGTGATCCTAAAGGAACAAGGAAGCACATCTATCAGTTGAGATGGAGAACCAGTGTTGAACGACAAGATGCAATCACAGAGCAGTTACCCGTAGATGCTTACGACATCTCCTACAGAAAAGTAGTCACAGAGGTAGGTTGAAAATAAACAGACTATGTTCGTATAAATGTAATCAAATATAATGCATACATCTTTGTTAGGTGCCTCGCTACAAATTATTTCACCTTTTTAAAATAATTGTATATCAATATTCAAGATGCAAATTACATACATTAATTGTTGCTAGGTAGAAAAAACATTTAAGTCTACTCTATATGAATCAAATCAGACATTGATATTATCAAGATTTAGAGAGGGAGGGGCTATGATAAGGACATTTGAATAAGGAAAGATAATCATCGCTCAGAAATGCTATAGATTTAAGGAAAACACAGGATAACAAGATTAACTTTACGTCAAAAATGCTCCATTTTTCTCGACAATCTATTGTCAATTTTAATGCATTTTGAGTTACCTTCCATGTATATAAATCAGAAAGATAGATACCGGTCTGGCAGGAAGGTGCCAATTGCGGTGAGGGGTTTTCATGGACCAGTGGATCAGAGATTATATTATCAAAACAACTATGACTTTAGAAGAGTACGAATTTACAAATAGTAAAAAAAAAAAAAAAGTGAATACCAATAATACCAAACAACAACAACAACAACATCACAGTCTGTCTATTAATCTGCAGATATTGGATGGAGGCCTGAAGAGGTTAAGATACGAGCCCCTGGAATCAATGCAAGAGACCTATCACACTGACGGATGGAAGGAATACCATTCATTGGTGTTGCGAGATCTTTCTTTAAACAGCACTTATGAAGGAATCCTGTGCCCTCGTAACCAGTATGGAAGCGGAGAGTGCACCAACTTTGCTTTCAATACTGCATTTGGTTAGTATTGTTATGTACACACATAAAGACATAAAGACGATATCCCGCGGAATATCGCCCCCTGAAAACTAATCCAAATAACAATTACCTCTTGACAATTACCCCAAGACATTTAGCTCCTATTCAGGCTCCGAACGACTTACCCCCTTTGAAAATGACACCAATTACCCTCGAAAACTATTTGGGGTGTAAAAGTATCTTAAATGGGGATATTGCCGAGGGCCCGATAAATTCGAAAGGTGTAGTATATATCCGGGGATACATTTCCAGGTCATCATTTTCGTGGAGGTAGATTTCTTGGGGTAGATGTTCGGGGGGTGATAGTCCAAGTTTGTAGCTGACCTTGAATTATATAGATCGTAAAACATAGTGTAAAATATGCAATTTAATTCAGTGCAATAATCAATTTCATGCACGAAAAACTAAAGAAGATATTATTCATTTTCATGCATAAAAGACAGGGAAATGGTGAAACGTAATAATGAATTAAGTTTCCATTTAACAATAATATTCAGATATTTGGCGGGGTTTATCTAATGAACATTAAAAAGAAATTCTTACTATCTACATCAACAAAGATTTTTGTCAACATTTGTGTGGGGTAGATGATTTCAAATCTGTGATACGTAGATAGAGATAGAGACACATTATCACCTTTCGTTCAACTTTCCATTTCCATTTTTAAACAATACTGTATTTGATTGTGAAATGCGACTAAACTGAACTGAACTGAACTGAAGTGAAAACTTATCTTGCAACTGACGACTACAGTTTTCCTTCTCGACGTACGACCTCCCATAAAATGGGGCAACAGTCTGATATACAGACCATAAGGAAATGTCCATGATAATTGTTTATTTTTGTTACTATTCCAGAGGACGGCTTGACGGAACCACCTCCGGTGAACCCTGAAACTGAACGGATAGGTAGGTATATAGAGTCTGGAAGAAAGTAAAACGGTTTCCTGCGGAATTTCAAGAACAAATTGAAACCTTTCGTTTCCGTGGTTACTCAGGCTGGGTGAATAACTGACAAATTAATATCTATGTTAACGGTCATTGAAAGTTATACAATCATTTAAAAAGACCAGAGATATGACTATTTGAAAGGTGATATGAAAGAAATACATTAGAAATATCAGGTAAATTTTGCTATAGTTATGATTCTTTGGAGGTCTTTGTGAAGATCATGAAATGATCAATTTTGGAGATACCAACATTTTATCTAATTCAATTTTTACTATATCTAGAGCAAATTACTGCAAAGTGCCTATAAGCTTTAATTGGACAATCGTTTGCTTAAGTTGTTTGTGTTTTTTTTTTTTTTTTTTTTTTGCTTGTGTGTGTGTGTGTTCAAGAATATAGTAGAAAAATAACCTTATTTATCTTGTTACACTCGATTCGATCGTTTATTTTAAAAAGAAAGAAAAGGATGAACTCGGCTTTTGATGATTACATAGGTCAGTTAACTGAAGTTCATGTCTAAAATGCGTGGTCTTTATTTTCCGGGACAGACTGTGTAAGTAAACATACAACTGTATCAACTTGATCTTTTCCTGCAAGAAAGGGTCGATGACCAGATAATAGGCATACTATAAGAAAATACAACTTCAGGAACTTCAAGACAAATTTCGTGAAGAGGGCAAAAATCCCTCCTTGCGTTTAGTATGTTATTACCGTGATGCATGCAAAGGCATATCCATCTCTTGGGAGGCATTTCAATCTTAAAATTTATTATTATTACACTTTTATCTTTTGTTTCTTCTTGTAGACCATGGTTTAACAATAAACCCGCCCTTGGAACAAGTTGGTATTAATGCTGCCACACAAATAACGACGTCATCGGCTGTTTGCATCGTCACAACTATTTTGTCCTTTCAACTTTGCACCGGATACAGATACATATCGTGACATTGTATGGGACCATGATAAGTGATCAAGTCATTTATGAATAAAGCACATTCAGAAAGCTTTTCATGATAATACATGTATAATAATAATGTGATTTCCATCTCTAAAATGACATTAATATGAAAATGTATAAATATTGTATGAATGATTTGTAAGGTAATGTATGGTAAGGAATGAGATATTCCTGATTACCATTTTGTAAGTTTTAACTTTTGAATGCATCTCATCCTCCCTCGCATTATGTTTACCATCTTTCTTTCTCCTTATCTCTTCCTATCTCTCTTTCTTTTTTCCCCCTCTTTCTCTTCATCTCTCTTTCCTTCCATTTCTTTCACCTCCTCTTTCCATAACATTAGAACTGTAAAAAAGTTATCATAACTTTGGTTTTGAAGGTTTGTTTTGCCCAACTGCTAAGAAAGCATGCGCATTCTTGTAAGTAAGCAACCAGGGGACCGACAGCTTTAAGTCCTCTCCAAGAGACTTGGTAATGATGATTAATGCCTTACCCAAGGGCAGGAGTGCATTGACTTGGTTTCGAACCCAGGACCTCCCAGTTTCGAGACCACTACTCTACCACTGAGCCATTGCATCTGCTCCTTACAAACACCTTAAACCTGCTATGTATATCTTCAACTGTGTTGAGATGTGTTGAGAGATACTTTCACTTTCATACAGGCCTATCACCATTTCACAGAATTCACCATTAATCTTTCTCAGTTCAATAGATATGTCATGGTATCTTCAACAAATTTAGTGCTTAGTTGTGGATCATTAGGATGGAATGAAGATCTGTTGCCAATTGAATGTTATGTTCATTTGAGTTGGTGGGTGTACTAGAAATGTGTAGACACAATTTCAAAACCAATTAGAACACTGTAAATATCTCTTTTTTTAAAGATGAAAATTGTGTATACCTACATCATAATTCTTTATGTACATATTTCACAGTATAATGCTATTGAAATGAAGCCGCGAAAGATAACAATAAAGCTTCATTGATCACACTCGATTCTTTTATTCAAGAATACATTGCAGTAATAGAAAGTTCACACACCTTCGATTTCTTGCCTTAAAAACATGAACAGCAAGTAATTATGAAATAATTTATAATCAACACTAATTGATAATCATAATTTAAATAAATACTAAGATATGAATCAGATAGGTATGAAAATGAGCATGAACCTATTCATCATGAGAAAATATTTTAATTCTAAACTGATCGTAAAGATAAAAGTACATATACCTGATATTTGACACAGAGAGATTGAAAATATTTGTAAAGCATGATTTATATAGTGTTTTCCTACATCGTTTTGGGGGTAAACATATATCTAAATAACAGACAATTTATTTCAACAACTGTACAGTTTGAAACTTCGGATTGTCTTTTTCAAACATGTAAAAAACATATATTGTATTATTCAACCTCAAAAGACGATATTTCAGAATATATACATACTACCTTATTGCATTTGTATCATACAAAATAAGAGGTGCAATCGAATTCTTGATCCTTTGTGCCTTAGTTTCACTGTCAAAATGCATTATGTGTACAGTATCATAGTTTCATTACTCTAATCTTTAATTGATGTGATTTACAATTTATTAAGAATAAATTTGTTATCTTATATGCATTTGATACAAGCAGGGTATAAAACGATAAAATATTAAGTTATACGTGTACATACATGCATATGTCTTATTTGAATTACACAAATGTATTTCAATTTGATAACTTTATGACTGCCTCCGCATTGGTATGACTCTGTAATAGATAACAGCATTTATATGCTAATTGCACAAACAGTATGAGGTGTTTTTTTTTTAATCACACATTCAATAAATATCATATACATTCACCTGCATCTATATATTTGGGTGAAACTAATATCATGCCTTTTCTGTGATATTCTTGATACAATTCAAGAATTTGGAAATCAGTCTTTCATTTTTTTACACTGCTTGCTTTTATCCTAGCAAAGAATTATAAATTGTTCATACACGATTTAAAAAAAAAATATTAAGGAAATTAATCTACAGCGGACATCCTGAGATTCCTATCAATTAAAAGATATTTTCTGTAAGGCATTCTCTTGAAATTAACATGTCTATTGCGTGAACAAATTCACACACACACACACACCCAGGACAAAGTAAGTGTGTAATGCATTCAAAACCCACGCTCAATAACATGGAAGAGAGATGCTCTTTCATCCATGATAAAGAAGAGCTGTCACTTATAAATTGCAAATTTCATTGCTTTATATTATCAATTAATGATTGTCAAAACCTGCATCAAATCAATGCACGTTGTCCAAAACCAGGCCACCATAAAAACAAAAATCTTTGGGTATTTTCCTTATACATTTGTGTAAATCAGGTAAATGCACACTCTAACTCAAACAAAAGGAGAATTTTAAAATGGAATCACATGTGTATTGAATGATGTACTATACTTTTTTCTGACTAATCGAGGAACCGGTACTAACATTTTCATCAGTTTCTATTAGGATTGCAAACACTGTGTATTATTTCAATTTCATTGAAAATTGTACATCACTTGAAGTCAAAGAAAACTTACTACTATGCACGATTGATATAGAGTATAAAAATAGAGAACTTACAATGTAAAAATAGAAGTATATTACAGATTAATTTATCATATATTACACTCAATATTCATAAAGTATATAAAATATATTAGAATATAACTGCATAGCCTTTTGTACGAATATACATGTATATTTTTTCTCTTTCTTCTTCTGAAACACTGATCTTGAAGTACTATCAAATAAAATTCAAATCCTGAAACAGCGGGTCACAGTTTGTTTTTCTGTTAGCTTGATTGTGTTGAGTTGTTGGTCCTCTCGTAATATTACCTGCTGAGAACCCGGCGGGTATCAAGTCACATCATTTAAAGCCCCACTGCACTACTTATAGCTACTTGCGCCCTCTATATAGCAAACAATGCCTAATCGGTGACCATTGGTCCCCATTGGTCCCCCATGATGCCCTTTTTTATGTTAATTGAGAGCTGATTTGATGAGATAACCACCCGTCAGTGACCATGCAGGGAGGTCTAATCCCTCCTGGCCAAACTAGTGCAGTGGGGCTTTAATAGGAAGATTTCAAATCATACTTATGGTTTCAGACTAATTGTGGGAGATATGAAGTCATATTCAGCCATACTGATTGGTTGGAAGCTACCTCGATAAGCTGTAAAACAAAACAGGAAGATAATAAATTAGGTAAGGGGTTAAATGATAGGCACTCTATTCCTATAAATTTACTTTCTCCTCTAATAATACGGAATACACTGGCTTTGTTATGTGATGGATTATAATAAAGGATCAGAAAGAGTAAGAAAAATTGGGAATGATGCACAAAGATTTGTGATTGATGGAATAGGTGAGGATGATAAGGGGAGAGAGAGAGGAGAAGGGAGAGAGAGAGAGAGAGAGAGAGGGGGGGGGAGAAGGGAGGAGAGAAAGAGAAAGAGAGAGAAAGAGAGAGAGGGAGGAAGAGAGAGAGAGTGAGAGAGAGAGAGAGTGAGAGAGAGAGAGAAGGGAGAGGGAGAGAGAAAGAGAGAAAGAGAAAGAGAGAAAAATGTGGGGGAAGAAAGAGGTTTGAGAGAGAATTAGAGACAGAGAAAGAGAGTAAGAAGAAGGGGAGAGATAGAGAGAGAGTAATGAATTATGTCCAGTTTAGACCCAGGATGAAGTTTTAAAAATCCCTGCATGTTGTAGAATACAGCAATAATATTTATTGAATATGGAAGGTGAGGGAAACATATACAGCCTAATAGTCAGAAAAGTGTAGAGGAAGTTTTAAAAAACAGAAAAAAGTAAAGATAAAACAGAAAAAATGAGGAGAGTATAAAACAAACCTTTTGTTGGTGGAATCCATTAACTGGAAGACTGAAATGGAAGCCCTTTGGGCAAGCATTGATATCACCGTAGCTTGCCTTGCTACCAAGCACCCAGACAGTGGAATTGGATGAACTGATGCAGGCATGTGGAAGCAATGTGTCACATGAGGGCGCCAGATACCATCGGTGACTGGTACCACTGAAAAAACAAGAAAGAAATACCTTTCATCAACTACACAAACTATCAAAACAATGCATTTCCACTGCATTAAAAAGTCTTACAATCTCTATAGAATCCTCTGCCACTGAAAATCCAATAAATAATCCATTGGAACATTTAAATTCTGAAAAAGTCTGAAATCAAATATGCTCTCATCATAATACAGTTAAATATTTGATAGATATACATATGTTTTTTTTTCTCTCTTTGTTTTCTTTTTCTTGATTCTCTTTTGCACACTTACATATGTACATCACTCCAAAGTGTTGGGAGCCCCCACAATTTGATGGCAAAATTTCACTTAAATTGTATCAAAATGTAAAAGATGATGTCATTTACACATTTCTGGAAGGATTTTCAAAACAAGTGCATTTGAAGTCAATTATTGATAAAAGAATAGAAAATCTAGGTTTTCTGCATACAACAGAAAACTTATCTTTAGTATTATTATCAAAAATAAATCATCAAAGCCGTAGCCTTATAAGTTTACATGTAAAAGAAAGCAATAATATGCACATTTACAGATGTCTTTCCCCCTAAACTTGTACATTTTCCATGTTGAGCAATGATCTATCTCATTTACCAGGACTATGACAAACTGCAAAATGTCTTATTCACTTATTCACCACTCATTATACATTCAGAATTATGATATCCTTTACTTACTCGAGAAAGACACAAGACTGAATGGTCAGAGGTTGACTTGGTTGACCTTTGGCCCAAGTCCAGACAGCAGTCTCCAGCAGTTTTGGATTGATTTGGTCAGCTGCAGGATACTGAATACTATAGAGGGAGAGGTCATAAGAAAGAATGGCAAGTTAAGGTGATTATTACGAGGTTTGAACAATATTCCATTTTTTCATTTTCTATGGTTATCTGTACCATATCCATCTAAATTTTAAAGAAAAATAGTCTGTTTCTAACTCTACATACCCCCTCTCTATCTCTCTCTGTTTATGTCTCTCTTTTTATCTCTCTCTCTCTCTCTCCCTCCCCCCCCCCCCCTTCTCTCTCTCTCTATACTGTAAATGAATGTGCCTACAGCAAGTAGACTTTAGAATTTGGATATACACATGTAACATTATTATCACATGCAATTCCAAGTAAATATGTTTTTTTATTTTAATAATTGAGCACTACATACAAGCATATTGTACATCTCTAACACAAGTACAAATGAGATACAGTTAGTCTTTTAAAAGCATGAACTTATGAAATTGTGACCCAGCATAAATATCCTCCTAGCCCACAGAATGATAGATGACAGATGATACATTCTTACTTCAATGAACATATTTCTGTGACTCTATGAAACAAGATATTTTAAATGACATCTTCAATTACCCGCATTTCATGAACTCTGAGAAGTCTAGAATAACACCGGTTTGCTTCGGTCCATTCCAAAAGGGTCTGTGGAAAATGGAAATCAAATGAAAGAGATAAAATCTAAATGGAAAAAACTTTAATTTGTATCACTATTTAATCCTATCATATTTCTCTTTGCAATGATGCTCATAATGGCAGCTTCAGTAAGATAAATGTAACAATTCAGAGATACATTTTACACAATGTTTTTTCTGTTCTCAGTATGTCAGACCCTGATATTAAACCTGAAGAAAGCAACTAACAAAATGAATCATTCAGAGCGTCACACAATCAAATGATAAGAGAAGAGCTATTGACTATTGTGTACCTTACAACACAGATAAGTGATTATGCGATTGTTCCAAGCATCTGATTTTGTTCTTAAACCACAATATGCACAGGAATAGCAGATAATGGACAGAAATCTGCATGTCTGCATATAACAGACCTGGCACTTCATGCATGATGATGATACAGTATATAAAGTCTTGCTATGGCATTAACTTTGGCAGTCTATCACATCATGACTCTGATGGGGATTTAAAGAGCTTGTTGGATACCTACCCATAGTTTGTACTGTCACAATAGTATCTCAGTACACTGGAGCTTGATGCTTGGCCGCATGTAGGGTACGGTGTGAACTGGATGACAGACGATTAAAATAAAATCACAGGATAAATATTGTCATTATCATCCCAAGAAGTTGCATCTTTATGTGCAGAAATTACATAGAATTGTTCAATCCCACAGAATAAGCGACGGACACAATCATCACACATTCTCATACTAATTTATAAAAAAAAAAATTAAACATGATTCCGACCCGAGGTGAGAAATAAGATTGAGTTAATTGAGATGAGGGAAAAATTCTAGCTAAGGACCAAACCACGAGAAAGACAACTGTTGCTACCGAATTAAGGCTCCGCAGGGAATAGGAGGGACTATAAGGCTAAGTAGTTAAGTCCTGCTGAAGTTATCTCACACTTAAGTATTTCATTAAGTAAAGAATGGGTTAAATTTTCAACTACCTACCTCATTTCTTATGTATTCGTTCCAGTACCCCTCCTGAATAAAGACACTACCGTGGGTGTATGAATTGGCCGAGGTGACAAGGACGGTCTTATTTAGCTGTTTGAATAAAAAATGAGAATCAAAATAACAATGATAGATAGATCAGGGTTTGCTCATTGAGAGATAGATGGAAAGAGAGTGAGAGAGGGAGAAAGAGAGAGAAAGAGAGAGAGAGAGAGAGAGAGAGTTAGAGAGAGAGAGGGAGTTAATAGAGAGAGAGAGAGAAAGAGAGAGAGAGAGAGAGAGAGGGAGATAGTGTTAGAGAGGGAGAAAAAGAGAGAGAGAGAGAGGTAGAGAAAGGGGGAGTGGCACAGAGAGTGGCACAGAGAGAAGCAGAGAAAGAAAAATAGTGCAAGAGAATATAAGCAGCATGTCAGAATACCACCATGCAAAAGCGCTCAATCACGATTGATGTCTTTGTTGTAAATGGTAAAATATCAATACCAATTCATGTTCATACATGTATCTGGTGGCACACATGTTTATAAAAAAATTGCAATATGAACAGGGTACTCAATTCAAATGCAATTCAAATTTATTCAAATGCATTCAACTGAACTAAACTGTAGTCCATGACTGATAATCAAAGGACATCAGTAAGTGTATGGATGATGCATGATAGATTCTTTGTTAAGGATAAAGATGTGCAAATGACTTGACTTACATTTCTCATTTCTCGTAATGTCGGCCATCTTCCCAACTGTTTCATATCAGTTGGTGTAAATACTCTGTCTCCAAAGTACTTTTTAATTGGTCCGTTTATCAGATCATCGTGGCCTTTGGTGTGATCAGAGCCATCCTAATAGTCAATTATTCAAACAAAATCAATCAATGAAGTGATATCTGAATGGATATACAGTTTGTTGAAATGTAAATTGTAGCGTAACTTTAGCGTACTTGCAAAATAAACGGAAATACATATAAATATTGCATTTAAAATAATACCTCCAGCAAATTGAAAGGTCAAGTCAAGAAATAGCACCTTTCAATTTCTCTTCATGTCACAAAAAAAGGTGCAGATATAATTACGGTAAACGGTTCAATATCAGCATATATTCAGACTCCCGATTGGGATGTGGGTATTCAAACGAAGCTAATTCAGACTAGTTCAGTCACAGTGTGAAATAATCAAATTTCATCGCCACTTACCGTATTTGCCGGCGTATAGGCCACAGTATTTTTGGAAGAGAAAATATCAAAAAGTCGGGGTGCGGCCTATGCGGCGAAAGAGTAAAAAAAGTTTTTTTTTTTTTTTTTTTAGTTTTAATTTATGGCGCTGTGCCTGGCAATGTCTCCCAGCGCAGTAATCAGTGTGTTGACTCACCACTCGGAAACTACAACAACACTAAAATTTGTCTGTCATCTTGGTTTGAAAGTAATCTTTCTAATAGATCTCAATATGTAGTTTATAATAATAATTCCTCAATTTTTTTATATAACAAATGGTGTACCACAAGGTACTATCCTAGGACCTAGTACTCTTTTGTTTTTAATTCACATTAATGATCTGACACATTCTTCTAAAAACGACATTTTTACTATTATTTGTGACAAGTTTACAAGCACAAATCAGCGCCTTTAACTGCACCTCGATGTTAAATGAAGGTCCTTCCCCGCGTGGGACTATACGGCGCTGCGGCCTTATCGCCGGCAAATACGGTAATTCACATTTTTTTTTAAAGGCAAGCAAAATCACATTTTTGAATCTCTTCTCACAATGCAATGAAATGGAAATGAAAAGTTTGGACTTACCTCAAAGTATATTCTTATGATGATCCCCGCATTCTCTGGTTTGTGAACCCATTCTCCGATCTCTTTCATACCATATACAAAGAGCCTATCGGTGGGCCCGCAACCGATGGCATGTTCTGAAGCATGGCTCATTCTCATCTGTTCATTGAAATATAGAAAGAGTAAACATTTATTCAAATTTTTTTTTACAATGAATGCAGAAGTTTCCATTATTGTTTACAAATATTTAACATGAAATACATGAAATGATGAAATACAGGAATATGTTGTCTTCCTTCATATAAACAGTATTTACTTCATGTAGATGCACCAAAAACATAATTACTACTCATAGGAGGATCCATGAGGAAAGGCCAAAAGTGTACAGCCCCCCCCCCCCCCCTCCCCTGTGGAAAACAAAACATGGAAAAACAACTTTTTAGAGGTAGAAATGCAGCCATCCCCATAGTTACAGGGTAGGATAGGCAGGATTTCTTATGGATAAAATGCATCTGCCCTGGTTTGTTCCATTTATAGTACATTAGTGTTTGCAGAGGCAAATGAACAAAAAAAAATTGGGGCAGAAAAAAATCTGCATCATAAAAAATATTATTTACAAAAAAGTGAGAAAATACCCCCGGAAAATCATGTCATTTCAGCAACATTTGTTAAACACTGGTATCCAATCAGAAATAAAATCAAGTTTAGATTTTATCGGGGAGGGGGGGGGGGTGTACATGTCTGGTTGTGCAAATTTGGCAGTAGTTGCACTCATTTGTTCCCCTCTGAAGTCCAAAAGTGCAGTAAAGTTAATGAATCAACAACTCTTAAAGCCCCACAACACTTCTTATAGCTACTTACGCCCTCTATGTAGCAAAAAATGCCTAATCGGTGACCATTGGTCCCCAATGATCCCCTTTTCCATGTTAATTGAGAGCTGATTTGATGAGATAACCACCTGTCAGCTAGTGACCATGCAGGGAGGTCCCATCCCTCATGGAGGTCCCATCCCTCATGGCCAAACTAGTGCAGTGGGGCTTTAAGTCTATGAGGCTTTGATAAACCTTATTACCTTTCCAAAACACCACCATGGATCAATCTCCAGAGATCTGATACCCATGTTGAGCATATCAGTCAAACTAAACTCCTGGTTAGCCAAGTCTAGACATGCAGCATCATATGGTGGGGGCCATGGACAGTAATCTAGAACTGAAATGATTGAACATGTTAGTCAAAATAAACTCCTGGTTAAACGAGCCTATACATTCAGCATCATATGGTGGGGGCCATGGGCAGTCATCAAAAACTGAAACGATTGAACAGGTTAGTCAAACTAAACTCATGGTTTACACTACCTGTTTAAACATTATATTGTATTTCGAAACAACCGTATTGTTGTTTGTTGCTGTTTAAAACTGAAACCTCACAATTATTTCATTCTACATATGGAAATCATTTCTCCATTGAGCCATGAAATTATTTTCTGACTTTCATGTTGGCAATGAATACTTGATCCAATGAACTTCCTACAGAGACACACATCATTAAAAACCCTTTGAATTATAAACACCAAGACATGCACTCTAAGCAAACCAGCTCTTCAAGATAACAAAGAGCTAAATCATTATCAACAATTACATCATGTAAATAACACAATGATATCTTGTGAAATTCTTCAAAATATGATAAGTATATATAAAGGATTTTGAGAATGTGAAGGTGATGGTGGTACAGTCAAATCTGTTTTAGTGGCCAGCTCTCTATAAATGCCACCCGTCTATAATGGTGCACCTATATCACGGGTGGCCAACCTTTTAGAGCTCGCGGGCCACAGCTAACGATTGGGATAACTTGGCGGGCCATAGGTAGTCTTCTCCCCCCCCCCCCCCAAAAAAAAAAAAAAAACAGTCATGTAATACGTGTACAGTGTACACACCTGCAATTTTGCAAAAAACAAACAAGGAAACAACAAAATCAGTGAAGAAAAAAAAAACGGCGGGAGAAAAGGGCTGCAAGTTTCAAGACAAGTATGGCATTTCAAACATATTTCTCGATTCACAACATTAATTTGTATATGTACAAACTGAAATTAACTTGGAGAGTGATGTTCATGCCTAGGGGGATACTCAGAGTTGGCTTAGACAGGTGTGTGCCGCTCAAGCCTCGAAACCCCTACCCATTATTAGGGGTCATTTTTCTCAAAGAAAAGACCCATTTCCAGAATTTTCGGGTCTTTTGGGGGTGTTTGCATGACAAACGCCCGAAAATTTCCAATTTTTTTCGCGAAACGGACCCATCTTTAATGGAATTTTTGTTAGAAGTGGGACCCATGTTTATGGATTTCTTGTGTGACAAAGTCACCCATATGTGAATACCCCCCCCCCCTCCGGGTGTTAATGTCGTTAATGTAATGTAATGAGAGGAAATTTTAGGAGTTTTGTATCAACCACGTAGCGATTCAATATGTTGTGAAAGAGAGATAGCTGTTTGTAAATGTTTAACCCTATTTCATGGGGGCCCCATTTCATTTATGAACTATTTTTATTATCAGTTCTTCAATGCTCCGCGGACCGCACCAGAAAAGCTCGCGGGCCGCGGGTTGGCCACCCGTGACCTATATTGTCTCCTCTGAGAGAGAAATGTGTGCTGTAGAACCTGTCTAGAGAGCCCACCTGTCCATAGTGACCACTTATACTGCTTCCCTTGAGTGGCCTTTATAGACAGGTTTGACAGTGTCTAATTTATTTCAGATTACTCTCTGAAAGTGGTTCCTTACCTCCATAATGGTCTGCTCTGTCATTGAAAGCATTGTGGGCCTGGAGAAAAAACCGAGAATTGAAATAATGTGAAGATGAAAACAAAGTGATGTTACTTTATACATATGAGTAAGTGATGCTAAATTCTGCAGATGAAAATGAATATGTTACAAAATATGGTTCTCTTTAATCCGTATTGGATAGAATTCTTCGAAAAATATTCTTGAAAAAACTGTTGACCGTAAAACAAACCTTGTATCATACATTACTGGTTGCTCCTTTCCAATTTGTAATTCATCCTTACAAAGTTTCTTTATATTTAGTTTGCCAGCACATCATTTTCATACGCCATCCCTCAATTACATTTTTTTTTTAAATTACCTATAATACATTTATTCCTATAACAAGTTAACAGTAACGACATGATTGCAATATGAAGCCAACCAAAATATTAAATTCTTACCGCAAGCAACTGAACTTTTGGAAACTCCTGATCAATCTTGAACACAGACAAGACAAAAAACATACAACTAGTTAATGAATGTTCATTTCAGTACAACCAATTAATGTTGTATTATCATAATTATTTCAATACTGTAATTCCAAAATCCATGACTTTATTGCATTGAACAAAAATCTTACTTTCTTTCTGGAAATTATTACTAAAGATTTGTTTGAATATCATTATTTTGTCAAAATATTTTTTGTCACAAAAATTGAGCATGATATCTGAAAATAGGATCAAATGATTTCATTATTGTATTCAGTTACAGTAACAAATTGAATTAATCTATGATTAATTGCCCACATGGGCTATGTAGTATTTGTTTTTAAAAATTCATCAATTATCTTACCTGGATTTCTTGCTGAGTTTTGAGAGCAAAGTCCAGCCACGGATGAGATGGAACATGACCTTTGACACAGCGTTTAAATAGTGTACACTGAAATGACAATTGTAAAAAGTCAGTTGATATAAGTTACGATACAACATTACTAAGGGTTAAAAAAAATTAATATGAACATATGATCTAATAGACCTGGAGGAGTGTTTCACAAAGACTAAGATCGACTTTAAGTTAGACTTAACTATGGCAGGCTGTTCATGTCAGTTTGCTCTTACCATTTACTGGCATTGGTCTCTTAAGGGATTAACAAATCATGGTCTCAAATCTACATTTTTTGATAATTCATTATTGAAGGAAAAAACATTATCTAGAGATCATAATGGAGAGAGCAACCAGTGGCATAGTTAAGTCCAACTAAAAGTTGATCTTAGTCTTTGTAAAACACCCCCCAAGTTTACCAATGTATTTGAAAGTGTACATGCTTCTCTCCCGAACCTCTAGTTAACAACTATTTGATAATGGCATCTCTATGGATAGAATTTACTTTCCATTCATTAGTTGTTGCTACGTTGGGCAAACATCTGGCAAGCTTTCAGTCATCAAGAGAAACTTTTGTTAAAGTATCAGAGCAACATTTGGTAACTTCAAGTAATTTCTATTTATGGTACAGTAAATGGAAATCAGGCATACAATGTATGACTATTACCCAGCTATTTCACACACTCACAAAAATAATATTCATTTTTCAAGATCTCTATGGAATCACAAAAGTATTTCTCATGAATTATTTATACGGATGGTACTTTATAATGATGACAAAATAATTGTTCCCCATAAATCATAATCCCAAAGAATGAAATGGAAGACAATCGAGTCAATGTTATCCTACCTCTGTACATCCTGCTTTTGAACTCAGTTTATCACAATGATGAGTCCCTTTCTTTGGAATAACAGCTGGAAAAAAAGAGATGATAAGTAACTCACAATTTTTTATAAATATTCAAGTTACAGCTGTAGGTAAAGATTGCATTGTACAGAAAACATACATGTTTACATTGTCCTTTAAGATAATGAAAATATAAAAAAATATTCATAATAATTCCTGACACTGCTTGCAATCTTTAGTTCATCTTTGTGATAGACTACATAACCCTTTGAAGATTACTAGAATAGAAAGTTACAAAGCCTATAAAATCTATAGCCCATACAAATTGTTGACATGTGTTGAATTGGATTTAACTCAATTTAATGTATGTGTATCACAATAATTTATCTAACTTGTGGTACACAGTTTTGTTTACAATTGTTTCAAGTATTCAAGAGATAAGCAATGGATGGAATAATTATCTCACAAAATGATTATGAAAAGTAAACATTATTAGAAATCAATTAAAAAACAGCTTACGCTCTAAAAGGCATACCTGAAATTTAAAAAGGTATCAAATGTTGGTTGAATATGTCGCTGTCATTGATATCAAAGCATTCACCTGGGCGCGCCCCCTTGCATAAAATCAACTAATTTTGCCATCAATGGTAACAGGGCTCAATAGACAATCAAAATCAAGATTTTTATGGTAGTTACTATTGATGGCAAAGTTACCATCAATGGTAAGTTTTGTGCAATGGGTCCTGAACAAAAGAATTGCATGCTATTACCTGCTTTCGTCATTGATGAAGTGATATACTTGGTTGTTAATATGGATTTTGCCTCAAAGTACATCTCATGATATCCATGACTGTCAGATTCTACTACGACCTGTAATTTGACCAGATTGTCTTGTTCTTCTATCCGTGCCTTTGTGATGTGCCTTAGCTGGTATGCTACCTGTAATGCAGAAATAATATAAGAATTCCAAACAGCAAGCTATAATCAATAGTTATTTTTTTTAAAGCAGGATCAAGATGTAAAACAGTGAATTAAAACTGATCTTGTTATCCAGAATAAATATGTTTGAAATACATGTAAATAAAAATCTCATAAATCTCTTAATTGCTCTCTCTTGTAGTGTAATTTAGTTCCAGAGGATAATCAGAAATAAATGACAACAAATTTGTGCTCATAATGACTCTAATAGCAGTTTTCTTTCTAGCCCTCCACTATCGATAGTATCATTTTCATAATTTGTCACGAGGTGGAAACTAGTCCATTTCAGCTAATGACTGTGAAATATTGTTTTTAATAAAGGCCATTTTTAACTGAAACTGAAAATGAATTTAATTGAATTTGAAATGTGTGATGAGAAACTTACTTGAGACTGGTTATTGTACTCCTTTACTGTAAGCTCTGCACACTTTGCTACCATTAACAACGCATCATTTGTGAAATTCTGGAGAGGTCCAGGGAATTGCTTGTAGTACTTCACATAAGCTTCTTGATCTTCCATGGAGTACAATTCCTAATAGAAAAATATTAAAGATGGATGAGAAAAGTTAGTATGTAATAAAAGCAGAGAGAATCTCTACACTGAAACATGTATACTTTTCCTAATAGAAATATTAAAGAGGGTTGAGGAAAATTAGTATGTACAGTAGTAAAAGCAGAGAGAGTTTCTACTCTGAAACATGTATACTTCAGTTGTTGTCAGTATTTCTTTTTGCCATGACAACAATTATTTACAAAGGAGATATCACAACTTGAAGATAGCACACATATACTACGATCATAATATTTACCTAAAGTGACACAAAAAATATGAAAAAAGGCCTTTAAAAAACAGCAAGATTTTATATTAAAATGGGGTAGAAGCTAACAAGATACTGAGAATTCATTTTTTAAATTCCATTTAATTTAAAATCATTAAAGGAGTTCAAATTATATTCATCACTGAAATAGAACAATTAGAAAGGATTAAATAGAAAATTGGAAATTCCCAGCAGCCTGCGACATATTTCCAAGAAATCTGATAATGTGTGATTACCTGAATGGTAGCTGAACTTTTTGATGCATGGTTTAACAATAGTAATGTGCCAAGTAACAAGTAGCAAATATGATGCAAGTCAAGATGACATCTGAAAGTTGATGTTTTTCCCATTTTTAGATATCAGTGCAGCTCCTCATTTTATATCTGAAAAATACAAACAATATTTAAAGAATGAGCAATCCGTGAAACCAAAGTTTGAAACAACTAGTATGATGACTTTAACGTAATTCTGCATAATGAAAATACAAGACAAACAAAGAATTAATTTACACAATCTAGGGGAAGCATCTAACATCAAAATGGACCCTCAGGTCTTGAAATTCATGTGTTGTTTTTTTTTTGTACCACTGTATAGATTGTTAAATAAATGACCTCAATACTGCATTGTTTCTGTCTACATGATCAATTCAATATCTCTACATGATAAATTCAATATTTCTACAGGATAAAAACAATATTTACGGTTCCGTCCATTTTACCCCATCATTATGAATCAGTAATACAATTATATGTTGTTTGTTTGAAGGCTAGCTGTGTGATAGCTCTCATTTTAACTGTCATGACTGATACTGATAGTATCAATATCACAAGTTGTCTCAGATGAGAGCACTAGTTGGAACTTCCTGAAACTACATGTATTCAGTGTCACACTGTGAAAGTGAAAGTGTAATTAAAGTGAAAGTGTAATTAAAGTTAAGGTGTAATTCAAATTAAAGTGTAATTCACGTGAAAGTGTAATAAAAATTAAAGTGTAATTAAAGTGAAAGTGTAATTAAAGTTAAAGTGTAATTACAGAATTAAATGAATATTTAAAAGTAACTGAGTTTTGAAAAAGTATAACTGAGATGAATTAAGGATTTAGCGCCCAGACTGATTAGACAGTTGCCAGGTATCGCTTTCCATTATCTTGTTGATTCGTTTAATGAGATCTGGGACAGTTCCATCCTGCCCGGACAATCGTTATATGCCTTTCTATTTCTAGTTTTAAAAGATGGAAGAGATCCATCAAACCCTCCATCATACAGACCTATCTCACTGTCTCCAGTAATCTGTAAGCTTTAAATATGGAGAGGATGGTTGAAAACCATTTGACATATATTGAAAAATATATTATTACCCCATTACAATTGGGTTTCCGAAAGGACAGGAGCACAATTAATGGACCAAATCATTATATTAGAGGCCGATATTCATAAGGCCTTATTAAATAAAGAGTAGGCCTGAGTCATCACGGGTTTTGCCGAACCCGGGTTTGACTTGAAAATTTCGGGCGGGGACCGGGTACCCGAAATTTTCACCACTGCACCGACACTAGAAATCGTGTGCATGCAACGGCGGGAGTTAGACTAAGTTGCTGTTCTAATAATGCGGCGGAAAAGACAGTTACTGCTTTCAAAACAATAAAATAATCAATTGAATTAAATTAAGATGCTTTAAAAAATAAATGGATATCATTTCAGTTGACGGTAGGTGTTTTTATCGCTCAAAATTGAGGCTGCAAGAAAGGAATTACGCTTCATGCGTGGTACCTAGTACGTTCAGAAACGGAAGCTCGGATGGCGGTGTAGGTAGCTTGCCGTTTATACACGCATTTTTAGAACGAACGGAAGGCACTTCGACGTTATTTCAAGGGCTTTAAATTATTTTCCTTCATCAAATTATCAAGGGTCGTAAACCATTATTTTGTGGACATATTTTGACAATTAAATTAATGCCTTTAGTATTACGATTTAATTGCAATAGTCTGATCAGTCTTGTGTGTGGCACTTTCTTGCTCCGTCTTCAGTGGGTCATAGATCTATTTCCACTTCCGTTTCTGAACGCACTCAATCGGTACCTCGAAGCGCGATTCCTTTCTTGCAGCCTCAATTTCAGAGCGATAAAAACACCTACCGTCAACTGAAACAATATCCATTTATTTCTAAAGCATATTTATTTGATTATATTGAAATATAAGTTTGTGAATTGCATATTTTTAGTTTTATATTTCAAAATATCAGTGTGAATTAAATTTAATTCTGAAAAACCCGAAACCCGAAAACCCAAAACCAGGTTTCAGCTCGACGGTCGGGGCCCGGGCGGGGACCTGTTTCGACTCAGGCCTAATAAAGAGTATGCAATCGTAGTCTTCCTAGACTTACAGAACTATGATGCGATATGGAGAAATGGAATTATATACCAGTAAAATGTACTAAGCTAAACAGGTTTGAGAAACATTTTTAAATGGGTTGAAGTGTTTTTCAACATCAAGTACACATTTGAAGAAACTTGATTCTAAACAATACCAAGCGTATCACTGATGGATTACCCACGACATCCTTAGCAGCACATCAGCTCGAGTGCTGGGAGCCCCCCTCAGAGTTACAAATTTTATTTACAAACAAGAAAGAATAATCATCCAACAAAGAATATATTACACAATTCTTGGCAATATGAATGCAATAAATTGAAACAATGAATCAAGCCAGCTCTTTAAAAACAACAAACCTAGAAAAACAGGTGGATTGTACTCCTCCTATTCCTCCTTTGTATTTTGTGAAACCATATCTTTCAGTATACATGATCAGGTGAAAGAGAAAGAGTCGCTTCCAATACAGCAGTTAAATTGTGCATTAGAAAACATTTCAATAAAATGGAACAACTATTTGAAAATACATATGATGGGTCCAAAATTAATGATGGCCTAACGGGTGGCCCTGCACGCCTGCAGGCTATTATTACAAATGACAAATCCAGAGTAGGCCTATAAATTTATAGAAATATCTGAGAAATCGACACAATTAAGCGCTTTGTTAATATAGACAGTGCAGGGTCTGAATCTAGAGTTTGAGTGGATACCTGAGCATTTTGAACTACAGGGAAAGGAAAGAGCGAACGATCTCTGTTGGTCGTAGACAAAGTTTTTTTTGCTATGAGCAGATGATGAGTCAGCTCTGCACTCTGAAGCCTCGCCCTCTGCTCTGCTCTGCTCTGCTCTGCTCGGCCGCTCGGGTACTAACTCAGCTCAGCTCAGCCTTGGCCTAGCACCGGGATCGACCGGGCGCTAGCCGAGACTGCACTGGAGCCTCAGCTCAACCTGTTCCGCAAGTGACTCGACACGATAAAATAGAAAGAAACTATATAAAACTCACGTTTCGTTCAGCTAAACACCTCTCCTTCTTTTCACAGTCAAGAGCAGCTCAATTCTATAACATAAGTCGATCGTACATTTATTAAAATGCCTATCTTTTGTTAGTCGGTACTTTTTGTAAACTGTCTGTAGCTGTTTAGTGCAGCGCAGTGTTGTGATTGTCGTTGATCCGATGGTCACCTGATAAATAGTCACATGACTACTTGAGAGTGGATGAATGACTGTACTGTACAAACAACTTCATCAAGCGATGTTCAACCAGTCCCTGACCTGGCCTGGTTCAACTTCAACAAAGCTCAAAGGAACAGAAAAGTACATAATAATTGTGTATAATCGAAGGTACGTACAGGGGAGTTCTCAAATCAAGACTTTTCATTCAATATACTCCAAAATAAGAATTAAAAAATCGATAGGACTACCTACTGCCTGAGGCTGGTGTGAAAATGACACAGAATTCTATGCAGTTAGTAAAAGTTAAAACATAAATGATGTGTGCATATATTTGTTCCATACTAATTAATACACATATCGCTCCTGCATTTGCTAAAACCAGCAAGTCGAGTCCGGCCAGACCAGTTCCATACATAAAGAGTCTTTAGGGAATTTAATCACCTAAATAAAAGAAATAGAAATAGATTTCTTTCCTACCTTGTCTCGTAGAAACACCTGTTGAGTACAGATACTTGGAACATATATTATATCACAAGTAGTAGTTCAAATATTGCACAGCACCCGTAGAAAGAATATGTAAGACCATGTACAAAGTAATGACGCTTCTTTGCGAATTAAGTAAAGAAGAAGAAACTTATAATCTCTATAAAGTAATAAGGCCTCAGAACCGAGTAGAGAAACAAGCCGAAGAAATAGGACAAGAATTAAGATGAAGCTGAATTAGCTTTGCTGTAGATAGACTCTCTAGAATACGTGTGCTCTATATGAACAGCTCAGGAGAAGTGATGAAAATAGGTGTGGCAAATAAAGCAAGCAAGTGTAATGTCCCTGTACAGTATAAGCTATACCAGTACATTAGGTGGTTGCACATCCCAACCCATAGGGTATGGAATGTGCTTGCCAGAGTAAGTATTTGTGGCACTCTAGTAATGCAACAGGTGTCACTAAAGAAATGAGTGACAATGGAATAAAAGGCTAGACTTCAAGCCACACAATAAAGACAAGACAATAATATTTACAAATGCAAAGTTCTCCAAAGGTCAAGTCACTACAGTAGCTCCCCTCTAGATTTGTTGTCGAATGAAAAGTAGCAACAAATCGATGAGGAAATATAGACCTACATGCATGTTGACTTGAAAATACGAAAATATGGTAATACTGTTGAAACACAGTAAGTTTAATATGCTTCACCCGACTTCGAAAAAATCCACGAACCTCACTGGCCATCTAACTTGACGACCAGACCTGGTCTTTCGAATCTCAGGAGTGTTCTGCTTCAGTGCAGGATCCAGTGCTAACGGTGCAGGATCCAGTGCTAACGGAGCAGGATCCAGTGCTAACGGAGCAGGATCCAGTGCTAACGGAGCAGGATCCAGTGCTAAGTCTGCGGAGTTGGATTGCCGAGGGACCTGGATAGGTGGATCTTGACCCTTCTTAGATTGAGCAGGGAGATCTTGCTCCATGAAAGCTGGCTTAAGTCTCTCAACACTGACAGTTTCACGTTTACCATTGTAATCAATAGTAAAAAACTTGTCAGAGCGTTGAAGGACTCGAAAAGGCCTCCTGTAAGGAGGTTGAAGGGGCCCCTTGACTGCATCAACCCTCAAAAAGACGTGGGATGAGGAATGCAACTCTGGGTGTACCTGTGTAGGGGTAGCTCGTTGTTTGCGAGTAGGGGTGGGATGTAATTCACGCATCAGTCTCTTCAGTCTGTGGGCGTAATTAGCTGGATCGCCAGCAGAGTCAGTCTGTGAAGGAGACACAAATTGGGCCGGTAGCATGACCGTAGTACCAAAAACGAGTTCTGCTGCGGAACATCCCAGATCAGACTTGATAGCTGTACGTATACCCAGCAATACCAAGGGAAGGACCTCAGTCCAACGGACTGTGTTATGCGCCTTGAGAGAGGCTTTGAGTTGCCTGTGAAAACGCTCAACAAGCCCATTGGCTGCTGGATGGTATGCTGTTGTGCGAATGCGTTTAGTGCCAAGAAGATTAGTGAGAGCAAGGAAAAGTGCTGACTCAAATTGTCTACCCCTGTCTGTAGTAAGAGTAGTTGGAGCACCAAACACCGCTACCCATCTGGCCACAAAAGTACGTGCTACAGTATCCGCAGTGATATCTGGGATAGGTATAGCTTCTGGCCACCTGGTGTAACGATCCACACAAGTAAGAAGGTACGTGGTACCCTCTGAAGTAGGAAGTGGGCCTACAAGATCGATGTGCACATGAGAGAAACGCGCATCAGGTGAGGTAAAAGTGCCAAGTGGAACTTTTGTGTGTTTATGCACCTTGCATCTCTGGCATTCAAGACATGTTCTGGCCCATTTCCTGATATCATGATTAATACCAGGCCAAACGAAACGTTCCGTGATGAGCTTTTGAGTGGCCCTGATCCCAGGATGGGATAGTCCGTGGAGGGCGTCAAAAATAGCTCGTCTGTGTTTGACTGGAACAAGGGGTCTAGCAACACCTGTCGAAACATCACAAAGCATGGTAGTAAGAGAACCAGGAAGCGATATAGACTTGAGCTGAAGCGAGGAGTCCTGTACCTCACTATCATCCTCTTGATCTTTCGCAATGGCTGCAAAATCTATGACCGAGGATGAATCAACTCTGTCGATACACAGACGGGAGAGAGCGTCTGCTGCTGTGTTCTCCCTTCCTGCTATGTGGTGTATCTCAGATGTGTATTGGGATATGAAATCAAGCTGGCGGATTTCACGAGGTGAGTGTCGGTCAGGCTGTGAATTCAAAGCATGGGTGAGAGGTTTGTGATCCGTGTAGATGGTAAATGTGCGACCTTCAAGTAGATGTCGAAAGTGCTTTACACCGAGGTAGGCTGCTAACAGTTCCCGACCGAAAGTGCTGTACTTAGTCTCGGCAGGCTGTAGTCTCTTAGAAAAGAAAGCCAACGGTTGCCAAATACCATCTACCAGCTGTTGGATAGTTCCCCCAACTCCCACATCAGATGCATCAACCAACAGGCATAGAGGAACATCAATTCTAGGATGAACTAAAACTGCAGCGTTAGCTAACTGATCTTTAGCCTGATTGAAAGCAGAAAGTTCTTGTTCACCTAGGGTGATTGGTTGGTTCTTCTTCAATCTATTTTTCAACAGATCCGTGAGAGGCTGGAGTACTTCTGCACACCGCGGAATGAACCGTCTGTAGAAATTGATCAGCCCGAGGAACTCTCGTAGTTTGGTAAGTGATGTAGGTATCGGAAAATCACGGATGATCTTCACCTTGTCACTAAGTGGCTGTATTCCTTCCGAGTCAACTTTATGCCCTAGAAAGGACAGTAAAGGTACTCCGAACTGACACTTAGCGGGGTTGAGAATGATTCCATACTCTTGCAGGCGGTCAAAGAGTAAACGGAGATGTGTCTCATGTTCGTCTTTGGTAGTACTAGCTACAAGAATATCGTCTAGATAAACATAGACGAAAGGAAGACCGCGAGTGACATCATCCATCAATCTTTGGAATGACTGAGCTGCATTGCGAAGACCAAACGGCATCCTAACAAACACGAATAATCCAAAAGGGGTGGTTATAGCTGTCTTGTGGATATCGCTAGGCTCGACTGGGATCTGATGATATGCCCTGATGAGATCAATCTTGGAAAAGATTGTCTTGCCACTAAGTGACGCAGAGAAATCTTGCAAATGAGGAATAGGGTATCTATCAGGAATAGTACGAGCATTAAGCATGCGATAATCTCCACAAGGTCGCCAGTCCCCTGGTGTCTTCTTCGGAACCATGTGCAAGGGACTTGACCAGTTGCTATCAGATTGTCTGATAATGCCGAGTTCAAGCATGTGTTCAAACTCTGCCTTGGCAATCTGCTGCCGATCTGGAGCAAGCCGACGAGGGCGAGCTGAAGCAGGTGGGCCTCGAGTTTGGATATGGTGGGTGGTTGTATGCTTGACTTCTGAGTGCTTGTACACTGGCCGGGTGATGTCAGGATACTCACGAAGAAGGGAGTGGAAACGCTCCGAAGTATCTTGCTTGACATACACCGGGCTAATGATGCCTGTGTATGTACCGACTCCCTGTACTGTAAGAGTGGTGGTGGTGTCTATCAGCCGTCGATGTTTGATGTCGACTAATAGTCCATAGTTATCAAGGAAATCGGCTCCCAAGATAGGTGTAGGTATGTCCGTGACAACAAAAATCCAACGAAAAACTCGCCGCAACCCAAGATCAAGAGTGAAAGATCTCTGGCCAAAAGTTTTAATGGGTGACTTGTTAACAGCTTGAAGTTGGATATTTGTTGCACTTACCATTGCCGATTTTCCTAACATGGAATGAGGGAAAATACTAACTTCGGCCCCAGTATCAACAAGAAAACGCGTGCCTGATTGTTTATCATGAACAAAGAAAAGGCGACTGGGTTGAATGGTGCCAAGTGAATTAGTCGCCGCTATTCCTTGGCGGGCCCGTTTCCCTGGACATATCCAGGGCGGCTTTGTCCTGCTGAGTATGAACAAGGACTTATGCACTTCTGGGCTCGTTTGCCATGCTTCCAGTGGTACCAACATTCAGCCCCAGCATGTTGTTGATGCCGACTCGGGCTACGGGAAGCTGATTGGCGAGGGCCGGAATTCTTCGGGCCTCGCTGTCGACTGCGACTTCTGCGGTCCTCCTGTATAGAACAAGTCAAGGCTTGCACCTGAGCAGCCAGTTGAGCAGCCTGGGTAGAAAGTCGATGTACTTCACCAGAGTCATTGGGAGTAGCGCAAGCGTAAGTCTGCGGTGGCACTTCTTTAGGTAAGACATGAGAAATAGTAGGCGGACCAGCAACTTCAACAATTTTGTCGGCTAATGCCGCTAGCGCAACCAAGCTGACATCATCGCTTGTGGAAGCGAGAATCAACTGTACATTGGTTGGCAGGCGTTGCAAAAATAATTGCTTAAGTATACTAGTTTCCAAAGTATTAGAGCCTAATAATTGTTGCATTCTCCTAAGGAGTTGGGAGGGCGACCTATCGCCTAACTCTTCACTCGTCAGCAATTTGTTCAGACGCTTTTGCTCAGAGACAGAAGTTCGCTTAACCAGTGCTGCTTTTAGTATCTTGTACGGCTCTGTTTGGGGAGGGGCAATTAAAATATCGCGCACCTCTAGAGCTACCTCTGGTTGTAATGAGGCGACAACATAAGCAAACTTTGTAGACTCAACTGAGACACCTCTAGTTTGAAACTGAGCCTCAACCTGAGCAAACCAAATATCAGGATCATGTGCCCAAAATGGTGGAAGCTTTAAACTAACATATGAGACTTGAGGGGATGACTCAGAAGCCTCACTAGGTAATACATTGCTATCAGTATCAGGCATGATAATGACGATGACAAGGTAGATTAGATCAACAGAAGAAAAAAAAAATCTGGATCACGTCGGGGTCACCAGTTTAGGGAATTTAATCACCTAAATAAAAGAAATAGAAATAGATTTCTTTCCTACCTTGTCTCGTAGAAACACCTGTTGAGTACAGATACTTGGAACATATATTATATCACAAGTAGTAGTTCAAATATTGCACAGCACCCGTAGAAAGAATATGTAAGACCATGTACAAAGTAATGACGCTTCTTTGCGAATTAAGTAAAGAAGAAGAAACTTATAATCTCTATAAAGTAATAAGGCCTCAGAACCGAGTAGAGAAACAAGCCGAAGAAATAGGACAAGAATTAAGATGAAGCTGAATTAGCTTTGCTGTAGATAGACTCTCTAGAATACGTGTGCTCTATATGAACAGCTCAGGAGAAGTGATGAAAATAGGTGTGGCAAATAAAGCAAGCAAGTGTAATGTCCCTGTACAGTATAAGCTATACCAGTACATTAGGTGGTTGCACATCCCAACCCATAGGGTATGGAATGTGCTTGCCAGAGTAAGTATTTGTGGCACTCTAGTAATGCAACAGGTGTCACTAAAGAAATGAGTGACAATGGAATAAAAGGCTAGACTTCAAGCCACACAATAAAGACAAGACAATAATATTTACAAATGCAAAGTTCTCCAAAGGTCAAGTCACTACAAGTCTATGTATGTGCGTAGATGTATATTTTGTGTACTTGATCGATTGATAAGATTTACGTCTAATTTACGAACAGATGAGATGCCATCCAAAGGCAAAAGCTGCAGGGTGTACATTAAACCGGGGTCAGCTGTTCGCTGTCGGACTCCGAGCCAGTTTTGTGGTGAAGACGGAGAGCTATACAGCCTACTGCATGTATATTTTCTTCATGAGCATTTGTTTTTTCTACATATTTTTGTATACTTTTTAGGAGGCCCAAGCATTACATCATTGATTTGGCTGGGTATAAAAGTCTCTGCCTGATGAACTATATAGTCAACGCTACCTCTGCTAATTAGCAGGAGGTACAGACTACAGAGCATCCAGCTTCACCAACAGAGGAGCACTGATTTTTAGCCGCCCAAAGCTAGTACTCTGTAGAAATTTGTTTTTGAAGAAGACGTACTGTACATTCCGTACTGACCGTACACCACACCAGACCTGCCAAATAAATAGTACAGCAATACACATAATAGTAGACTGATATTTATGAGAAGAGAAGGAGATCTTCTGTCATGAGTTACTTGCTACCAAAGTTAAAAACAAAGAAAGATGTAGATGATGCCATCAAGCAAACAGAAGACAAAGTACTCGTGCTTCGGTTTGGACGCTCAGATGATCTCGTGTGCATGCAACTGGATGAAATTGTAAGAATCTCAGACATTTTCTCAATTTTATGAGTCTCTCTTTGAATGGGTTTGAGAATATTAATCCATTGGTTAATGTAAAATTGACAAAACTATTGAATCAACAAAATAGTATTGCATGATATCCATTTGTAAAGCAAGAAGGATATTTGTAGAAATTATCATCTAGGTCTAAGGTCACAGGGTATCCCAATTTGATTGACTTTGAAATTAATTTGTCTTCCTTGATCTCCCCTAAAACTTAAGAAACCATCTTTTTATGATAAAGAAATAATGAAGCAACCAAGCCACAAATACATTTAAAAGGTTTGTTGATGTTAAGAAAAATTCTATATCTAAAAAGAAAAAACTCTATCTGATCTCATTGCCTTGATGATATGGATGATGTGCAATTTATGATATGTGCTCTTTTTCCATTTCTTGTCAGTTGTCAAAGACAAGCGAAGACTTGGGAAAGATGGCGGACATATACTGCATTGATGCAGACAGTATACCAGTCTACACACAATACTTTGATATCACTCTCATTCCAGCTACGTTGTTCTTCTTTAATGGACAACACATGAAGGTGGATTATGGGTAAGGGATTACATATCTGTATGATAATATATTACTATTTTTAAGTCCTCTATATAATTATATTTGATTCATGCTTTAAAATTGCTGATGTAAGTTAATTAAGTATCATGCAAAGTTGAAAGCATATACCGGTATGCTTTTATGTTTCATTCTTTTTTCTTTCTTGGTGTCTAAACGTCAAATTGTTGAACTTTATTGGTAAGTTACAGTAATTTTTGTATGCTGCAAACCAAGTGTCAGACTTTTGTCAGTTGTATTCTTACTACATGTACAATCCTGTTAAAACAAAGTTATAGGAAAGTAGTAGTAGTGGTATTAGGAGACTTTATTGGATAACCAGTTTTCAACTACAAATTGTACCCTAGACTTGTATTATGAAAAAGAAAATGTTTATGTAGACAATTACTGCATTTCTGAAGTGCTTTAAATTGTCTGTACATGTAGTTTTATATTCTGTGTGTGCAAATTATCATCATTAATGTTGCATGGCATGTTTAATTCTTTTCACACGTATCCAGAACTCCTGATCATACCAAGTTCATTGGCAGCTTTAAGACGAAACAGGACTTCATCAATCTGGTGGAAGTCATATGCCGTGGTGCTATGAGAGGCAAGCTCATGGTGACGAGCCCCATCGATTCCAGAAATGTGCACCAGTATGAACTGCTGTATCAGGATATATGAGGAACATGCAGCAAGACTATGAGGATCGGTCCCTGTAATGTGCACAAGTAGGAGTTGCTACACTGGGAGACACCAAGAGGACCAGCTTATGATGGGTAGCCATAGTGATTCCATGAATGTACCCTACTGCACCAGGCAGTGATATAATAACAGGGGGCACAGGGGCCCACATGCTCTCATTGAAATGAAAAGAATAGGAGGAAAAGAAGGAAAGAGATACATGGAGGAAATGGGAGAAGGATAAGAAAAAAGTTAAGACCAAAAGATAAGACCACCTCCCACATCCTTTTCCTAATCCAAGGCCATATAAATTAGCATATCATTTTCCGAGTGAGACTGGTGCACAATCAGTAACTGGACTCGCACTATGTCACTGGTACCATGATACATGAGGACCAGTTTAAAGGCATCGTTTAACAATGTTAAATCTGACATGCACAGCCCTACGTGCTATCAGTGTCTGTGATATGGTGTAATATTGAAGTTCTAAAAAAAATGCGCTTCAAAATGATCAAGAAGTGCCTCAAAAAGTAAAAATCTGTAAGTGACCGGTTTTACCATACTCGTTTTCCCCAATAGACAGTAGTGTTTTGAAAACCGTTAGGAAAACGCAAAATTTGGTTTCAATTTCCAATCATAAATATCTTGATAATCAGACAGGAGCTCGGCTTGTAAAAGTCTTGGGGTTCCTGAATGACCTAAAGGTTTATAATTATCAGCTCAGGATTTTGTTTCAGAATCTGAGACAAAGTTACTGGATCCCTTTAAGGTTATCAGTTAGAGCTGCTAGATATAATAGTGTCTTGGTCAAATGGGTCTAGTGGATATGTCTGAAGACTAAATAACAGGGCTCGTAGGTTAATCCTAGTCTAGGTAGAAAGTAGTTCCTGGAATGCTTCGCCAAAGTCTTAATGATATGTACTTAGGAGTACTTTGTAGGTATCAGAGCTGCCTGGGTCAATATAAATGTTTCAGTTTGTGACATTTGATAATTGAGAGTAACATTATAAACTGTCTCCCTTAATAGGCCTACTTTGCATATTTGCATATTTGTTGTCTTTGTGAAATAAAAATAAGAAAGGTCATGTAATACATTTGCATGGACACACATAGTACTCGATTTATTTTAATTCTTGATCGAGAGGAAATCTAAGCATAAGAAATGCATGTTATTTATGTAGAAGGGCAAAGGAGATGAAGAAGAGGAGAGAGAGAGAGAGAGAGAAAGAGGCAGAGAGACAGACATATAGAGCGAGAGAGAAAGAGAGGGAACAGACAGACAAAGAGAGAGAGAGACAGAGAGAGAGACAGACAGACAGGGGAGAGAGAGAGAGAGAGAAGGGCAGCAAAAGGATGAATATACCATGGGAAATAACCCAAAGTGAAAAGTCATTGGAATACACGTTTTAAGATGAAAGGAGAGTCTGTAATGTGAAATAGTTGAAGAAGAAGAAGAGACCTTTTAAGGGAGATTCAAAGAAATGAAACGGTGTATATAAATCAAAAACACACAATTTGTAAAATAATCACCAGAAACAACACAACAAATGTAAATGTGTTCAGTTTTTATTAATTATCGACACATCAGCAGATCCATTTAATAACCATTCAATTAAAATGGAATAATGTCATAACAAAAGCACAACCTACAGCTTGTAAAGTACCTAACACTGTATCACCATCAAATCATCATCATACCATAGCATTACAGTTTCTGGCCATCACTTAAATCTAGGCCAATAATTCTCATACATACATGTTGTCAGTGAACCAGATAGACAGATTAGGCCTAAAAAAAAGATGTTGTATTGCCCTTTGCGACCGACCCCCAAATCTTGAAATCTAGGGTCAGCTTGAATTTCATTATTTTTTAAAACCGTTTTTGGGGAGAAAAAAATGTATCAAGCATTCAAAACTGAGAAATATCAGCCCAAAGAGGAAGTACAAAAAAAAAAGATTTCCAACCCACCGACCAATGTTTTGGTACCTAAAGGGCAGTACAACATATTTCTTTTTTTAAGCCTTAAGCCTCGACACATCAGGAAAAAGATGATGGCATAATTATAAACCTTGCACATTTCAAGATAAAAACACAGGTGTCAAAAAAAAGAGGGCCAACACTGAATATAAAATGGACTGGTCTGAATGAGAACTCCAAAATGAATAAAGGTGTGAAAAAGCAGTGAAATTGAACCTTGAGAGATCAGGGGGTGTTTCACAAAGACTAAGATCGAATTTAAGTTAGATTTAACTATGACAGGCCATTCATGCCACTGGTTGCTCTCACTATTGGTCTCTCAATTATGATTTTTAGATAAAATTTTTACCTTCAATATTGAACAAACAAAAGATGTATTAAAGTTCTGTAGATTTGTGACCACGATTTATACGTCCGTTCAGAGACCAATGCCAGTAAATGGTAAGAGCAAACAGTGGCATGAACGGCCTGCCATAGTTAAGTCCAGCTTAAAGTCGTTCTTAATCTTTGTGAAACACCCCCCTGGTTAACTAAATGGAATCTTCTTGTTTCCAGGAAGTGGAGGGCACAACTGCTTAACCTGGCTTAATTGGTATCCTGAGAAATGTCATTAAATATGTTTCAACAGTAAAATACTAATTTAAACAATAACGATCCATAATAATAAAGAAAATGTTTCTTCCACATTGGAGTACACTTCAAGAAGATTCCCTCTGTAGAATTCACCCATTCCATAGAGCAGACCCACAAATTCTAATGATGAAAGCATAAACTGCTAGTCCCCAGCTGTAATTGTTACGATACTAAAAAATACTAAACTTAAAGGTACTATGTCCCATTTGCAGGCCAAAAAAATGAAAAGGTTAAATTACTACGGCATTTGAAAGATAATACTAATTTAGAACTTCCCTTAAAAAGATGGGGCTCGAAAATGTCTTCAAAATGTCTTCAAATACCGACTATTAGTTGTCAAATCGACTTAGGAGCTATAAAGCCAATAAGTAATAGTCTTGATTTTCAGACCATTGTACCAAATGGTCATATGTTTTATGTTGCGCAAAGATTCAATCAGTTTAATTTTGGCCATCACAAGAAGTGGGTTATTGATGTAGACAAAATAAATGCTCATGTACCCTTTACAGCTCGTTTTATGTATGTTATTATCAAAGAAGAAAAAAAGCCAGTCAGTCACTCAATAGTGTCTGACAGTGAAGTCCAGCAAGTAATCCTGCAAAGTTCTACAGAATTTGAGGTTGGCTGCAAAAGGGACATAGTACCTTTAAACCAAATCAGAAGTGTGAAAATTAAACCTGTTTTTCAGATAATATTAATAAATATCTGGTGTGTGAGAACTGTCTCTGCCAGACTTTGAGTGAGAGTAATCAATATTTTCCTTGCATGAGACACCTAATGACATTCACACAGGTGTGGGAGCGTACACAGGTATACGTGTACGAACTATTATCAACACCAGCTGGTTAGGAACGGTTCACTCAAAGATCTACACTCGTACGTATAATCTGTCGTAGCCAATACGTACACATGAACATACACAATGAGTACAAAGTATCTAGAGATGAACTGAGAGGCTACAGATCTATCAGAAGAGTTCAAACTATTCAAGCAAAGAATGGAGCTTGTGTTAGCAGACCAAGATGTAACTGATAACAAGAAAAAGGCTATCAAAATCAAAATCGATGTAGGCAATGAAGTTTGGGCCGAATCAATGCGTCAGGGCTATCAGAGGCCGACCAAGGCAAACCGCAAGAACTGTGGAAACTGCTAGAAACACAGTTGAAGGTTAACACCAATTTTCTAATACATCGCTTAGAGCTGATGCGATACTGGCAGAAAAAAATGAGAGTATCAATGAATTTTTTTACTAGCTGTTGAGGTAAGGCAAACACTTGCGATTGGCGAGGAAACCGAACTCGATGAGTGGATCATGGAAATAGTGATCACTCCAACACCACTTGAAGAATTTCAGAAATCCTTATTGGATCAACTAAAGGGGTACAAAATAGAGGCAATCTTAAATACAGGGCAAGATACTTTCAGGCCAATTAAGGCAATCTTGAAATGAATCGTAGAAAACAAGGAAAATTTACGATGATATTCCAAGGGGATGAATCATAATTCAAATGAATGGCAAATTTTTAGGGAACCATCTGCATCACACCAACTGTAGCAGCATGGAAACAAAAAGGATTAGAAGTCTGAAGTTGACGACTATCGGGCCAAAAATGAATTATTCAGGTTTTGGTTTCACACAAAAAGGTATGAATAATGGTTATTGGTCAGGTGATACACTATCCGCCTTAGAAACATTGTTGTTTATGATGAGTCTGTAGTGGACAAACAATCGTTTTTATTATGAATTTCGAAACTTGTATAATAATTATACCATGCCATAATTCACTATTGCTCTCTAGTATTTCATAAATGATTACTTTCCTTTAAAACTGTCTTAATTCATTATAATATGCATTAAACATTTAATTGTACTAAATGAGCAATTATGACAATATCGGTAAACAAGTTTAACCAATCAGCAAAGGCCCTTTTTGGCATTTCCTCAGATTTGAGGAGTTGTAAGAAGCAACTAGAAATGACAAGGTCTTGGTTGAAGTTGAGAAGTTCATAGAGAAAGGTTGGTCTGGAAACCACAGGATCATATCTGAAGAATTTAAGCTATGCTTTATGCTTCGGGAAGAGTTATCAGTAGTAAAAAGCATTGTAATGAGAGGAAATAGGATTGTGTTTCCTACAGTACTAAGAAGGTGCCACTGGTATTGTATGTATCCGCAGATCATCAGATAAGGAGATTTGGGGGGGACAATGGGATTGATAAATGGGTATCAGACGTCCAGAGTTTATTGGCAGACCGGGCCCACCAAACACCCAGGGAGAAGTTGCAAACAGTTATCAAATATACACAAGGGGCAGCCCGAATGGAACTTGTCAGCCGGGAGGATATTGAAACGGCAGAGGACACATTCCAAGTCCTGAGGGGTGTTTTGGGGGATGTAGGGAGTCAGGCGTCCCAAAAGCGAAACTTCTTTGTTTGACATTAGAGAATGCCAATAGTACTTTGGACTCTGTGGTGATCAGTCTGCAAGTTGAAGGCAAGACTACAGACGAGAAGGTTAATCTAACAAGAGTCTATTCCAAGTCAAGGATAAATGTCAGTCCTGAACATTTGGCCAAGAGGGAAGATATCAGGAAGTACCAGCATCTATCTGATCTGAACATTCCAACCATAGATGATGTCCAAGTTGATATGCATATAGGGCAGGATGCTTCGCAAACACTAATCCCTCTGGAAGTGAGAAAGGGAAACCCAGGGGAAGTATATGCAGTTTGCACCATGTTGGGATGGACTTTGAATGGCCAGCTTGATGCAGGTAGTTTCCAGGGCCAGGTCTCCACGAACTTCGTCTCTGAGAACTCAACACTAGATGAATAGGTAAAGCAGTTTTGGGCTATAGAGTCA